TGATCCCTGTTAACTGCACAGCTGAGCAGGGGATCAGCGAGACAGCCCAGGGCTGAGCAAGAGGAAGCTGAAACTCAAGCTGCTGCCTGTGGGGACACTTGCCAGGCTCAGGAGCAAAGAAGCTTAGTTTCCTTCCAGCACAAACGAGACACAAGACCTTGGGTCATACAGGGAGAGCCTTAGAAACCAGACTCCCTACACGTGTAGGACCCTCGGGGCTGCTGTGGTTCAGATGAGACTTTTCCCCGGAAGCTTGGTCCCCAGTGTGGCCTTGTTAAGAGCTGGGGAGATCTTGAAGAGGCAGACCATAGCAGGAGGTCACTTGGTCATGGGGACGCTGCCTTCAGACAGATTAAAGGAGTTTGCCCATGGCCTACTTAGTTCTCATGAGAGGGTTGTTATAAAAGAGTCAGCCAGAGCTGGACATGGTGGTGAGCACCTGTAGGTCCAGCTACCTGGGAGGTTGAGGCAGGAGGATCAGTTGGGCCCAGGACATCAGGACCCACCTGGGAAACATAGCAGCACGCCATCTTAAAAAAAAAAAAAAAGCAAGCCTGACCCTGCCTGGTCTCTGGCTTTCTGTCTTACCATGTGATCGCTCCCTCTCACATACATTGCTACCATGAAGCCATCGACCCTGATGTGATACAGCCAGCTGGGTCCTAACAAGACCTAGCACCCTGATGTTCAGACTTTGAACCTCCAAAATGTTTAAAGCCAAATTAACCGCTTTTATCAATAAAATACCCAAGCCTCGAGTATTTAATTATAGCAGTGGAAAACAGACTAATACAGAGGCCATACCCTCGGTGATAGGATTATGTAAGACAAAAAAGTAACAAAAAGAGAAGATAGGGGATGCTTGTTCTCAACTCCTAGGTTCTAAATGATTACGAGAGTCTCCCCAGAGAATCCACATCACACACCCGCCTTTGTTGAGTTTGGAGTTGAATGGACACCAACTATATGGTTTGGGAAACCAAAGACAAGAAATTAGTGGTCTTAGATTCATAGTCTCCCAGGTTCTTGGCAAAAGCAAATGTAAATTCTCTTACAAGCAACATATTCTCAATCCAAGGTATATAGGATTTCTAAGAAAAAGTCTAGTCATGTTGCTGGCATGGTGGCACACACCTGTAATCCCAGTGACTCAGGAGCCTGAGGCAGGAGGATGGTAAGTTTGAGGCCAGCCTCAGCAACTTACAAGACCCTGTCTCAAAATAAAAAATAAAAAGGGTTAGGGATGTAGCCAGGGTTCAATCCCATGTACCAGTGGGGGTGCGGGGTTGGGAGAAGCCAAGTCAATAAAAGATTAGCCTTATTAAGGATTGACACACACCAAATTCCATTTTAAATCCTTTACAGGTACTGTCCCACTTGATCCTCACAACATTCTCTTAATGGTAGGTTTTTGTTTGTTTGTTTGTTTGTTGTTTTGGCTACTGGAAATTTAAGCTAGGGGCACTTTACCACTGAGCTACATCCCCAGCCCTTTTTGTGTTTTGTTTTGAAACAGGGTCTCACTAAGTTGCTTAGCGTGTCTCTCAGTTGCTGAGGCTGGCTTTAAACTTGCAATCCTCCTGTCTCAGCCTCCCAAGCTGCTGGGATTATAGACATGTGCACCATACCCCATAATGATAGGTATTCTTATTCTCATTATTATTGTTGTTAGTATCATTCCTATCCCTGGATTCAGAATGGGAAAGAATGAAGACATGAAGAGAAAAAGAAACTTCCTCAAGAACACACAGCAAACGAAAAGAGGTGAGTTTCAGACCCAGGAAGTCTGGTCCCAGTCTGCTCTCTGAACCCCTAACCTGTGCTGCCTCTCCACCCAGTGCTCCCCAGAGGATCCATCATGGGCTCGAGAACCAGGCACCAGCCAGCAGGGTTTCCAGGGAGTGGAAGGAGTGGATGCAGCATACAAATTAAGTTTTAAAACATTTAAAATACATTTAAAACATTTAAAATTCAAAATACAAACAAACAAAACACAGAAGAAAAAGAGTAAATAAGAAACAAAATCAAAAATTTTTTGGAGTAAGAAATATGACTAAAAATAACAATTCAATGGATGAGTAAAGCAGAAATGAGCTGGTGGGGTGGGGAGAGTGAGCTGGAGGTGCAGCCAAAGATGTGCAGGGCGAGCCACAGACAGCGACTGGGGGGCGATGGGAAGGTGAGAGGCAGCGGCTAGGATCAGAGGGACCAGCTCACGTGCATCTGGCAGGTTCTGCACAAAATAAGAAAATGCAGAAAGCAAAGGAGAATCCACCTGCCAAGGGCCAGGGAGAGCCCTGAGACTCAAGATGCGGTCAAAAGCAAGATCCCAAAGCTGGAGGGACACTGTGGACAGCAACAGGGAGGGGACTTCCCCTTGGTGTGAGGCAGGCAGATGATGTACAGCGGCATCAGCCAGAACATGACGTGATATTGGTTTCAAAACTCTAAATAAAAATCATCGTCAAAGTAGGACTGTACAGGGGCTGGGGATGTGGCTCAAGCGGTAGCACGCTCGCCTGGCATGTGTGCGGCCCGGGTTCGATCCTCAGCACCACATACAAAGATGTTGTGTCCACCGATAACTAAAAAATAAATATTAAAAAAAAAAAAGTAGGACTGTACAACTGGTGAAATCATCCCTTGAGAATGACGGGAAATGAAGTTACCTACAGGGAAGTAGAAGCTAAGTGAACTTACCAACAGGTCCTCGGTAGAGGAAGTTCTAAAGGAAGTCTTCAAAGAGAAGAAGGTGGAACCCAGAAGAAAGGCTCCAGATTAGCAAAGAAAGGAAATAGGCCAACAGGCTAAATAAGCTCGGACTAAATGAAGCAACCATAACTCACTTGAGGAGTAATAAAAAGGAACCAAAAAACTGGCTAAAAAATAGCTTAAAATGGGACTAGGTAATTATAGTAAAAAGCATTCTAAAATTCTTGTATTTTAGACAAGATGAGAGAAGGACAGAAAAATTGCATAACTTCAGAAATTAAATATATATGTTAGAAAAAATATATATGTATACATATGTTAGAATTTTAAAGAAATCCACTAGCAATTAAGCAATTTTCAAAGAGCTAAGAAAGAGAAATACAATTTATAACCTTCAAAGTAACAGAGAATGGAAATGAGTTTCCAAAAGGCAGTACCAAATATGTACCAAATAAGATGGTAGGAAATAAATGTAAGTTATCAACAATTACAATAAATATAAATGAACTAAACTTGCTAGGTGAAAGACAGAAGTCGTCGAATAGAATTTTTTTAAGAACAGGCTTCTGCTGTTTCCAAGAAACATACTTAAACATAAAGCTTCATCTTTAAAATAAACTGATGGGAGGAAACAGCAGCAAATATTTACCAAAAGAAAACAGCAGAGCCGTGTTAACGGAGGAAACTGCTTTGTCGACAGTGAACTCACCTCCTAGTGACGCAAAGCAGGCCGGGAAGGTGCCACCGTGCTGAACCTGCACACCTAAGGACGCGGCTCCAGGACAAACCCAGACACCCCGGGGACCTGACTTCTGACTCACAGAATTGAGCACCCTGCGGGAGTGGCAAGGACCCAGGGAAAGGCCGAATGTGACAGAGTGTCATTAAGACAGGGCCACTCATAGTAAGTGGTCATTGTTAAGGAGAAGGCGTCCCTGTGGAAGGCAAGCCTGGCCTGGGACAGCCCAGAGCTCCCGGGCACAGCCCGGATCCCATTTGAGAGCAGCCAGGAAGCCTCCAGATCCTCTGCCCACCCCCAAACCACACACCTGCTAAGAAGGTCACAGACAATATCAGGGTTTCACAGACACCCTGAAAGACTCCTGGAACCTCCCAGGTTCCTGGGGACCCTGATATAAGGAGATGACAGCCAGACAACTAGAAAGCATGCCACAGGACAAGGTTTAGGAGCCTGGGGCCCGTCCTGAGAAGAGCTGCCTCCTCAGAATCTGAGAGACAGCCTCGGTGGCTGGAGAGCCGTCCTGGGCAGGTCTTGCTCTCGGCAGCTCTAGGGGTCAGAACTGAGGCCGGCGGCAAGGCTCGGGGGTCCTGAGAGAGCATTTCTAAAGGGAGAGCGCCTGGCTGTCCTCGGTGATGCAGAAGGACAGCAAAGGCCCTGGGGGGGCTGCCCAAGGACCAGCGGCTCCCGAGGAATGCAGGACCTGGGGGTCCTGTCCAGCTCCTCAGGATCCAGGGATCAAACAGGGACGACAATTGTGGGGATCTGCAGCCTCCCGCCTGCCCTCCGGGTCACCAGGTGGAATGGCACCGGGCATGCTGCAGGTGGACCTGGAGGTGCATCTGTGGAATTTTACTTCTAGCAAAGAAAAGAGACAGTGAGCAAAATAACTTGTGAGTGATGAAGGCAATGGGGGGACAGTGACAGAGGCCATCGGAGAGCCGGGTGGGGACCTGGCTGTGGGAAGGCTTTAAAACGAGTCTGAAGGGCAAGTGGGGCCAAGCTGGATCAGAGTCCAGGGAGAAGCGCAGGCGGAAGGTGGGCACCTGGCAAGGCCAGAGCCCAGGCGAGGACAGGGCTGAGGGGAGTCGTGAGAGGCCTGGTTTCAATTCTCCCCAGAAAGAGAACCGCGCGCTGGTTAAATGAACCCCAAGGCTCTGACGAAGCCCACTGCTCACTCTCACTTTTGCTGATGGTGCTTTTGGGGTCAGACCCTGGAAATCATGGCCAAGATCAATGTCACTCTTCTCCTACGTCTTCTCCTGGAAGTTTTATAGTTTCAGGAAAAACATTTGAGTCTTTAAATGATTTTGAGTTGATCTCTGTCTGAGGTATAGACAAAGTTGCCGTTCAAGGGGACGACGGGGCCAGCGTCTCTTTGCAGGGTTCTTCCTGCCCAGGTGAATCCAAGCCTCCTAAAACTTACAATCTCAGATAATTAATAAGTAACAAAACACAGACACTCAGAAATATATTTACATAATGCAAAGAACATGGGTTCTGGAACTAGACAAAGAGAAAATGGCTTCGGTGGTTTATTTAAGGGGGTACATCAAAGGCAGAGGTAAGGTTTCAAAGGCAGAGTCTTGCTTCCTGATATCTTGCAGTGCAGGTTGAGTGACATCTTGGCAGGTCACACCCATCTCAGGTACTATATGGGCCATGGCAGAGCGGGAAAGAGATTCACACTGTCCCTGGGCAATTGACCAGAGGAAATGTCCACTGGTTATTCCCAGACACTAGATGTCTCTACCCAAGAGGCTTTCATGCACGGTGACCCACATGCTACCCATGAACAGCTCGGCTCGTAACAGGCTCCAACTTCATTCTTTTGTTTTGGTACTGGAGATTGAATCCAGGGGAGCTTAACCACTGAGCCACGTTCCCAAAGTCTTTGTTTTTTTTGTTTTGAAACAGGGTCTTGCTAAGTTGCTCAGGTTGCTGAGACTAGCTTTGAACTCCCAATCTTCCTGCCTCAGTCTCCCGGCTAACTCTTTTGAATGTAAAATGCTCCTACAGGGGCTGGGGTTGTGGCTTAGTGGTAGAGCACTTGCCTAGCTCGTGTGAAGCACTGGGTTTGATTCTCAGTATCACATTAAAAAATAAAGATATCATGTCCATGTACATCTAAAAATATTTTTAAAAAAGAAAAATAAAATGTTCCTACAGAGCAAGGAAACAGATTGAAAAGGGTAATCTATGGAATGGAAAAAAATATTTGCAAACTATATATTTGATAAAGGATTAACACCCCAGTATATCAGGAACCCCTGCAACTCAATAGAAAAGAGGCAAATAACATTATTTAAAAATAGGCAAAGGATTTCAATAGATATTTCTCCAGAGAAGATATACAAATAGCCAATAGGTATATGAAAAGATGCTTAGCAACACTAATCATCAGGGAAATGCAAATCAAAGTCACAACAAGATGCATAAACTCACACCTGCTAAGAGTGTTATTATAAAAAAATAATAGTAATAATAATAATAAATAAGGCTGAGGCAGGAGGAGCAAGTTCATAGCCAGCCTCAGCAATTTATCAAGGTCCTAAGCAACTTAGCAAGACCCTGTCTCAAAATAAAGAATAAAAAAAGGCTGGGGTTGTGGCTCAGTAGTAGAGCGCTTGCCTCGAATGCATGAGGCCCTGGGTTCAATCCTCAGCACCACATAAAAATACAAACAAAAATAAAGATCTTGTGTCCATCTACAATTTAAAAAAAGGAATAAAAAGAGCTGGGGATGTGGCTCAATGGCAAAGCACCCCTGGGTTACTACCAAAAAAATAAAGCAAAAGGTAAATGAGAGCAAGGATGTGGCCGTATCTGAACTGTGTGCTCGTGATAGAAACGATGCAGCCATTATTGAAAAGAGTGGATTGCCAGGTGGCATGGCGCACACCTGTAATCCCAGTGACTTGGGAGGCTGAGACAGGAGCATCACAAGTTCAAGGCCAGCCTCAGCAACTTAGCAAGGCTCAACAACTTAGTGAGACCCTGTCTCAAAATAAAAAATAAAAAGGGCTAAGATGTAACTCAGTGGTAAAGCACCCTGGGTTCAGTAGCAAAAGAAAACATTATGGAGGTTCCTCAAAAAAGTTATAATAGAACTACCAACACCACTTATTTATCCAAAAGAATTGAAATCAGGATCCTATGTTCATTGCAGCACTATTCACAATAGCCAAGACACGAAAGCAACCTAAGAATCCACTGGTGGATAAATAGAAGAAGAAAATGTGGTGTTACACACAACACAACCTTACTCAGCTTTTCTTTTAAAGGAAGGAGGAGGAGGAGGGGAGAGGGAGGGAAGGGGAAGAGGAAGAAGAGAAGGGAGCGAAAGAAGAAGGAAAAGAATGAGGGGGAAGGAAGAGGGGGGGGGAGAGGGAAAAGGGGGAGGGAGAAGGAGAAGAGGAGGGAGAGGAGGAGGAGGAAGAGGAGAGAAGAAGGAGAATCCTGTCTGTGCTAGACGGGGATGGGCACCTGGAGGACAGGATGTAGGTGAGCGGAGCCAGCCAGCGTCGGAGTCAGCATCTAAACCAGTGAAGCTCAGAAGCAGAGTGAGTGGCTGGCAGGGGCCGGAGAGGGGTGGGGAGCTGCTACTCAACAGGCCTGAAATTTCAGTTATGCAAGAGGAACCAGGGCTGCAGGGCTCCATCAGGCCTGCCGGGGACAGTACAATCTTGCACACTTAAGTTTCTGGAAAGGGCGGGACTCGCGTCAAATTTTCTTGCCACCATAATATGCATTTAAAGTAGTAATAATAAATGAGACCCAAGGCTCTGATAGCGAAGATCTGTACAGATGGGCATAATAGCTGAGAACAAGACAATTAGTCACGCTGCAGGCAAACTGGGATAAACAGGGTTCCGATGGGGCGCAGATGAAGCCGGAAGAACAAAGCCGCCTGGCAGGACCACCCAGCAGCTGCAGAAATGACCAGCGCTCCCTGTGGAGACCAGCCCCGTCCAAGCTGCCCACAGCTCCCCAGCAGATACCTGCTTTGTGACAGCAAACCAAGTCACCCAACACAGGGGACCTCATTCCTGGGGTCACTCACTGTCTGTGGGCTTCAACAGCATTGGCATGGTGCCAGTCAACACCATGCCAACCGGATGCCTGCGCCTCACAGGAACTGAACCCCAGATGGGAGGTTCATTTTGCCATAACCCTGGGGGGCTGTCACACTCGCACCTTACCAGGGCTGGACTGAAACTTAAAGAGCGAAGCCCTAAAGGAGGGTGTGCGCACACCACCCCAGCCACCAGCACTGCCCTGGGCCAGTGCGCACTAGGAACGCTCTGAGAGCCCGTGGGGGAAGGAGCCTCTCACCCGGGGCTCCCTCTAAGTGCTCGCTCTTCATCACCATGTCTTACCACCTTTCTGCACAGAGTCACTAAGTGAATTTCAGCCCTCATGCACAATGCAAGAGGTGTCCCACTCCAGTGCCCCGGGGCCCGGGAGAACTTACAGGAGCTCTAAGTGCAAACCCATTCTCGTTCCCAATGGGCAGAATGGCTCTAACAAGAGCAGGGCTCATAATTCAAGCCCGTGACTGGGGTGGAGAATTCTGGAGCAAACATCTTTCCTGGACTGTGTGTGGAGACCCCCAGGGGCCCCCTCCTGATTGACAGGTTCCTCTCCAGTTTATAGAATCAATATATCTTAGGAGGCTGCTATTGGCCTTCGCAGTGATTAAAACAAGATTAACACTGGCATACTAATGAGCCAGGAATTATGAACGTTCCATCAGCACACAAAATATTTTTCCACCCAATTTGGCAAATCCTTGTTCCCACCATCATTTGCCTCCAGTATCACTTTCTCCTCGAAATCATTGTCAGACATTTTCCTTTAACAGGCCTCCCTGCCTCCTCTGATTAGGGAAGAGAAAGTTCCCCTCAGGGAGTAAGGAACGGGAGCAGGAATGTGGCCTCAGACCCCTGAACAAGGAGTCCAATCCGCACACCCACCAGCCTGGAGATCTCGGGTAAATCACTCTGGCTGAGCCTCTTTTCTTCACTGATCAACTGGGGCACAGCAGTGTGTCCTCGTGGGGTTACGTGAAGACGATGAGACGGCAGCATGCACCGCCAGTACCTGTCAGCACGAAGACCTAAGAGGACCTGCCCCTGCCAAGCAGCTCGGAGCCAGAGCTGCGTCCTGCCCCACCGCCCCCACACCACACTTGAGGGCATGGACCCCTCCTGCCAGAACCTCACACCTCTGAAAACCAAGCATGGGGACCCCGAGTTCTTCCTCCCTCTCCACTTCCCAGCCCTCACCCTTAGAGGTGCGATGTTCTCCGTGGCCCTTGGGCATACGCTCCTCTTCCTTCAGAAGCCGGGCTCGGGCACTTCTCTGGGAGATGGCAGAGGGGGAGCACCGACCTGCTGGGAAACCAGAGCGCAGGACCTGAGCGCTCAGGAGGTCAAGGCCACACGGAGCCCCTCCACCACCTGACCTGGCCGTTCCTCGGGTGAGATCATCTCAGTGACCCCCATGTGCCTTGCCAAGGTTTTCCAGAGAAACAGAACAATGGGATGCGTATGGATAGAGGGGGCTGGGGTGTAGCTCAGTGGCAAAGTGCCTGCCTCGCGTGCCACAGCCTTGGGTTCCAGCCCCAGCACCACAGAACGCAGAGAAAGAGGGAGACAGAGCGGGCAGCCGCACACTGTCCGAGGCTGAGGAGGCCCAGGTCCGTGCTCAGCAAGCTGCAGGCCTGGGAGCTGATGGTCAGTTCTGGAGTCAAGAACAGCCCCACTGTGGACGAGCACGGCAATGGCCCTGGCACCCGCCTTCTCCTCCTGTCCTTCAGGGGCAGGTCGGGGTGAGGATGTCCATTCTCCAGGGAGGAAGACAGGAGGGGCTTCTGGGTGAAGAGGAGCCAGGAGGAAGCTTGGCCTGACGCAGATCCCACGCTCCACCTGGCCAGGTCCCCCCCACCCACCCCAACCAACCAGCACCCACACCCTCTGTCTCCAGGTAACCAAAGCTGCTCCTTCACCACCCATCAGGCCAGCACCGCAGCGGGCAGCCTTTTGTCTTGCTGGGTCAGAGAGGGACTAAGGCCACAGGCATCAGTCTACAGGGGTAAGAGCCGGCCCTCAGCCCCAGGCTGTTCCCAGCCATCCTCCATGGCCCACAGGGTATGTTGAGCTGTAAGCAGGTGTGCCCACCTCAACCAAATCCATCAGGGGCACCCACTCCACCATCTTCCCACTGCCCCACGGGAGACCTCTTGCCCCTCAAAGCCTCTAGTTCCTTCCCATCTTCACCCACCTCCCCCATCACCTGGGCTCCAGCCACAGGCACTACTTGCAAATTATGCCACCCTCACCTTCACTCCTTTGTCCACGCTGTTCCCTCTACCTGCTATGCTGTTCCCCCTCCTCTGCTCCCCGCCTGACCCAGCTACCTGGCAAGCTGCCCCAGCTATCGGGCTTGAGCATCCCATCCCTGGAGGACTCCATCGAGAAGGCACAGGTGGCAGGGATGCAGCCCACTGGCCAGTCACAGCACAACAGCCCCACCTGACAGGGAGCAAAGGAGCCCTGTCATCGACACCCCGCGGTCCTGCCACTCTCTGGTCCACTCCGTAGCCCTCTGTAGACACAGAAGGCAGGGTAGCTGGGAGGGATCCGAGGACAGTGATGCTCATATGGGCAATATGACCTCATTCATGTCCTTTCAGCCAAGTGGTTGACACTGAGCCTGGAGCCTTAGCAGGACTAGCTCTCCCACTCCTCTCAGCAGCTGGAACTCAAGCACTCCACCAGAAGGACAGCACAAATTCAGGTGGGCCTGGGCAAAAGAGCATTTTTGATGTAGCAGTAGAAGCCAGCCAGTCAGGGACATGCGCACCTGGCCCCCAGCCCCTGGTTCCAGAGCCAGATGGAGCCAGATGGTGGTGTCTCTGCCACAATGCTGGCCTTTCCCTCAGGACACCCACAACCTTCTCTCTCCTGGTCTCTGCTGGCTCAGAAACACCTGCCAGTCAAGTTGCTTGACAGGCCTTGTCCTGGTCCCTGCAGCCTCACCTGAGGGTCAGGCCAGGGGTCAGCTCCTGCCCCAACAGCAAAGGGCAGCACTATAGGAGGTCTCTGAGACAGAATCTCCTAGTTGTCACTAGTTGGCAGTGTCCTCAGCCCCTCCCCAGTAACCCCATTCCCAAGCTCCTTATTAGAGCCTCCCATCAGACACCTACTGTGCAGAATCAGAGGCTGATTCCCAACTCCTTGAGTCAGACCCCCAGGGAGACCCCACACACAGCAGCCAGGGACAAGCAGGGCTCCCAAGCTACTCAGCCAGGAGTTAGGCTAATCCCAGCTGAGGTGTGGGAGCCAGCTGGGCCCCCTGCACAGGTCAGCAGGGCCAGGCAAGTCCTGGGCTCAGATGCAGGCTTGGAAGGGCAAAAGCAAAGCAGCCTAGGCCGCTCCCCAGACTCATGTCCTCATTAGCAATCCCGCCACACAGAGCGCACCCACAGCCCTCATCAGGTGGCCTGGGAGCACTGGCTCGGCTGCTTGCATATTGATAGCACTCACATCAACTGCCCAATCCCAGGCCCCCACGCCTGAGCATCAGGAGGCTCTGCGTCCCTTCTGATTGGCAGATGCCTGGGCCTACCTGTTCACCCTGCTGGAATCCATTGTTGAGGAGGACTCTCTGTGAGCACCTGACCCCCCAGCCCACTGCTGCCTCCTCCATGGACTCCTTCTTTGGACGTCGCACTTGTTTTCTGTCTTGGATCAGAAACAGTCACAGTTGACCATGGAGGGCTGGAAGAACCACAGTGATTCTGCAGGCCTGGTGGAGGATTCCTAGCTACAGGCTGCCCCCTGCTGCTCCAGGTGGGGGTTGCAACCACCACCACCCGCAGATATCCCAGCAGGGCTCAGATCTTCAGAAATATAATCCACCCAAAACTTTTCTCCCAGCATGAAGTCAGCTGCCCATCAGTAGGAAGTTGCAGAATAAGGAAAATAAGGACCATGCCCCAGAATATTTTCTCCAATGCTGAACATTTCCACAAGCTCCAGGAATCTAGAGTCTTCCAAAGATAAACCATGGAGTTTATATTTTTTATATAAACAGCTAAAGTAAAGCTGTTTATTGTGGGATGCTTTTCCTCTGGAAAAAAAAAATGCTAAGAGCCAGGCGGGGTGGCACATGACTGTAATTCCAGCTACTCAGGAGACTTAGGCAGGAGGATCACAAATTTGAGGCCAGCCTCAGCAATTTAGCAAGACCTTGTCTAAAAAAAAAATGTAAAGTCTGGGGATGTAGCTCCATGGTACAGTGCTCGCCTGCATGCAGAGGCCCTGGTCCCCAGACCTGGCAGGGTGCTCCTTGCTGTGCGGTGGGGCCAGGTCTTTCTGAGCTCCAGTTTCTGTCCCTACGTCCACATGTGACCAGCTCCAGCTCATCTGACTGCCACCACACTTCAGTGAGGAATGCCAGTGAGCGTGCCATTTGACTGCTATTTTTAATGTAATTATCTATCTGGGAGTTTTAAAATCACATCCCAGAGGCTCGATTGGATTGCAAATGCAATGTGTCTAATTGCTGAAATTTATCAAGGAAGCACCTGGGGAACCAGGAGTAGTCTGGTGTTAGTCAGCTGTGCCTGCCCCAGGCCCGAACAAAGCACTGGCTCTCAGAGTCCAGCGGGAGTGGCTTCCTCTGCCAGGCCCTCCACCCATGCCTGTGTCCTTGGACAAGTCACTTGACCCCTTGAAGGTTTTGTTCATTTTCTCATCCATAAAATGCAGCTGATGCTGTTCCTAGGAGATGACCGGGATTGAAGGGAACATCATGTGTTCCTGGCACACAGTGGGGACTGAGTGCAAGATGGGTTTATCCATCATACATCCTGGAAGGAGTCTGAATCCCTATAGTCTGTTCTGGATTGAACTGTGTTCTCCAAATTCATATAGTGAGGCCCCCAGCATCCCAGAATGTGACCTTGTTGGAAAACAGGACCATTGCAGGCGTTATTAGGATGAGGTCACTCTGGAGTGGGGTGGCTGTAATCCTTATAATCCTATAAGAAGGGGGAATTTGGACAGACCCACATACTCAGGACACCATGTTGACATGAGGACAGAGGTCAGAGTGTCACCTCCACAAGCCAAAGAATGTCACAGATGGCAAGGAAACCACCTAGAGCAGGGGAGAGGCCTGGCACAGATTCTCCCTCAGCCTTGGAAGGAAGGGACCCATGACACCTCAACTTCAGACCTCTGTCCTCCCGGCTGTGCCATGAGGGACTACTGTTGTTCAAACCACCCTGTGTGTGGCCTTTTGTTACAGCAGCAAACTAACACATAACCCAAGAGACTTCATTAACTATGTCTGCTTCTGAATAATCCTAACCAGTGGGCCCAGCAGGCCGGTCGGAGCCTGGACCGAAGCCCAGTTCTCTGGACTCCCAATACAGTGCTCTCTCCACTGCCCCTGAAGGCCATCCTTAGAAGCTCCCATGATTCTCTTAAAGGCGTTTAAGAGTTGTTAAAAAGTCATTATAGCCAAAAAAGGAGGGGAGGGGTGGATCCATGAAGAAGGCCAATAGAGCAGAAGAGAGGAAGGGAGAGGGTGGGGAGGCCCTGGTAAAGGGGATCTGCCCAACCAAGCTCTTCCTGCACATGAGGAGCCACCACAATCCTCTCTATAGTGCATCCATTAAAATCACAATGAAAGAAGGGAAACCCGCAGAGTGGAGTGCAGGTCAGGAGAGGGCAACGGGGAGAGAAAGGGGGGTGCTGGGAATGAGACGGATCAAGTATGTCATGTGCATGTACTAATAGGGCATTATGAATCCCGCTATCATGTATAGTTATAATGCACTAATAAAAAAAGATATTATTGTCAATGCATCATCTTAGGAATGAGGAAAGTTGGGTGATAAAGTGAGCAAATAAAAACTTGATAAAAATCTGTCAAACCAGGTGCAGTGGCCCACGCCTGTAATCCCAGCAACTCAGGAGGCTGAGGCAGGAGGACTGAAAGTTCAAAGCCAGCCTCAGCAACTTAGTGAGGCCCTAAGCAACTTAGTGATATCTTGTTCCAAACTAAAAAACAAAAAGGGCTGGGACATGGTTTAATGGTAAAGTGCCCCTGGGTTTAATCCCTGGTACCAAGAAATTATTATTATTTTTGTTGTTGTTGTTAAGCTGGGGCTGGGGACCCAGGGTAGCTCAGTTTGCCTGGTATGCATGAGGTCCTGGGTTCCATCTCCAGTACTGAAAGAAAGAAAAGAAAATTGTTAACCTGATTAGAGTACTATATTAGAAAGGAAGGCATTTATATGCAGAACATCTTTTTAAATTATTAAATAGGATATGCTATGGGAAAATATTCAAATACCACAAAACTACAAGGCAGAAAGTGAAGGCTCCTATAACTCTGCTCCCTAACGATATCTTCTGGAGACCAAGAGGTTCATCCTATCGGCCTTTTTCCTGTGAATCCAACACAGAAATACAATGACGAAAAGAGAATCATAACACGTGCACTGGTTATTTATTTGTTCTGTTGTTATCCTTTCATCCAATATTTGTTTTGCTTAATATCATATTGAGAACATCTTTGTAAGTAATGGTATTGCAGTTCAACCAGTCTTTCATCAAGTTTAAAAGTAGCTAAATACAGGCAGGTCTTTCCCCAGCTACAGAGGAGAGATGGAGAGTCATAGCCCACAAATCTGCCTTCTGATGATGTTGCTCACAAGGTCAGAAGTCCCAGCCACTCAAAACAAGGAAGCCTGCATCCCCGCCCCCCTTCCCTGTCTCCTCCACCCAGACCAGGGCATGGTAACCTCACCTGGTTTTTGGCCTTTTCCTGATGATTCTATGCCCTGAAGCTCTCTCAGGATGCAGGATACAGTCCAAAATAGCCCTAGACACCCCCCCCCCCACCCCGCGCGCGCACACACACACACACACACACACACACACCAGCCTCAGGCCTTGCCTCCTCCCCATTTCTCTCAAAATATCCAGCTCTCTTACATCTGAGCTTTTACACTCTCCTGGATTTTTTCACCAGATAAATCTTTTTCACCTGTGAAGGCCAGCTCTTTGGCCTCTGCACCCCTGGGCCCCTGTGCAGGCCTCCACTTGGCACAGTTTTGCCCTTAGCTACTGTGTCTCCTGCCCAGCTGGACAGAAGGGAGCAGCAGGCCCAGCTGCATCAGCCACAGGAAGTCTCAGGGGAGGAACTAGGAATCTGCCAAAGAGAAGAGGGAATGGCACAAAGCCCAGAGAAGCCCAGGCACCGAAGGCCTGGGCAGAAGTGATGGGGGTGGCTGAGCAGGTCAGCTGAGCCAGACCAGGAGAGGCCCTGGGTGCCACCAAGAGAGGGCACCTGAACCAGGTCAGGGCAGAAACAGTCCAGAACAACAATCCCCCGCCTTGAGTTCTCATGGTTTCCTTCCTAAAATCTAATCTCAAGGTCCAGCTTTTTGGGTGGTAACTGTTGACCTTGGACAGTCTTGTTGGTAAGGACCTCAGATTGCTTATCTGTAGAATGGGGTTAGAGGCGCCTGCCTTGGATGGTTGGGAGGCTCAGCAAGATAAAGGGTGATGCTCTCAACTCTCCTTCACAGAAGGAGCAGCTACTAATAAGGCATCATCATCACGCAGTCCCCGCGGCTGGCCCACATTCAGAACCCCTTCCGTATTCCCAAACAGGAAGCAGAAGCCCAGCAGCCCACCCCTCCCGCGAGCCTGCGGCGACCACCAGAGGGCAGAACCCGGCTATTAGCACTTTTCACCTTAAGGGCCTCGGGCGGATCCCCACGCTCCCCTGCTCCCCGGGCGGCTGGGCTCCCCGGAGGCTGGACTCTGCTGTTCCTTCCCCACAGTGGCGACACCTCCTGCCTTGGGGCGGGGGTGGCGGCTTCTAAACTGGGCATCACACAGGCTAGGAACTCTGCCCCCCACCAGGGCTCGGGTGTCTCACACAGTACGGCCACACACGCCCGGGTCCGCCCCTTCCTGGGCACCCTGGGAGCTGCCGTTCCCAGGGCGACAGTCAACACAGGCAGGAGCTCCTTACGCAGCGGGGCTAAGACGTTTCCCAGCCTGGAGGCTTGTGTTCTCATCGGCCACTCTGAGATCGGGGTGCAAGGGGACAGAGGAGGACCCCTGTCAAGCCCTCCAGGACTGAAAGGGAGGGAGGACCTCAGGCAGCGCCCCCATGGGGACCCGCCCCACCCCCGGGCTCCAGAGAACCACATCAGCGGGCTACCGACTGCCCACCACCAGGCGGCCGGCCTCAGTCTCCCCGGCTACCCGAGGTGGCCCTGCGGCCGGCAGGGGTCTCGCTGGTGGCGACCAGGCCCCGCGGGAGGCCCAGGGCGTGCAGCAGGACCAGCTGTGGCGGGAGCTGGTGGAGGCCGAGGGGCGCGGCCGGCGGCGCTGGTGAGTGTCGGGCTCTGCCTCCTCCTCCCCGACGCCTGCCGTCGACGTCCGGGAGGTCCAGAGAAAGGGAGCCCGGGTGGGAAAGTGATCGGGGCCGCGGGTGCGAGAGAGGCCGGGCCGGGCGCAGGAGCAGAGGAGGTTGCGGGAGGAGGGAGGCCCTCGGGTCCCGGCAGCCCCTGGAGGGGCGAGGTCCCCAGTCCCCCAGAACTGCCCTCGGGCTGGATCCCGCGGAGGAGGCCGGGCGAGGCCGAGGGGAAGCCGGGATGGGGCTGGAGCTGCGCTGCGCTGCTCCCGGGCACAGGCCGCCTTCAGCGCCCACTCGGCGGAGACCCCGCCTTGGCCGCCGCCCCGGGGCGGGGGGGACGCATTCCCAGGACAGCCAAAGACTCGCACGGAGATCGATACAGTTTCCACGTTGTCCTCGGAGGGGATGGCTGCGGGGGAGTGAGCTCACGGAGACCTCTCCGGAGAGGTGACCAGCAGGCGAAGGCGTGAGGAGGGGCGGAGGATGAACTCCATGCATTTAAGAAAAAACAGCAGGGGCTGGGGTTGTGGATCAGTCATCCCCAACCCCTTGTGAGACAGGGTCTTGCTAAACTGCTGAGGCTAGCCTTGAATTTGACATCCTCCTTGTTCAGCCTCCCGTGTCACCGGGATTACAGAAGAATGTGCTGCACACCCGTCCTCGTTTACATTATTAAATGACTAGTTAAAGAGAGCTCTAGAATCTATCCTTGTCGCAAAACTGAAATTTTACACCTGTTCATTAGCACTGCCTGCTTCCCCTTCCCCACCTTCTGACTTTTCAAGTGCCTCTGATATCAGTATGGTCATGCAGTATGCAAACATCACCCCCACTTTTGCTTTTCCAAGTCTGGCTTACTTAGCTTTATGTCCTCCACGTTCATCCGTGATACAGCATATGGCCGAATCTTCTTTTTAAAAGCTGAATAATATTTATTTATTTGTTTATTTATTTATGGGGAGAGGGAACTAGGGATTGAACTCAGGGGCACCTGATCACTGAGCCCCATCCTCAGTCCTATTTTGTATTTTATTTAGAGACGGGGTCTCCGTGAGTTGCTTAGCGCCTCCCTATTGCTGAGGCTGGCTTCTGTTACACGAGTAGATCACAGTTTTGTTTACCCATCAATTTGCCCATAGATATTTAGGTTCACTCCCCACATGTTGGCAATGGTAAACCATGCTGCAATGAACATGGGAGTGCATATCTCTCTTCAAGATCCAAACTTCAATTTTTTTCAGATAAATATCCGAGGCAGGATTGCTGGACGTTATGGTGGTTCCATTTATAATGTTTTGAGAACTGTCCATGCTGTTTTCCATAGCAGCCGCACTATTTTGCATTTCCCCCAACAGTGTACAAGGTTTCCAATTTCTCCACGACCTTGCCAACACTCGTTGGTTATCTGTTGTGTTCTGATAACAGCCATCCTCCTAACTGGGTGAGAGGGTCTCATTGTGGCTTGGCTTTGCATTACCTTGATGATGAGCAGCTTTGAGCATCTTTTCACATGCCTGATGACATCTGCATGTCTGCCTTGGAAAAGTAGCTATTCGAATCTCGAGCCTAGTTTTCAATTGGATTATTTTGTTTTTTTGCTATTAAGCTGTGGGAGTTTGCCATGATTTGGAAGTTAACCCCTTATCAGATAGGTGTTTTGCAAATATTTTCTCCCCTTCCATACATTGCTCTTTCATGTTGATTGTGTGCTTTGCTGCTCAGAAGTGCTCTCAGTTTGACATAACCCCTCGTGTCTACTTTTGCCCTTGTTACCTATAGTTTTGATATCCTATCCATGAAGTCATTGCCAAGACCAGTGGCCTGAAACTTTCTCCTATGGCTTTGAGTTGATTTTGGAGACCATCTAAGAAAAGGGTCCAGATCTATTGTACACCACAAAGGAAACAGGAAGGTTGAAAGGCCTCCTGCAGAATGGCACAGAAGATTTGCACACCAAGCAGGTGTGGGAGGAGGGGCAGGAAGGAGTGAAGGAGGAGGGACATCCCAGCCTAGACACTGGAGTTTGAAAAACTAACAGAGAGGAGCAGGTCCATGACAAAGCTCTGGTCACTGACAAATGGAGTTCCCCAAGGGCAGTGGGAGGTGTGCTTCCAGACACTGAAGACCTTGGGGGAGGACGAGGGCTCCTGGTTCCCGGGAGCTAAGGGAAGTGGGAAAGGAGTGACTGCTAACAGAGATGGGCTTTCTTTTGAGGATGGTGAGAATGCTCTGGACTCAATAGTGGCCATGGTCGTGCAACTTTATGAACATACCAAAAACCCCTGGGTTGTACATTTTAAAAGGGTGAATCTTGTGATATATGAGTTCAATATCAGTTTTTAAAAGGAAAAGGCCAATGTTGACACCAGCAACAAGAACAGGCTTCCCATGAAGAACACAGAGCATCCATAAGAGAGAACCCAGGACAGACTTGCAGACCTTCCCGAAGATCCCAGAAGTCACCAGGGGACTGAGAAGCCAGAGGAGAAAGCCAGGAGGCCAGGAGGCACAGAGACCAGGAGGCCAGGGTTTTGGAGGCCAGGAGAGCCCCAAGCAGAGCTTGCCAGTAGAAATATAATAAAAGCCACATACACAATTGTAAATTTCTAGTAGCCATCTTTAAAAATGTAACAGGAACATTTTAATAGTAAACTAAACCCTAAATATCCAATTTATTACCATGTCTACATGAGGTCAGTCTATAAAGTTAATGAAGAGACATTTTATATCCCTCTTCGTGCCAAGTCTGAAATCCAGTTTGTACTTACACCAAGAGCACCCTCATGAGGACCTGCCACCTTCCAGGTGTCAGCGAGCCAACCCCATCCCACCTCACCAGAGGGGAGACAGACTCCTAGGAGGAAGGAGCTTTGCCACAGCACACAGGCAGCTGGACACGCATGAGAACTTGGCACCTTTCCTCGGCCCTCCCTAGGGGTCAGCGTGGCTCTGAGAGTCCAAATGACCGAAAGAGCCCTTCCTTGAGCAGCAAAGGGGGGGATGGGATGGGGATGTCAAGACAGTGACAGAGGAACCACAGCAGGCAGCAGAAGGGGACACAGAGCGCCCAGGAGGGCACAGGTGTTACAAGGTGTGGGTCAGAGTCTGCACCTGGCACAGTTAGACAACCTGGAAAAGTCAAGTAGAACTTCTAGAAATAAAAACATATAAAACTGAAAAGTAGGGCTGGGGTTGTGGCTCAGTGGTAGAGCGCTTGCCTTGTACATGTGAGGCTCTGGTTCGATCCTCAGCAACACATTAAAAAAAGGATAAATAAAATAAAGGTATTGTGTTTATCTACAACTAAAAAATTTTAAAAAAACGGAAAAGTACAACAAACTGAAGTGAGAATTCACGAACTCAAGATAGACTCAGATAAATCACTCAGGAAAACAAGAGGGAAACTGAACGAGATGGTCGGAGCTCCCCAAGCCGAAATGAAACATTTGAAGAGCAAATGTGTGGGAATTTTCCAGAACCAAAGAAACACGACTCCACAAATGATGATGGATGTGTTCCTCACAAACAGATTTGGGTTCCCAAAGAGAGAGGCCCCAGGGCAGGGGTGAAGAAAGGGACCAGCCACGTGGTCTTGCAGGGCCAGTCTGAGAGCAGGAGGACAGGGCTCCACAGGAGGTCTCTGCAGGAGGCACTGTTAAAGGAGTTGTGGGCCACCTGATGATACTGACTGAATGGACACTCTTGAGAGGGGCTTTAGGATTTTATTAGAGCATTTGGAATCAATGATCATAGACACCTAGAAAACTGGAAGCAAATGTAATTATTAGACCTAGAAAAAAGACCAAGTTGCATAAGAAAGGAACAGAGACCATATTCTGCTCCTTAGTTCATCAGTGAATAGTATTTTTGATTTATTTTTCCATTGCTGGGAATTAAGCCCAGAGCTGTGAGCATGCTAGGCAGGGGCTCCACTGAACCACACCCGGCCCAAGGAACAGCATTCCCATGACCGTCCCACATAAATAATACATATCAAGCTAACCAAGACCTACAACTAGTTTGGAAGGATGGCGGGAGGGAAGGCAGGTCAGAATGCCAACTCATCGTCTCCTATAACAGGAAGTCAAAAGAAAGTATAATTTTTTTAAAATCAAGCAAAGGTTAGCATAGGGTTTCAAAATATGAAGGCAGAAGGCTGAAGAAATAGCTAAAAGGCTAGGGACAATTTGACTCTAGGACATGGGCTCAGGAGCTGTGAGGCTAGGTGCAGAGAAAGCTGTATTTATTATGTCTTGTAAAGTTATTTGACTTTAGAAAAATAGATTCCAATAAAAATCCAACTACAAGGGCCTGTCATGCCATTCTCCTACCCCCACCTTCTCTGCACACACCCTGCAAGGTTCCCAAGGCTTGGGGTGTGGAAACTGGCTTTCCTTCACAAAATACTTGAGGTCTCCTAATGTGGCCTTCTGCAAATGCAGAGATGTGGTAAAATTGCAGCCATCCGTTTCCTTAGCAACAGAGTTACCACTCTGGGAAGTCATCAGTCATGAAAATGTGTGTTCACTTTATAGAATGCACCATAAATACCTGGTTGACACTTGGCATTTGTTCCAGTTAAAAATTATTTTAGAACGGGGCTTGGTGGTGCATGACTACAATCCCAGCAGCTTGGGAGGCTAAGGCAGGAGAATGGCAAGTTCAAAGCCAACCTCAGCAACTTAGTGAGGCCCCGTCTCAAAATAAAAATAAAAAGGGCTGGGGATGTTGCTCAGTGCTTAAGCACCCCTGGGTCCAGTTTCTATCAGGGCCCAGCCTAATACATATATGTGCCCTGTGGCACATGCCTGTAATCCCAGACTGGTGAAACTGAGGCGGCAGGATCGCAAGTTTGAGGCCAGCCTCAGAAACTTAGTGAGACCCTCAACAACTAAAGGAGACACTGTCTTAAAATTAAAAAAAAAATAAAATAGAAAAGGCTAGAGATATAGCTCAGTGGTAAAGCACCTCAGGTTCAATCCCCAGTGCCAAAAAAGAAAAAAAGAAAAGTTATTTGAATTTTTGGTGATGTGATACATAGTGACATGGAATGGTTTACTTGACATAGTGAAAGTCAGTCTTAAAAATGTCTCAAAAAAAAAAAAAAAAAGTCTCAGAAAGAATTCATGCTGCCCACGTGTTCTTCCTTTCCAGGGTTGAGAACTGGAGTTTCCTGAAAGACTATGACCCGATGGTAAGGCAAAACACGTTCCTGTGAAACACACTTTTAGTGTGAAAATTTATTAACTTTTCCCCTACATTCATCTAACATTTACCAAGGATCTACTTTGTGCTTGATACTGGAATGAGGAATAAAATAGCTGTAAGAAACACAGGGTCTGGGAAAAGAAAATATTTATACAGAACATTCAGAACTGTCCCCCTAGTACTTGCTGGTTTATTAATGTGAGTCAATGGAAATGGCAGGCATTTGCTGATGAGACCCTTCTGCTGATCCAAGATGCATAACATGCGTGTGCCCAGCCAAGGAGGAGAGGGAGCCTGGGTAAAAACACTGAGAACGAATTTCCCGAGTCCTGGCTTTCCTTGGCCTGCAGCTCCTTCCTGTCTTCAAAGCCAGATCAAGGTAGTCCCACCTCCAGTCCACCCTCCACTTTGCCACCAGAAACTGTAGCTCCCCCAATGAAAGGCTTTCAATCAATCGGGCACTGTGGCACCAACCTGAAATCCCAAGGACTTGGAAGACTGAGGCAGGAGGGTTGCAAATTGGAGGCCAGCTGGGGTGACTTAGAGAGACTCTGCCTGAAATTTTTAAAAAGAGGGCTGGAGGTGTCGCTCAGAGGTAGAGTGCTTGCCCAGCATGCACGAGGCCCTGGGTTCAATCCCCAAAGGAAGGCCACATGGGCAGGGGCTGTCCCGGGTGAAAGCCGGGATCTCCTTATCTGACTGATCATGCTGCTTCTGTCAGATGAAGGGTGGCACAAGATGACTCTAAGGAGGCGCAGATTATTCTTAATTCCCACACACTCGTTGGTGCACTCAGCAGCAGAATTCACCAAGGCCTGTGCTCGGATGCTCAGAGGGCCGACGCATCAGAGCCACAATCTGAAATCACCCCAATAGATTAAGGAGTTGGGGACAGTCACGGAACTCACGTGGTGGAACAGCAGGAGTGAGAGAGCTGCAGCCACTCGCTAAACCAGAAGGACCCTCGTGGACATGGTGGTGAAGAAGGAGGCAGACACAAGAGGCAGGAACAGGCTGGAGTTAGAGGTCAGATCAGGTTGCCTTGCCGGTGGAGGCAGTGGCTGGGGGTTGAAAGGAGGGGTCTGGGGAGCTGATTTTTTTTTTTTTTTTTAATCTAGACAGGGTTAGCAGACATGTTTGTAAAAAACTTTTGAGCTATGATCTGTGCATTTTTCTGTATGAATGTTACACTTTAAGTAAAAAAACACGCACACAAACACACACACACCTCTGTCTTCCCTCCATATGGGAAGAAGAGGCCTAAGGCAAGGTCCCTCCCTCCGTTGCCACAGTCACAGAGGAAAAGTCAGGAGGCCTGGGATGCCTGAGGGTGCCCAGGATGCTGAGGGGCAGACCTGCCACAGCTGCAGAGTCACCCCACTCTTGATGGGAGTCTTTTGTCCAAACTGGGACAGAAACACCTCACACCCACCTGCGGAGGCTGGAGTTGCTCCCACCAAGTGGTAAAGTTGGGGCTCCAACCAGCCGCTTAGTTTAGTTCTGGTACCACATACTTACCCAGCAAGCCACCTGACCTCTGTCCCCTCCCATCCTGAGGGCGCCCTGAGCAGCCAGGTCTCTCCTTTTCCCACAAGAGCGTGTGACCCGCGCTGTGCCCCCTCCTCAGGGCAATAAGAAGGAGCCTGAGAAGCTGCCGGACTCCGTGCCCCTCTTCTCGGACACACTCCCCAATTCCACAAACCAGGTTGTGGGCAGCAGGGTGGACACGCCCCTGGGGAGGACCCTCATCCGCATGGACTTCTCTGTCACCGAAGGGGTTCGGAAGAAGAAGCTGGAGGACGAGCTGCAGCCGGCCTAGGAGCAACCCCGGCCTCCGCAGGTGGGTGTGAGGTGGGGGCCTCGGCAGCCTCCGGAGGGTTCTCTTGGCTCACAGGAGATTAGGAGGATGAGAAACCTGCCAGGACCGCAGAACCCCGGCCACTCCAGCTGCTGCAGCTCAGGAACCAGGACGCCCCGACAGCCTGGGTTCCCATCCTGCTGCCCACCCTGGCCTGCAGCCTCGCTCCAGCCTCCGTGCCTCCTGGCCCAGCTGTGACACGTGTTCCCTCCAGCTGCTGAGTGCCTCAAGACGACATGCGTGTATCATCTTCTGGTTTTGAAGGTTATAAGTAGGATGTGGGTGTCACTGGGCCAAAGTCAAGGGGCCCCGGCGCTGTGAGGGTTAGAGGGGGGCTCCTTTAGGAGGCTGGAGGAGGAGCCCCGGGGTGCCTTAAGTTTCTAGAGGTCACTGGCTTTCTTTGGCCTGCAGGTTCTTCCAGTCTTCAAAGCCAGCTTCGAGGTAGTCTCAAGCACACACCCCTGTCTTTAGACGGCCTCTTGAGGAGAGCAGAAACTGCAGGGACCGGAATGGCTGTTTTTCCTTGACACTTGCTTGGGTTTTATTCAGCCTTACAACTAACCTTAAGTGCTACTGTCATTTATGTGTATTACTGCACTTGATCTTCTCAGCAACCATGTGGGACAAATATTATGGTACCTGGCAGGTGGAGCAATCTAGGCACAGAGAAATGAAGTCACTGGCCCAAGGTCACACAGCTGGCAAGTGGTAAAGATGGGGTTCAAACCAGCAGGTCAGCTTAGTTCTAGTACCACATACTTAAGTAGTAGACTATATGCCACCCTTCACTCAGTTCATAGAGTCCCAAATATTTAGCAAGTTATAGGGTTTTCTGCTTAAGGAAAGTCTCCAGGTCCCTGAGAAAGCATCCCACCACCACAAGAACAGGTCCTAGGTGTTACCAGGAGTTGCAGGGCACACTGCTTCCACACGCAGCCCCCTCCCCCAGGTACTCCACTTGCACACCCTGACCCTGCAAGAGTGTGGAGCAAGACCCCAGGCCCCTCTGGCCAGCAGGAGGAAGGGGGCGGGCGCAGCACACAGCCTGCAGGCTGGCTCGGGAGGAGCAGCTTCTTTCTCAGAGTCTGCGATGGAAGCTGGGCTCCCCTCCAACCTGAGATCACATGTCAGGCTAAAGGCAGTAGCCTGCACAGTCAGGGGTCAAGGTCATACCATGGCAGCATCAAATGAAGGTCAAATGCCTGCCCTCAGGCTGGAGGGGTCCAAAGCCAGCTTCTAGGGCTCCTTAAAGACCCCGTCTGAGTTCTTGCCATGAGCATGCATATATATTATTTTTATAACCCCCCCCCCCCCAAAAAAAAAAGCACAGTTTCCACTTTAGGAAGAGAACAGAGAGGAGCAAAAGGTATGAGGGACCTTGAGGTCAACTGCCACTGCAGGTGGTGGTGCCTGTGTAGGTTGGAAGGACTCACCAAGAGCTTCTCTACCTGCCCCTGGAGGGAGGGAGGGGGCCAGGGCCAGGGTGGTTCTGCCACTCCTGGGAACACAGACAGTGCAGTGGATAAGCACAGGCTCTGCTTGGCATGGTGCCCAAATCTCTTTTGTGGCTGTTTTTGTCACCGTTTGGTCTCTAAACTGAGCCAAGGGCTTGGATCCAGCTCATTCCCGCTCCAGGTCACAGGGAGAGGGGGAGGAGGTGGGTGCCCAGGGCAGCATCAGCTCCAGGACTGTAGCTTCTGAGCACTCAGGTAGTAAGTACTGAGTGCATCAGCCAGCCGCAGGGATGCAATGCAACGTCCCACCCACTGTCTAGCCCACAGGTCTGCATGTCACTGGGGCTCGGCTGACCTTGGCTGCAAGCTTCGACTGCAAATTTTGCCTACATGTTTTCCATTCTCTTGGATCCAGAGCCTCCTGCAGCAGTCTTCTCGTAGCCCACCACCACAGGGCCGGGACCCCTCTGAACCACAGGATGCTCAGTGGCCTCTGCACATAGAGCATGTCTCTGCACTCTGCAGCCAACCTGTGTGGCCCTGGAGATGCTCATGACCAGCCACACTCCCGCCGATCCCTGCCCCACCTGCCTTCTTTTCAAGAGGACATCTGCACTTGACCTTCCCCACCCCTGAGCCACCCACCAGAACCAAGGGAACTGGGACCAGGTTCTGACCCAGTGTCTTGCTTTGTTCCGGAGGCTGGCTGGGCTGGGAGGCCTCAGGGCCCGGGTACAGCAAGAGCAAAAGGGGCATTGTCAACAGAGAGATGTGTGGGTGTCTCAGAGCCAAGGACTGGGCAGCGGCAGGGATCTGGAAGGGACAGGAAGCAGGAGCCAAAGAGCCATCCTGAAGCCTGGAAGGATTCTTCCTTCCCTTCTGATCACTGCTTCTCTGAGCGCCTCGGCCTCATTCTGCTCTCTGGCAGACCCAGCATCTCCGCTTCCACATGATAAAAAAAAAAAACAGAACAACCACCATCCAAGTAAGCCAGGAGCACCTTCCTGTGTTAGGAAATAAGGCAGTGTTCAAACTCGATGAGGAACATAAAAGGGACAGAAGAACCAACCTGAAGGGGATCCCACGGGACATATTTGGGACAACAAATATGGAAAATGAAGGACAATAAAACCCATACCCACCAGGCAAGATGGCGCACACCCGTAATCCCACCTACTCCAGAGGCTGAGGCAGGAGGATCACAAGTTTGAGGCCAGCCTGGGCAACTTAGACCCTGTCTCAAAATAAAATAGAAAGGGCTGGGGTGTAGCTCAGTGGTGGAGCACTTGCCAGACATCATGCATGAGACCCAAGGTCCAAGCCCCAGGAACAAAAGAAAAAGAAGAGGCCATACCTGGCTACACCTGAGAAGCCACTTCCCATGGCAGTGCCCACGAACTACATTCAATAACACTAATAATGATAATAAATCTAACAATTTTTAAAATTTCAGGTATCGAGGAGGAACTCTTCTATTGAAGATAAGAAGTTATAGAGTAAATAACAACAAATCACTTTTTCCTTTTTATGGTACTGGGGATTGAACTCAGAGTGCTCAAACACAGAGCCACATTCTAACCTTTTTTTTTTGCTTTTTTTTTTAGTTTTAGGTGGACACAATGTCTTTATTTTATATTTTTGCTGAGGATCGAACCTAGTACCTTATGCATACTAGGCGAGTGCTCTACCACTGAGCCACAACCCCAGCCCCACTTTTTTTGCATTTTATTTAGAGACAGGGTCTCACTGAGTTGCTTAGGGCCTTGCTGAGTTGCTCAGGCTGGCTTTGAACTTGTGATCCTCCTGCCTCAGCCTTCCAAGACACTGGGATTACAGATGTGTGCCACCATACCCTAAAATCACTTTTTGGTGCCTGTCATAGCAATACTAATTTAGGTAAGAATAAAAGATACTAAAAACATTGGGCCAAAGATTCTTAGGGAACAGTAAATGCTGAAATCTAGAACATACCACCTTAACCAACTTAATAAACTCAACCCCACAAAGAGCAAGACAACTGACCCAAGGTAGTAAGTCCTCCTGCCAAATATAAGTAAATAAATAGCATAACCTGAGTGTAATCAGCAAAGAACTCCAGGCAAACTCAAACGGAGGGACATTCTGCCAAATAGTTGGCCTTGATTCTTCGAAAACATCCATGTCATGAAAGACAAAGGAAGGCTGGAAAGTGATCCAGACCAGACTGGACAGACCATCCTGGATCCAGCTCCAGGGTTCAAGCAAAGCTGGTTATAAAGGACACTTTGCTGAGTCTTAGAAGATGGACTAAACCTGAGGTGACAACATTGTATCAGTGTCCCACTGCCTGCAGAGTGTGCAGCATGGGATGATTTTTCTGGGGTTACGTAGAACACTCTTGCTCTTAGGAGGCCCCGCTGCTGCAGTCTGTAAAGTGCTGTGAGGTCTATAACAAACTCACCAATAGCTTAACACGAACGTTTGGTGTGTAAATAGAGATAGATAAAGCAATGTGGATAAAGTGTCAACAGCTAGTTAATTTAGATGAAGAGTGAGTGTCCATTGTACTATTTTTTTTTGACCATTCCAAGGGTTTGAGAATTGAAAATAAAAAATAAAGGTGGGAGAATGGCCACCACCAATGGCTCTGGAGTTGGCATCTCCTGGGTTGCAGAGAAGAGCCAGGGAGATAATCAGCACTCCATTTCTAGTCCCCTGTGAAGGTATTCTTTGGTTAGGTGCAGGCAGGGAGCCCATGTGCTCAGCTGTAGCTGAGGAGCAGGGTCAGAATGGTGCCCCTCCAGTGTGAATGTGCAGGGGAGAGGAGAAACGTTCTGTGCCCTGGGGGGCATATCCGAGAGCTGTCCCAGTGAGCCAACTGTGGAGACCCTCACCCAGGCACTCTCCAAACTTCGGAAGATAGTTTCAAGGGTCAGCTGTCCTGAGGCCCAAACCTGACTTCACTTAGGGCCTCCCACAGCTGTGAGAGCAGAGTCCAAGAACCCCAATACTTTTTCTCTAGTTTGCACCTGTTGGGGGGACTACAATATATTGATCACCTACTAAGTGAATCTCAATACCTCCTGAGGTGTGGATGGTTTTCCCCACTTTAAAATGAAGAAACTGGGATGCAGAGAAGTCAAGCGTTTGTTCATTGAAGACCTTGATGCCTATGCTGGGAGGACCCCTGAGGTCTGCCCACACCCAAGTGCCACACTATCACATCATCACATCTCTGTCTTCACGCCAAGCAGCCACGTGGGGAGAAGTCTCAGAGCCACACAGAAAGCCTCCTGTTACCGCTCTGCCTCACCCGACGAACTCCAGAGCAGACAGCTCCAGAGGCTTCTGTCCCCGCCAGGGCCAGCTTTTGTCCCACCCTAGAGCAGGTGCACTCCCTAGGTGGTCCTGGGAGCACTGATTCCAACCCAGCTCCGGTGACAGCTGGTCCCGGGGGCCGCGGAGAGTCCTGCTGCCTCTCCTGGTCAGTTGCAGGGTCCTCCCGAAGACTGGGAGGATGCACGCACGCGAAGTTTAAGCGTCATGGAAAGTTTAAATCTCTGAAAAACCTAAGGAGAAAAAGAAACGAAGATACTTGTAGAGAGTGAATCGCTACAGAACGGCCCTTCCTCCCGCCGAGGGCGCCCGTTTGCCCCGTGCCAACCCAACCGCGGGGAAGCAGAACTGCTGGGGCGCCTCCCGGCGGCTCGGAAGGGTGCGGGTGGGTGGAAAGAGGAAAAGTGAATCAGCAGCGGGCGGAGCCGGGCAGGGTGCGGGGAGCCGCCGCCCCGGGACCGGGCGATCCCGGGGCGGAGCCAGCAGAGCCCGACAGGGCGGCCGGTGATCCAGGCGAGGCGAGGAGCGGAGTGACCAGGGGGCGGGGCGGGGCGGGCGGGACGACGGACTCCGGCAGTCTGGAGTGGGGTGGTCCCCGCAGCTCAGGGCTAGGGCGGGGCCTGGGCGGGGCGGCAGCCGGGCGGGGGCGGGCGGACGGGAAGGCGGAAGGAGGGTGCGCCTCTGGCTGCAGAGGGTTGAGCCCCGGCTTTCCAGCTGCGATCCGGCCGGCGCCATGGAGGACGCGCTGCTGTGGTTCTGCAACTGGAGCACCCTGGGCGTGTGCGCCGGGCTCAAGCTGCCGCAGATCTACGCGCAGCTGGCGGCGCGCAGCGCGCGGGGCATCAGCCTCCCGAGTTTACTTCTGGAGCTGGCCGGGTAAGGCCCGAGACGGCCTGGCCGCAGCTGGGAGCCCGGAGAGCCGGGCTAATCAAGTACAGCTGGGCAGCTGAGGGTTGTCGGGCGCTTTGGGGCTGGGGCTGCTTCCCGGGTCTGCTCCCACCCTCCTCGGTGCCCTCCTCCAAGCTAGGTGACGTACGAACTGACTGCTCACGCCCATTTTACACGTGGGAAAGTTGACGTCCAGCGGGATCAGCGCTTGGTCCTGTAATGACAAAACCCACCGCTGTGAGCAAAGCCATTTGCGCCTTGAGCCCTTCATCGTCCCTAAACTTACTCTGCACCGCCGGTCTCTTTTCTGGTCTCGATTCCCTGTCCTCTACGACGAGAGCTTGGACCAAGGCAGAAGGTCCATATTTGGGGAATCAGACCATGGAGATGTCTTTGAAGCTAGAGGAGGAAGGGAACGTGGGTTGGCGCTTGAAAGATGGGCGGGTATCCGACCGGTAGTTAAAGACGGACGTGTGGAGCAGAGTTGTGAAACTTCTGTTTGGGAAAACACGTCCCTGAAACGCGAGGTCTCGACCCTAGTCCCGGCTGGACTCCCGCTCCCCTTCCCCCTGGCCCCCGTCCCCACGGTCACACAGCACCTCCGAGGGCTGGTCCTGCACGCACCCTGCGGAGGCCGGTCCGTGCGCGAGCATTCGGTGTGGGGCACCGATGGGGTTCCCACCAATGGAGGGAACCTTTCCCGAGAAGCTCGGCTGACCCGAGGGCTTGTGACCCCCTCACGGGCTTGTGAATAACCTTACGCTGGGCGCCTCCCACCCCGGCTGGACAAATCTGGAGAGAGCGCGAGGGGCCCAGAGTGTGGGAGGCAGCCTGCATTTCAGGTACGGAGGGGGAGAAGCTGGCAGAATGAGGGATAGGGCACAGTACAAGGACTAGAAGTGGCCCCACTGACTGACAGTGCGGGGAATGAGGGCGTGGAAAGCCAGGAGTGGGGTTTGGCTCGATCCCTTGCTAAGACACGGTGGCTGCCCGCGTGCAAGATTGGATGAACACTGATGCCTACAGAGTCCCAACCCTCACACCTGCTCTGCCCGCATTCCCGCTAGGGCTGCATGGCTTGGGAAACGCTAATCGACCTGGGGGACAGAGGGGTGGGCCTGTCTTAAATCCGGTGCCAGCTAACGCCTCATCCCATGGCTTACCTAGCTCAAACCCGCCCTGGCAAGGTGGTCTCTCCTGGGCCAGACAGCCCAAACGTTGGGGTTGGGGTGGCGCCTTCAAGCGTGTTGTCTTGCTGTTGATCACCGTGCAGACAGAGGAGGCTCTTCAGTTCGCTGGCCGCCAGCCTGCATATCTGCCTCCAGGGCAGTGCCAGGGCCCAGCCCGCAGACTTGAACGGGCTGTGATAAAGCCCACCTCCGAAGTCACCCTCCCTTCCAAGGCCTGATGAAGTGATTAGGCTCCACCCTGGATTCCAGTAGCTTTCTCTGCCTCCCTCCCCAGCAACTGTTCTTCAGGACTTGGGGCTCAGAGCACTTTCTGCAAGCCCTCTCCTGGCACCTTGGGTTTTGCCTTACTTAATCCGCACAACTGCTTTAGGAAGTACGGATTGTTTTTATCCCCAGACAATAGAACAATAGGAGTTGGCGGGGCAGTTCCACAGGAACTTGCCCTGTGCATCCTGGCTGCTCCCCCAACCCTTTCCCCTCTCTTCTTTCCCCCTCCTTCCCTGGGGAGGTGGTCAGGACCAAGCAGAGACACTGCAGGCCTGAACCCTGTTGGGCCATGCCCAGCTTTCTGGCCCGGACCAGGGGGCTAACAAAGTGAGAGCAGGAGGGTCTACCACCATCAGACAGCTTAGAGGCAGGACAGTCTCTGGTAACGACATGGACCCTCTTTGGACCCCCTTCTGAGCAAACAAACTATAAAACATTTTTTGAGATACGTGTGTCAACTGGAGCATGAGCCAGAGGGACCTGGGGAGACCCAGATCAGTCAGATCTCTCTGATCACTCAGGGAGGGGAGCCACTCGGGCTGGGTCTTCAGGAGGGCCAGGAGATAGCTGTGTGGACCAAGGGTTTCTCCAGGCTGGGGGCCTTCTGGAACTGAAGCTCAGGCAGAAACAGAAACAGTGAGACTTTAGAAGATGTGTTCAGACCAAAGAAGGAAGATGAAGACATCTTCACCCCTTTTAAAGTATTCTCTGTGCATGTCCGACAGACCAGGAGCCAGGCCCCGGAGCATCTCCACTTACAGATGGGGACACCCAGGCTCTGAGTGGTGTTAGGAAGTGTGCCCAGGGATCTAGCTCAGGGTAGTTCTGAACCCCTCTGCCTCTCTTAGGGCTCCACATTCTTGACCTTCATCCCAAGGCCACACGGTGAACACCTACCATGGGAGGGAGCCCAGGAAGGGACTTGGGAGCTGGCTGGGGCTTCACACCCAAGAACAGGCTCACTGCTGATGGCTGTTATCAGTTTTACCCAGAGGTGGCCTCTGGGGAAGATTCTTTTGGAAAAAAACTGGTTCAAATACAGACTCTGCCCCCTTCTCTTGGGCTACTTGCTTTGTGTATTTTTTTGTTTAAACCTCCAGCCTGTGTGCGGTAGCAGAAAACTCAAATGACTCCTCAGAGCAGACAAGGGATATAAACAGGACAGTGGCTGGGTGCCAGATGATGTCTGGCTTGGTTTTATTATAATGGACATTTTAACTATTACTTTTTAATTTGAAAAAATAATTTAAAAATAAATAAAAAACACTGCTGCACCCTCCCAGGCCACAGGAGAGGTGGGAAATTTGAGCCCCCTCTAAAAGCGGATGGCACCAGAGGACCAGCCTGGGAGTAGAGGACCAAGCTTGGGGCTGCAGGCAGCACCCTGGCTGGCACGAGGAAATCTAGGCTTTTCATCTTGTCCCTGAGTTCCTATATGGCCTTGGCTTCTTTGGGCCTCAGTTTCCCCAAGTGGTCTGTAAGGTATGGGCACGAGTGTGGAGGTTCCTGAAGGTGTGCACACTCTGACCTTGCCGGAGCCTGTTCTGCAGGTCTCTGGCTGTGTTCCAGGAGGTTTGCACTGTGACAGAGACCCAGGTCCTGGCATTCAGCTCAGCAGCAGCCTCCCCTCCCCCAGGGCCCTGGGGGCAGGGTGGGAGGAGAGTCTGGGAACAGCCCCCCCCCCCCCCTCTCCCTCCCCGCCGCTAAGTCAACTGCAAAGCACCCCCACCCAGACCCTGCAGGCAGCCAGGCTTTGGGGACCCTGCTGTCATGTAGAGGCTGACCCCTGAGGGTCTGGCCTCCCAATCTGTGACCACCTGCAGCTAAGCCTAGATACTGTCAGGAACAGGAGCGCAGGCCCAGGCCCCAGCCACCATATGCTTTGCTAACAAGGGTTTTCTGCTGCCCCTACCAGCTTAGGAAGGACCCTGTGGAAAGCACCAGCCCCTCCTGTGGGCCCCTTCCTTCCTGTCCCTGGGGAGCAATGGACGTGAGAGATACAGCTGGGCAGGGGACATCGCCTGAGAGAACACCAGGGGATTCTGGCTGAGGGAAGAGGCTGGGCTAGGCCCTGTGTGAGCCAGAGGGCAGGACTGTGCCAGGCTGCACTCTCAACAAGGCCAGGATCGTGGGGTCTCCAGCCCCTTACCCCCAACCTCTTACCCAGCTAGGCGGTTCCTAGTGGCCTGGAGGGTGTTCTTCCTTCCTCTCCCCCTGGCTGTGGGAGGCACCTTAGGCGACAGGTAGCATCCTTCTGCCTTAGAGCAGCCCTACCTCTGCCAGCCTTCCATTAAGCCCCCTCAGGCCCCACCCACCATCCAGGGATGTCCCTGCCCCCCTGGGATCCTTTCTGCCTAAGCCACCTCTTAGGGTGACAGCAGTGAGTGCCACCTTGGGAGTGGCGTCTCCAGGGGGCTCCCGAGAGCCCAGCGTTGCAGACTGGCGGACCTGGGTCCAGAAGCTGCACCCTTGTGATCCTGGTCAGCGCTTCGCCCTCTGTGGAACCTTCTTGGTAAACAGCCATCTTCAAGGACCCCATCACCATGGTTTGTGTTGCACTCCCGCCCAGCACCCAGCCATTCTGGGTGCCCCAGGTCCTGCACGTTTCATCCACCCTATTCCAACTTCTGTTCCGTGGCACATGGGTTCCAAGCCATCAGCTCTTAGCAACAAACACACCTGTGTTTGGGGCCTGGCTGGGGGCAGGGTGGCCCGGGAACATTTGTGCTCCCTCTTTGCAGGTTCCTGGTCTTCCTGCGCTACCAGTGTTACTACAGGAACCCGCTGCTCACCTACCTGGAGTACCCCATTCTCATCGCTCAAGGTAAGGCCCTTGGCCCCTTCTCCGGGCCGCCTCCGAGCCCCTCCTGCTCTCACGCAGAGCCTTTCCTTCCAGATGTCGCCCTCCTGCTCTGTGTCTTTCATTTTAACGGAAACATGAAACAGGCCGCGCCCTACATGGCTGTGTATCCTTTCAGCATCTGAGTGAGAAGGTTGGAGGGTGGGTTGTGGCTCAGGGATGCAGCACTTGCCTAGTAGTGTGAGGCCCTGGGGTCCGTCCCCAGCTCCCAGTTGGGAAAAAAAGAAAGAAAGAAAGAAATGGGGTCTGGGGTACTTGCTAACAGCAACGCATTTTGAAGCAGGTCAGTACCAGCTGTATGGTTTTTGGTTAAACTAAAATGTCTGTGTACTCGGACCCTCACACAGGCCCTGCCAGTGGCCTCCCGGGGACAGGGAGCCTGGTTGTGCTGTGCATCACCTGGTAGGTAGGTTTAGCGTCTCCCTGCTGACGTATAGAATCAGCCCTGCCAAGAGCGGTATCTCCTATCTTATTTGTTTATCTGAGACTTTTCTTCCTTGCCCGAAATATTCTGCCAGATTATTAAGTAATGACCATGAGAGCACCTGGCATCCAACCCCCTGCCACTGACACACCCGGTTGACCTCCTGGCCTGTGGGCTACAGGGTGTGGGCCTGTGATGGCTGACTCACGGTGCAGTCCCTCTGGGTCAAGGCAGGGCATGTCATGGTGGGAGCCTGGCTGCTCTCACCTGAGTGAGGGCGAGGCCTGGGTTCAGCCGTTGGTGAGCACTGGCTGTCACTCTGGTTCAACTTCACACCCCTGGAAGGGCTGGGGGAGCCTTCACTGGAGGGGCCAGCTCACTAATCCTCCGCACCCTTTTCCTGCAGGGCTTCACACCCTTTTCAGGGGGGTGGGGGGGGTGCTTAATTGAGTCCCAACCCTCTGCTGTCTCCCGAGTCCCTGTTCTGTGGCTCTGTTTCCCGTAGCACAGGGCCCGCAGAGCTGTGCCGCTTGTACTCTCAGGTTAGACCAGGTGGGCTAAGGGTTTTGAAAATAGTACTTGGAAGATGAAAAGCATTATGTGATTTGCTTTTTAAACAAAATAGAGCAGCTTATCGATGTGCAAACGCTGAGACCGCAGATGACAACTCCTGGATGTTGACAGTAAACTATTCACGTAACTGGGCACTGAAGTCTGGAATATCTGCAGATGTTTTTACCCTTCTGACAGTGGAGACCTACAGAAAGCAAATAAGGAGGTCACCATAGTCACAATAAATATATATATTTAGCACAAGTATATCCCCAATATGGCATGGGACATACTTTAGTCCAAAAATTTTTTGGTTAATCTGAAGTTCAGAATTTGACTGGGCATCCTATATTTCTGTTTTTCTTTTCTTTTTAAAATTTTTTTTTAGTTATTGATAGAAATTTATTTGTATTTACATGCGGTGCTGAGAATCGAACCCAGTGCCTCACACATGCTAGGCAAGTGCTCTACCGCTGAGCTCAACCCCAGCCCCATCCTGGGTTTTTCTCTGGGGAATCTGGTAATGCTGCGAATGAGTCATCTGTGGAATTTCAGTAGCTTCTATTACTGGTCAAATTTTATAAAGTGCTGCATGTATATTGAGAATAAATAGAATGGAGTGGGCTGGTACAGAATCGAGGGGAGAAAAAGTCACAAGAAGAAGTTGAGGGAATCGAGTTAGAGAGTGCTGTGGAAGTGGGTTGTGTCCAGTTGGATCCCGGCTGCCTCTGGTGTACCTGCGACCCAAGGCACCATCTGATCCAATCTTCGCATTATTAATGTAATGAGTTACAATAACAGCCATCTCCTGGGCTCCTCCTGTGTACTGAGGGCTGTTAGGAAGTAGGCAGGGCAGAGAATGGCAAGTCCATTGAGCAGGTGAGCAAACTAAGACATGGAAAGTGAGTTGCCCCAGCCCCCAGGGACACCTGGCCGCCCCTCCTGGACTTGCTGGTCTTGCAGCGTCATTGAGCTCCACACACCGGCCAGAATGGAAATCCAGATCGTTTCTCCCCCCTCAGCATTGCCCACCCACCGCTGTTTAAATTTTAAAAGAGAGTTGGTGGGAAAGGGGGAAGGAAGTCAGTCAGAAGGTCACTGCACCCGTTCTGCAGAAATTCCTACTTTGTAGGGTTGGACTTCTTTTGGGGCTGTGGGCAGGGGTTGAACCTGGAGGTGCTTAACAACTGAGCCACATCCCCAACCTTTTTAATTTTTTATTTATTTTTTAATTATTATGATTTTTATTTGTTCTACTTAGTTGTATGTGACAGCAGAATTTATTTCAATTCATCATACACAAACGGAGTGCAAATTCTCGGGTTATACATGGCGTAGAGATAGACCATTTGTGCAGTCATACATGTACCTGGGGTAATGGTGTCCATCTCATTCCGCCATCTTTCCTACCCCCATAATCCCTCCCCACCCTCCTTTTGCCCCATCCAAAGTTCCTCCATTCTATTTTGAGACAGGGTCTCACAAAGTTTCTTAGGGACTCGATAAGTTGCTGAGGCTGGCCTTGAATTGGTGATCCTCCCACCTCAGCCTCCTAGAGACTGGGAATACAGGCATGCACCACCATGCCCAGCGTGAGTGCTTAACTTTAGACAGTAAGTTGGAGATGTCCGCCTGTCAGGAATAAGGAACATTCCAGCCCCAGGGAATAGTCCCTGAGCACTGGGGTCTCTGTGTGTTTCTTCTGGGATCTGCTTCTGCTCCTTTAACTTCAAGCTCATGTTCACTTGCAGCCCTTTTGGTCTTTTCCAAGTCCAGCAAGTTCTAGCAGAACAGGCCCCAGTTCCACCCGTGGCTTATCCTCTTGGTGCATCTACAGGAGATGGGAGGGGGGTGGAGCTGCCAGCAACCTGCTGCCATGTCCCTTAGCACGTGGTAAGATTTGTGTCTTCTTGGTTCATCCTCAGCCTGCAGAAGTGGATCATTGACCTGGCCATGGTGAGTGTTGCCCCTATGACGCACCCGCGGCCCATCCCACAGTATGTAACTGTTGACCACATGTAATAGTCAGAGGATGAAGGATTTACTGAGTTAGAGAACTTCTTTCTGGGTTGATAATTGTGTATTGGCCACATACTCATTCTTTTTCTAGCTTTGCCCCACCCCAAACATTTTTTTTTTTTCCTCTTTGAAAAAGGTCTTATTTTTTCCTAACTTAGCTCAGAGCCAAAACTTCCCATGGGATTCTGAGAGTGGGTCAGGATGCCCTGGCCCACAGATCTTTCCAAGATGACAGAAGCGAATGTCGCTCCTTCATGCGAGAAGGGGAGCTCACTGGTGGTCACAGGCCACTGTCTGCCACATGCAAACTCATGGATTTCACTCCCACCCCCACAACCTGTCCTTGACTTGGTGGCTGGGTGCAGCAGTGCCGCCTGGAGCCTGGCTACCCTGTGGTCCAGGGTGGTATTCTCTTGCATGCCGACCTGGGAGTCTTCGCTGGGAACTCGGGTGCCTCCTGCAGCAGGTCGCTGTGTTCTGGTCTCTGGGGCTGAGGAGGCTGCAGCAGCTGTGAGCCTTCACCCTGCGGAAGGTGGGAAGCTGGCGGTGCAGGCTCCTCGAGAGTCAGGCCCGAAGGTCAAGGCCGTGGTGCTGGGTGCTCTTCTGTGCTCTCACCAGCCCTCCTGAGATAACACTTCATGACCTCCATTTGCCCTTCCCCTCTGTGGTCTGTCCTTCAGGCCTGTGTACCTGCTCCATGGCAGCTGGGGGGCCTGGGGACAGGGTAGTGGGTATCCGCATGTCGTGGAGCTGCAGAGCAGCCGAACGGCGGATGGCTTCCCTGGGAGACCTGAACCCCACTCTCACCCCCTGTTTATTCACAGAGGAGGGCGAGGCTCTTCAGAGTGTCCTGCAGCAGCTGGAGCTGCCCTGCTCCTCTCTATTCTGGTCCTAGTTTGGAAGGTCTTAGGGGCACCACGCTGTCCTGGTAATATGTGTATTAAGACAGGACACTTCTCAGTTATGGTCCCCCCCCCCAAAAAAAAAAAAAAAAAAGACCACTTCAAGATTTCACAGATGGCTTTTCTCCTGGAAAGATGAGCCCAGAAGAATCCAGAGGGCAAGCTTCTGTGCAGCAGGTCGGTCTCCTGGCTCCTCCCCAGGCTCTGTGTGGCCTGGGGCCCTGGGGCTGGCCTCAGATGCGAGTGTCCCTCTGCAGTCCTCCCTCCTCTGTCTGCCCAGCTCTCCAGATTGCCCACGAGCCTCTTTCCTCACAGGTCTACTTGCTTGGGGCTAGTCTAGCCACCGTCTGCACCTGGCACCACCTGGGTGACCTCAGTGGCCTCCCTGCAGGGACCCAGTGGCTGGACTTGCAGGTGCTGTAGGCCTGGCCCTGGTGGGCTACAGGCTAATTTTTGAGGCTTTCTGATTTCACAGGTTGCAGAGGACCCAAGCGCATCTCCATGTGGATTACAGCAGCCAGGACTTCAGGGGGATGGGCTGCCACTGGCCGCTTTGAGTTTAGGAGTGATTTTTCTTTAAAAGCACTGTATCTGGTGCTCTGATGGGTCTGACTTTCTTATGTTTCATCTGCAAACAGAACTTATGTACGTTCATCAGCGCGGCCAGTAAGTTCGCCCAGCTCCAGTATCTGTGGAAAGTGCAAGACTCGGGGGCCGTGAGCGCCCTGACCTGGGGCCTCGCTGCGTACACCTGTGCAAGTAAGGACGTGGGGTGGCCCCTGCCAGCATCCTGACTCCCCAGAAGTGGTGAACTTGGTTTCCAAACATCGTGGGCTCTTGGCCTTGATACTTTGCAAACAGCTATTCAGATAGAGCCTGCTAACTAAGAGTATCCACATTTACAAGTGGATTCAATGTCCTCTGCTCACCATTTTCTGCAAGATCCGTATTTTGTATTCTAGTGGCCAAAAAATAAATGGAGGTGAAAGTACACTTTCCTCCAAATATCTGGCCTCATGTTAATAGTCCTCTGAAAAGCACGGAGACTGATTATATTGAGACCACTGATATATTTTTAAACTTTGAATCTTAACAATTTAATGAATTAAACAGATGAAAACCATGTTAGCAGCTGGCAGTGGTGGTGCACACCCGTGGTCTCAGCAACTTGGGAGGCCAAGGCAGGGGGATCTCAGAAGGGCTGGGAGTGTGGCTCTGTGGTAGAGGGCTGCTGGGTTCAACTCCCAGTACCATAAAGGAAGGAAGGAAAGGGAGGGAGGGAGGAAGGAAGGAAAGGGAGGGAGGGAGGAAGGAAAGGGAGGGAGGGAGGGAGAAAATCACACATTGTTTTTTGAGAATGAATATCACCAATTTGTACCAATGGAGATTTTCTGCCGTCATGTTGTTTGGTCTTCATTTTAGAATTTCCACTATTCATTTGGACTCTTACAAGAACCACCCAGAGGGGCTGGGCCTGGGGCTCAGTGGTAGAGCACTTGCCTTGCATGTGTGAGGCCCTGCGTTCAATTCTCAGCACCACATATAAATAAATGAATAAAATAAAGGTCCATCAACAACTAAAAAAATAAAAAATAAAAAAAGAACTACTTAGAATACATAAACATATATGCTACGTGTAAATAGATATATTTTTATAATTCAGAGATACCACAGTGGCTTTATAGGACTTTAGTTTTACTATTTTAATTATAATTCATGGTTCATCTACAACTTATAGGACCAACTTCTCCATCCATAGAAATTGCTGGTTTGAGGTTTTCAATGTCTAAAGTTACTTAAAATGACTTAAGTTTTATTTTTAGCTTTCAAATGTTTAAGGATTAATGTGTTTTACATCTATGATTTCTTCTGGAATTGCTAATTAGATATATTACTTATTAGCTCCCAAATTTATCTTCAGACCTGTTGCTTATTAAATTTTCTCTTAGAAAGTCCCCTGCAGAGATGAGTCTGTTATCGCAACCTCTCTCCCATGGCACTTTGTACTTAATGAGGACTTAGGTGTTTGTTGAATAGGTGAAAAATGCACAGAGGACTATCCGTTTCTTTTCTTTGCAGTGCTGAGGATCAAACCCAGGGCCTCACTCATGCTAGGCAAGTGCTCTACCACTGAGCCACATCCCTAGGCCCTTGTGATTTCATGGGAAAAAGTAAACTGCTTCAAACCCAGTGTTCTTTTTGAGAGATGGGGCTAAGGACTTCCACACCGCTGTGGAAAGCATGGAGTCTGCATCTTTAGCATCCCTCCTGGTTCCTTCCCCCGGCTACTGTTTTTAGCCTTTGGAGCCAGTCACTGCCACGTAGTATATCTTCTCTAGTCACTGTGCTGCCAAAGAGGTCTCTTGAATTTGTCACACTGAAATTTGGCCATCCATCTCTCCAGCTGCCCCCTCCACCCCAGGTGCCTGGTCTCTGCCCTTCAGGCTTGTGGTTTAGCCGGAAGATGAGACCAAAAAGCTACATGTCAATATGCACTAAGTGCAGAGCATGGTAGCAGAGGGTAAGCACCTCTGGAGGGTTGGTTTGGTGAGAATGTGTGCTTTGCGCTGCAGGAGGTGGGGTTCTTGATCCAATTTCACCCTGATGTGCGCTGGTTTAAATTGCTACCCCAGAATCCTGTTTATTATGTGGAAGCTTCTTCCAGAAAAATGAGCCAGAACTGAACAGTTCTGGTTAGACTCAGGCACCCTTACCCATTTCTGGCCCTCAGTTTCCTTACCTGTGAAATCCAAGGTAGATCTCAGTGATTTCAATGCACTGTTTTAAGTTGGTAGGAGCCTTTCTTTAATGAAACTACCAGGAAGCTCAATATGCAAATGAGACTTTTAAATTTGCTTTTGAGGGTGGGGGTTGTGGGTTGGCACAGAGACAGTGGAAGGAGAGCTCAGCCTCTTCCTCTTCCTCTTCTGTAGTTGGCCGAACTCAGCTACTTCCTAGAAACTGTCTGTGCTCTTAGGAGCAGTTTGTAAACCACTGTGCCGGGAAGCATGGCTGGTGTTTGGATGGTTCTGGAATGTAGTGCTAGTTAGTGATCTGACCTAACAAAATCTTCCAAGACTGGTTAGTATATATTGGCATGTTAAAAGGGAACGACATTAGCTCAACACCCAAATGCCTGACAAGCAAGTTATTTATTGCTGCCAATTTTCTTTTACAGCAAGAATAATAACAACTTTAATGACCACCAATGATTTTACAAGTAAGCAAAAGTACTTTTCTTCCGGCTTCCTGTTTGTGTTCTATTTGTGCCTCTTTGGAAACTGCCTTTCCTAGATCAGCTTGGCTCTCGGGATATAGAGCCAGGATGGCAACAGCGTGTTCCTCATCTGTCACCATTTTTATTGCTAAGCGACTACTTGGAGTACCTGGGATAGACTAGGCACGAGGGTAGACTCCACTGCAGAATGAAAATGGGCAGTGCAGGAACCACACGCTTAGCTACTCGGGAGGCTGAGGCAGGGGGATGGCTGGAGCCAGGCAGGTCTGGACAACATGAAACCAGGTCTTTTTTTAAGTGTAAGGAGCAGGGCAGGATGCGCACCTGAAGGGAACCCGACCTCTGCGGGAGCTGAGGGGATTGAAGAAGACAGAGATCTTACAGCAGAAGAGAGACTTGGTCAGAGAGGTAGAGAGACCCTTACAAGGCACAGCACAGGTGAAGGCTGGGAGCAAAGAGGACTCAGGCCTAGAGAGGCCGAGAGGCCCCTGAGTCTGGCAGCACTGAGCAGGAGAGCGGGGAGAAAATCGGAGGAGGAGGAGAGTGCGGGGCTGGGGCAGGGCCTTCCCAGCTGAAGAAGGGCCACAGGAGAAGCCTCTGAAGCTCTGTAGAGCCGGGAGTGGCTCCTCACCGGATGAGGAGAGAGTGGTGGAGGAGAAAGTGCTCTGGTTAGAGTTTAGTAGTTCCTCAGGCTAATGTTCAACTCCCAGGTCGAGCCTGATGGATATTATAAATCTTTGGAAAAAAATTAGAACACACTAATTTTTCTGTTCACCTATCCAATGAAAATTAGAAAACGTCCCCAGCACACAGACCCTTAAATAAGCTAACTATTTGAGACTTATTGCTTCAGAACAGGGAAATGCATTTGATTGTCCTTTCCCAGAAGCCTGTCCCTTTGGCCCAGACTTTTTTTTATCAGCTCTGATTGTAGGATTAAAATTATTCTAATTAAGCCAGGCCTGGTGGCATATGCCTGTAATCCCGGCCACTAGGGAGGCTGAGGCAGGAGGATTGTGAGTTTGAGGCCAGCCTTGGCAATTTAGCAAGACCGTGTCTCAAAATAAAAAATAAAAGAGCTGGGGATGTGACTTAGCGGTAAAATGCCCCTGGGTTCAATTTAATACTATTAAAAAAAACCAAAAAACACTATTCTGATGAAAGGATCCAGTTAGATCAGGTGGGAGAGTGAGGATGGAGACAGGCCTGGGTCTCCCTCAGGACTTGAAGACTTCTTAGCAGGGAGAGTCAAAGGGTAACTAACCAAAACAGACCTACAGATGAGAAACAAAGTTCCAAAGACCAAGAATAACGCTTCTTGCTTGTGGTTGCTGTTCCTGAAAATGACCAGCGTGTTTGATGGCTGTTTTAAATAGTGTGGCTTACCTGTTTTACCATCACAAAGGTATTTTAAACCTCATAAACCTTATTTATCAGGAGTGGCATTGCCTTAAAGGCACTGTAACAGTGACCTCTTTATTTCACAGAATCACGGTTTTATGGTGACTTCATTATAAAATATGCTTCGATATCTGGCCTGTTCTTCAGAATTAACCTTAATGGAATGCATTAGGCTACAGAGAACACAGAACCGTCTGAGACAGCAGCGCCCCTTATGTGAAATCAGGAAAGGGATTTAAAAAGTTGTACTTCTCAGCCAGAGCCAGACCTCTCTCAAGCATGAAAGATGATTAGGGGTTAGCGTGAGGTCAGATCGGTGGCTGCAGGCAGACATCATGACAGGAAGCTCATTTCCCGGCGTGTCTGATCCACAGATGGATTTCATTCTGGGTTGGGGGTGAAACTTGATGTGGCTGCTGCTAGAGCAGGAAGTGGTTTCCCTCCATGATGTGACAAGCTCTTAATACCCGTTCTCCTTCTTTCTGGTTTTTTAGTTCTTATTCGTTTTGTGATCATGCTGGCTTTAAACATATGGGTAACAGCTACAGTACTTCGCTACCGGAAGCCCATCATAAAGGCTGAATGACAGACCTTATTGCTACACAAAAAGTGGATTTTGAGTAACTGAAGCAAAGGAAAAAGCAGCTCATTGCTACGTGAAGGTCTTTTATGTATTTAGTCAATCATTTCAGGAAACTTTGAAGTCAGAGGTATTTAGGACTTCAAAGAGTACTTAAACTTGTTTTTAAAAATGCCAGTTTTGCTGGGTATGGTGGCATATGCCTGTAATTGCAGGTACTCAGAAGGCTGAAGTAGGAGGATGACAGGTTTCAGGTCAGCCTGGGTAACTTGGGGAGACCCTGTTTCAAAATAAAATAAGGGCTGGTGTGTTTCTCATGGTAGAGCGCTTGCTTTGCATATGTGAGACCCAGGGATCAATACCCAGGACCAGGGAGAAACGTCTTAGAAGGCGGGTTTCCCTCCCTTTCCCCACTCCTGAGGTCACAGCCAGGCTGACAGCCCATCTTTGATATCTGCAGTGAACCACAGAAGATGCTCAAGCAGCCTACGAGCCCTCGTTCTTCAAGTCATGATTAAGTACTTTCTGAAAAGCCAACTACATCTATTTTTCAGGTTTCAAAATCTTTTAAGTAATAACTTCTTTCCACAATTAAAATGAACACGGAATGAGATTCTGCTCAGTTGGGAAATGAAACTGCAATATATCAGCAGGGCTCGCTCTGGGCCTGCTTAATTGTAACACAAATAAAACAGCACAGCCTGGCTTGATGCTACACACCTGCCGGGCTAAGCAGGGAGAGCTAAGCACCTCCTGGGAAGGCTGGTGTTCTGTGCTCAGTGTCCTTTGGCTTCACCCTGTGCCTTTGAATATTTCTATAAAATGGTACTGATAGTTGTAATCTCCACTGAGGATGAGGAAATGTATCCCAGGGAACTTCCCAGATTAATCACAATGCTACCATTTAAAAAGGGCTACACCTGTATCATTACTGGGTTTCGGTATAAGACACCACTTTTTACCTATTGAAAATATAGTAGTAAAGAGCAGTGCTAGGTTCTGTCTAAAGCTTATGGATTTTATTCTTATAGTATCTTGTCCTAAACATGTTAAGAGTATTCCCTAACATTTCAAAACTCAAATCCCCCTTCTACGTGAATGGTATTATTCTCTTATATGCAGTAAGTAAGCAATGTTTACTAGTATACGTTTACTTTCCTGTGAACCTGTGTATAATAAACTTTCATATTTTGGACTCTGATTGATTGATTGATTGATGCTGGGGATTGAAACTAGGGTCACATACATGCTAGGCAAGCACTCTACCACTAAGCTTTAATGTAATTTTTGAAGTTATATAATTTTTCAATAAACTGGTTACTTATTTCAGAACTACCACTTGGGACCATGAGGAAGAAAAATACTGTATTGAAAACCCCAAAGACGGGCTGGGGATGTGGCTCAAGTGGTAGCGCGCTTGCCTGGCATGCGTGCGGCCCGGGTTCGATCCTCAGCACCACATACAAACAAAGATGTTGTGTCCGCCGAAAACTAAACAAAATAAATTAAAAAAAAAAAAAAAAAGAAAACCCCAAAGACTCGGAAGGCAGAGACAGGAGGGTCCAAGCTGGAGGCCAGTCTGGGAAAGACAGTGGGACTGTGACTCAAAAGAAAAAAATGCTGGGGGTAGCTCAATGGTAGTGTCCCTAGGTTCAATCCCAGTAGCAGAAACTAAAATTAAAAAAAAAAAAATCATTCTCATGTAGCTGTTTTGATCATAGATGGCCTTTAAAAAAATCCAAGTTGATATTTCCTCATATACACTTATAACCTATTAGTGCAAATGCAAATTATGTGATTTTTTATTCCAATGAAGGTTTTGATATACTTTATCATTGCTTAAAATAACTCCCTTAAGAACATATCTAAGAAGAGTTCTCCGATTTTTCCTCTTTGGGAAGGAACAAACATTTTAATTATTCCAGACACACATTTAATCCTTCATTTAACAGATAAAAACATTGAGGTGAGTGCAGCTGTGGTCTAGACCACGCCAGCCCATGCTTTATACCCAGGTTTTAGGGAAGACAAATTTTTTGGTAAGCTTTAGAAAGCTGTAGCATTCCAGGACTATTTCACAGGCAAAGTATGAAAATGCTTACATCTTAATTTCTTTTATTTATTTTTTTATAAAAAGCAGGCATAAAATACAATTACATTTCTACAAAGATGCAATAAAATTAAAAAAAATCAAGGGGGCACGATTTTTGTTCATGGGGACAATTGATCAGCTATTTATGATGATCTAAACCATGCAGTTCATAACTTATTACAATCCCAAACATACGTCATCATGGGGAAGGGAATCAGGCGAGGCCCCAGGCGTGACACCCACACTGTCACACAGTGCTCTTCTTCAAAGTGCTTTAGGGCCGAGGCACCTTCACAAGCTAGGGGAGCTGAAGCCTCCGCCAGGCGAGGGAGCGAGTCAGTAGCAGTGTCACCAGGGACTGAGAGGCTCAGTGAGGTAGGTGCTGAGGGGTGTAGACACCTACTCAGAGCCTTCTCAGTGAGGTGAGTGTAGTGTCTGAGTGTCTGCTCTACCCTCAGAGCCCTATGAGAAGGACGAGCAGCAGCAGCAGCAGCAGGACTTGTGAAACTGCGCGTGGTGGCCTAGGGCTTCCCGGGTAGGATCCATGTACTGACTGAGGCCCAGCAGCCCCGCAGAGGCGCATCCTGGACCCCGGCACTGCTGCAGTTCCAAAAGCGCTCACTGGTTACACATGCCCATCAGGTGCTACCCATTAGTCAGCTACAGCATTTTAAACTTTCAGATTTTTAAAAAAAAAATCTTGCTTCTAGATAGGTCTTCAAAAATTAATACTTAAAAAAATTCATTATACATTAATCTTCAACAGTAATACCGGCACTAGTTTTACTTCTGTCTCGCTATCCCCACAAAAGTAAAAAAATTAAACTAAGAAAATCCCAGTATTCACTCTTTCTTAGTTCCCATAGGAGGTATTCGTGGCTCTAGGAGAAATCAGGTGTGAAGAAATAAACAGAATTTGGTCTTATAAATATCTTAGAAATTCTGGAACCTCAAGAAAAAGAAACTGGCACAAAATCAGGTTGTTTCATATTTACCAAGTGTTGGGAAGAAAATGCGGACAGATGTGTACATGAAGGTGGCAACTGGGGAAAAAGCAAATTCTCACCCAAGGTCAGAATTTTTTATTAAGCACATTTCCATTAGTTGGACAAACAACCTTATAAATCTTTTTATCAAACCATATAATGTGAAGAATCTCCATGGGAGAGATTTTTTTCTCACCCCTCAGAAAATCTTTTCCCCTAAATACTTCATATTAATTTTTCTTGTACAGTTGTATCACACCATGATTCTCCCTGTTCATATATATACACATATGCATATATGTATATACATATACACGTACAGCATTCAAAATTCAAACTTTTGCTTTTTACTCAGATACTTCAATTACTCGTGTAAACTTGAAATTATTTCACCTTAATAAAGTTTATTAAAAATATATATATATATATATATACTCTCCAATTCAGAATAATAGGATAGAACCTCCCATAGTGTAACAAAATCTTTATATAAAATATTAATTCAGTCTCCTTTTAACAACTCTAATGAATGGAATATTTCTTCTATATAAATTTTATATATTTTTCATTTTAATCTTTAAAAAAAAAAAAAAGCAAGCTGTGTCCCAGCCAGCACTGCAGGACGCACCTGCGAGGGAAGTGGCAGCACGTCGAGTGTTAGCACAGAAGCAGGGAAGAGCGCAGAGCCAACAGCATGAGAAGAGCAGAACTCAGCTCAGAATATGAGTAGGCCAAAGTGCACTCTGTAACTCCCACAAAAGTATCTATAATGGGGACTCAACTCTTCAAACATCTCTGCATTAACCCCAGAGGGAAGCAATGAGAAATGTCTACTTCCTTCATTGAAATACTGGATGATACATTTCGATCATACCAAACTCTGTGTGTGTACACAGGAGAGCCTGATAAAAGACTGATTTTTTAAAAACTTGATGCCTACCATTGCTGCATACTGTTGCAGTACAAAACATACTTATCTGGGATAATGAGAAACACAGCAGGAATGGTCCTGCATAAATTTTAGTCTTGAGAACATTTTAAAAATAAAAATTTAATCGGGTGCCTTTAAGGCTGCTTCCCCCCAGTCACTGATTTTCTTAACCCAATACTGAGATACCACCAGACACAGTTGTGTGTTTAAGGATCACATTTAAATATTTAAAATATATCTACAGTATATCCTAGTTTTCTTTATATTTGAGACAATTTTTAAATCTTGAGTGTGAAAATGTAAAAATAGTCACAAATGTCTTTACCAGAAATAAAAACACATCTAAGGTGGCCAGTAAGTTCAAAGCAAAGAGAACATTTTGTAGTCACAGACTAATACTGAGGTCTGTAGAAAGGGATAGATGAATAAAGATATACAACAAAGATATATTAGTTCCAATACTAGCCATTATTGTTTCTAAGACCAATACATTAAAAAAATTGTTATACAATCAAAATAGGCTGACATTGATAGAACTATGTGTAAAAATAGTGCACTATTTTTTTTTGTTTTTTTTTTACCCTAAGCAACTTTGCATCCTAAGAGCTGGTAAACACTTGTTCTTTTTTTCTTAAATACAGAAAGGATGAGACTTTGAAAAAAAATTAAATTAAGGCATTCAAAATGGGTAAGGTTGTCTATCATGAAGCATTAGGAAACTGATATAATTAACTTCAAACTTCTTATTACAGCAACTGTTTAAACATGAACATGCAGCTTCTATTAGGTGCAGGGGAAAGTGAATCAACTCCACATTATGGCTTTATACAAGTGCATAGTTGCAACTGAAATAATGATATCTGATTAATGTATATAAAAAAATAAAATGGGGAGTTAAAAAAACCCTCTTGCAGTATTACAGTACTATATGTGTGTGTGCACATACATACACACACAGTATCATGGTCACATCTTAAAGATGCAGTCAATATCACTGTAGTGGAATCCATTCCCAGGTTCTTCTGGCATATGTGCTGGTGAAATCTCTCTATTGAAGCTGAAAAGATGATTTCTTCAATATTTAACTCTTCTCAATTCTTCTGTGCAATGTAGTGTGAGTGACTGCCAAGAGAGCTTTATGAAACAAGTTTGGGAGAGTTGCAGATGATATCCTTATTCTATTAACCAACTGCTGTTGGTTCAACTTGTTTGAAAGAAGCTCGGAAAACCTCTCCAAGACTTGTCACTGATATTACAGGAAAAAGGAAACACATATATGTATGTGTATACATCAGTCTCTCTGGAAAATATAGATTTTTAATAAATTTTGGGTCATCATATTTCAGTCTTATTTTAACTGGAAGAATATGATCACCTTGAATGACTGCTTTCATAGAAGGCAGTTAGCTGGAAAGAAAGGAAAGATAAAAGTTAGTTGATAGTAAAATAATTTAAGAGACTGTTAAGTTCCTTGAAAAGGCATTTCAATTCATACTTTTAAATTATACTGTCTTCCAACTGCTATATTTTTAACACCTAAAATCATGCATAAGCATAGTAACTGTATTACTTTTCTTATTTTTTTAGGTACATGCAATTATATTGCTTTTCAATACAACAATGGACTTTGGAAGTCCCATAGTGGTTACAAACATTACACACAGTTTTAATGCAGTTAACAAGATATTAGGGTTAAACAATATGCCACTAATAACACATCTGAATTGAAGTTTGATGTGAGGTTTAACTGCTAGCTGCTTCATGTATTTGAAAGAGCAGTGGTCTTAAGGGCCAAGTTCTACTTGGCTGTTTGGCCCTAAGCCACATTTTTCTTATTTATGAAACAGGAACAAACACAATGTTGTAGTAAAGATGCTCCATAAAACCTGCATATAAACAGATCCCAATATCACATGATGTAAGTACACGTTTTGCAACATGCTGACTTAGTGTAAGACAGGTATTACTTCCTCTAAACGCAATCTACGTAAAAGATTGAGGTCACGAGGCTCAACTTTCATTCCATTTCCTTTAATCACTATTAAACACACTATTTGATGTTTTCTAAAAGCATGGGAATTTTCACGGCATATCATTTGCATTCTTCAGCAAGGGTAACACTGAGTTCTTGCAACATCTCATCACATCACAAAGAAAGCCAAATCAGAAATAGCAATCACAGCACTTAGCAAACTTAGAAAGTTTTTATGGTTTGAATTCTTGCAAACTAGAGAAGGAAAGAGGGAGGAGAAAGGGATGGAGGAGGAAAGTAATCCCATGCTATGTTCACAAACTAGTGCAGCTGTAGGAGCTTCAGAACACTGTAATTTTACTTCTCTGAACACGGCTTCTTTGGAATGAATAGAAAGTACCAGAATTAGCTCCTTTTGTTATTTCTACATGTTTCATTCCCAAGATAAAAATTTTTAATTTTGACAATACTGAGAATTTATAGACAATAGAGAATCTGAACATAGCATTTTACTTTTATACTTCACATGGAAATTTCAGTTAGAAACTTTTCTGTAAACTCTTTTTAAACATAGACTATTAAAAGCAACTTTACAAAATTTCAAAACTAGCGGAAAAATAACGAAAGCCCAACTGCAAACCACATGCTCTTCACGGAAGTGCTAAAATAACTTTTTTTTCCATTTTTTTGATTTACCCCATTTATTTCTTCAGAAATCAAAAACATCGTCATCATCATCACCATCATCAACATCATCAAATGACCAATCCCAGTCTTTAAATGCCAAATCAAGCAATCTGCAATAGGAGGTTTGCAAATTTATACTCTTAACATTCTTTATAAAGTACAGCTTAATGCTATGATGAGAAATCATATTTCAAATGTGCTGTAAGCATTTTCACTTTCCCTTCACCAATAACATAATTAAAATTAAGATGGATGCATAAAAGAAAACTTTCCCCTTGTATGTAAATGTACACAATTATGTTGGCCAGGTACGCTTTCTAGAATACTAGTTAACTAAAGACAGAGATAATATCTGGGAAAATATCATACAATCTGCTTCCTCCTCCTCATCCCCACTGCCCAGATAAAGATGTAACTGTCCTGCTACTCAGTCTGAGAAACATGAAGGCTCAACAGCTGCCAATATTCCTTTCACAGCAGTGCCTAGATTGTCCGCTCACATTTCTCCACAATAGCACCACAAAGCCTAGAAGAAAAGGGGAGGGATACCCTAGGAACGCAGTCTTTCCAATACCAACAGTGCCCTACCTAGCTCAGGAGGTCACCAACACCTATGCTCTACATGTGAAAAGGTAGACACAAAGAAAAGGCTACAGGTATATAAGCGACATGGATAACTTATCTTGGCTAAATAAATTTTACTTAGTGCTGGGGTTTTGTCTTCTCTCCAATCCAATAATAAGTAACACTGAAATCATTGTATTAAAAAAAATAGGAGTTATCGTTCATTATTTATAACTGTGACATTCATCGATTTGTGCCAAGGAACTCACTGGTCCCCAAAATCTCACCTGGGATCACTACGTCCCCCCCAGTGGTTCTCAACTTTAGAGAATATGATCTTCGGAATGCTCTTTGAAACTTTGACAAAACAGGTTTATGGATGTTATCTTAAAACTAAACAAACCAACTAAAATTCTTGTCTTCTAAAGTGGCAGAACAAGGAAAATCTGAGAAAACAAACTGTGGGGCACGGTGGTGCAAACCTGTGATCTCAGTGGTACAGGAGGCTTAAGCAGGAGGCTCCTCAGTTCAAAGCCAGCTTCAACAACTTAGCAAGGACCTAAGCAGTAAGAGTCTGTCTCTAAAGAAAATATAAAAAAGGGATGGGATGGGGGGCTCAGTGGTTAAGGCCCCAAGGTTCAATCCCCAGTACCAATAAATAAATAAACAAACACAAACTTTGATATAATTTTACTTATTATCTATTTGCAGATCACAGCTTGGTATACACTAATTTTATGAGGCTAAAGTAACTTTTAACTTTTGTTTCAACTTGGAAGATTACTATAGGTAGGGCTTCCTAGATTCCTGCAAGATCACTATAGGTAAGCCTCAGTTTCAGCACATTTTAGGAAAAATCAGCATTTCATACCCTTCCAGAAGCTCTGAAGTATGTGTCAGTACCACAATCTCAAGTTTCACAGTCCAGTCACACAGTTGCTGTGTGCAATACATGATAGGGCTTCCCTAAGACCTCTCTTTCATCCCTTCTATTCAGTCATTTAACTTTGGTTTTTTTCAACTTTAAAAAAATCTTTTTGAATTTATGTTTCTTTCTTCCATTTTCACTGTCAGTTCTCAGTTCAGGGTCTCATTAAGTTTGAACAGACCAATCCCTCATTGAAATACCTCTACTTGTAGAACAAAATCAAAGTTCCTCAGCAACATGCAGCTGGTTCTTAAGTTAGGTTCAAAACTTCCTTGTCAGCATCATGTCATCTTCTACCACTTCCTACCGTCACTTGCTCCTGACCCCACTGTGGCTCGTTTCACACATGAGCAATTCGGACAGCTTCATTCTTCTGCATGTGACATTTTGCCTGGAATTGTTTTTGCCCTTATTTGTTTGCCTGGAAAATTAACGATTCTCCATTTTTTGTAAACCTTTCACCCCACTCCCACCCCAATTTTGGGTATTAAACCCAGGGGCACTCTACCCACTGAGCCACATTTATTGAGACGGAGTTTCCCTAGGTTGCTGAGGCTGGCCTTGAACTTGCAGTCCTCCTACCTCAGCCTTCCAAGCTGCTAGGATCACATGTGTGCACCACTGTGCTGGGCTCGAGACCTCCCTTCATACCTCCAGCAGAATTCACCATGCTTTCCTTTGGCGTTCCATGTCTCTACTGCAGGCAACATTTTATAAGGCAGTTCAATTATCCATTTGCCTGTTTCCTCCATTAACTGGTAAGTTACACCTCAGGACTTCGAGACTAACTATCAAAGAATGCTTCAGAGGGTGCACTGAATTTTGAGTTCTACCAGCAATACACAAGAACATTCACTTCTATCTTACAATACTGAGTTTCTTAATCCTTGCCAGTTTGGCAGGTGAGAAATGGTTTTATGTTATACCTGTAATTCTTTGCTTAATAATTATTTTGATCACATTTTTACTTTTAAAAGCTACTTCTAGAGTAGTGCCTCAATGGTTTTCACTACTTTTATATTAAGATAAGGCAGTTAATGATTTAAAAGACATCCTGTTTGTTTTGCAATGCTAGGGACTGAAATCAGGGCCTCTTGCATGCAAATACTCTGCAACTGAGCTACACCCAACAGCATCTAAAATATTTTTATATACAAAAATATCAACCCAGACTATTCATATATACGTTGAAAATATTTGGTATTTTAATTTATTATAAAATGGTGTTTCAAACTTTTACAAGGCTTTAATTTCAGAATAGTAATCTCTATATAGTCACTTAATTTATTCCATTTATTTAGTGGGCTTATTTCAACACTTTTAAGTTATATACAACTTTATCATTTTTCCCAAATAATTAGTCTGCTAGCTTTCTAGCACTTAGAAGTAGAAAAGAATGAATATAAGATCACCATGACACAAAAGCTCTCCTCACCCTGAAGTTTTAATTATGCTGGCATTTTCCCCCTTAAAACCAGATAGCACCACAATGAGCACTAGTTGAATTTCTGCTTTATACTTTCCAGAATGGTTTAAATATTGTATTTTTTAAAAAAGACCCCAGGGGGAAAGGAGCAAGAAATGCACCCCAGCCAGGCCAGTACTTTTGTGTCTTGTATTGAAACAAATTATTTTATTTCCCTGTCTTCATCAAGTTAGCATTTTATTTTAAAAAATCTACTTTCCAGCACAGTATCTTAATTTTAATGGAAAATCATCAAGGTAGCACTCATTTAGAATACTGTTTCTATACATTATGCTTCTTAAATGGTCAATTAACTTCTATTTATACCACAGAGAGGCCAATAGTGGAGTGTTGTAGTTCATAGTGCAGGCTCTGAAACTAAATTGTTTGGACCTAAATTCATAATCCTACAGCTTTCTGCTGTGTGATCTAGGGCAAAACCGTGCCTCAGTTTCCTTATCTATTAAGTGGAGGTACGAATAGCTATCTCACGGTGGTTTTGAGGGTAAGTAAGTACAGCAAAAGCTCTCAGAAGAGGACCTGGCATATAATGAGCATTCAAAACAGTTCTTTTATGTAATAATAATAGCTACCATTCATCTATTACTTTAATCACTTCACTAGAGAAAAGGGGAAGTGATATAGTAAGAGTTGATTGGAATCTAGAATGTCACAGATGCTAAAGGAAAACAGATAACAGAGCAACTGTTAACAAAGAAAGATACCATCAAAAGATTAGGCAAATATTTATGGACATGCTTTATTTAGTATGTATACAAATATATGCATAGGATGTGCCTAACAAAGCCAAAGAGCTGTTTTAAGAAGAAAACCAAGTGTATTAGTTCAACTAAAGCCAGACTGGCTAGTACTAAGACTAATATTAAGTATACATAAACTTAAGAGCTAGAGGGGCTGGGTTGTGGCTCAGCGGTACAGCGCTCTCCTAGCACGTGCTAGGCCCTGGGTTCGATCCTCAGCACCACATAAATAAAAGATATTGTGTCCAACAGGAACTAAAAAATAAATATTAAAAAACAAAACAAAACAACAAAAACAAAAACAAAAAAACCTTAAGAGCTAGATATTAAACCACTGCTGTTAAAACACCAGAAATTCTATCCCTATGTTTTCTTGGATGGTTCTTTACCATCTCTACCCATCTGTATAGTATGGTATGAATGGGCAGAATGTTAAAGGTCATCTCGTCTGAAACTAGACCACCTAGAGAACATGCCATCTAATGTCTTCAAACCTGCATGTCTGCACAGAAAATACAGAGGTAAGCAGCTCCAGCAAAGTCTCACTTAGGGCCCACTGAGAGGGCATGAAGGTCATGCAAAGATCTGGTGATAGGGAACTCACTGTTCCAGAATAAGCCAATTCTTCCAATTTTAGAAACCCCTGAATGCCTGATAGGTTTCCCTTACTGAACTGAAAATGTACCTCTCTAATTGGGTTTGTTCCAATACATTTTCCAAGGAAATTCTTCTTTCTTTTTAAATAATAAAATATCTTTGCTTCTTTCATGTGCTACATGTACAATACTTTCATATGACCCACTAATAACCTCATTCATTCTCTTCTATATGCCTTCCAATTTGTGTACATGGCTCTTAAAATGAAAACATAAACACCCAAAATAAAATACCAATTGTTGGGCTGGGGATGTGGCTCAAGCGGTAACGTGCTCGCCTGGCATGCGCGGGGCGCTGGGTTTGATCCTCAGCACCACATTAAAGTAAAATAAAGATGTTGTGTCCAGTGAAAACTGAAAAATAAATATTAAAAAAATTCTCTCTATCTCTCTCTTAAAAAAAAAAAAAAAACACAATTGTAGGTGATTCCTGGAAGACAGACATGTAAAACTCACAATTTGTGAGTTATTGGAACAATGGAGACACTGATGAACAGTGGAAGAGATGTTTCAGAGGCATAACAAAACCTGATTATATATATTTTTAAAATATTTTTTTAATTGTCAATGGACCTTTATTTTATTTATTGATACATGGTGCTGAGAATTGAAACCATGACTCACACATACTAGTCAAGTGCTCTGCCACTGAGCCACAATCCTAGCCCAAAATCTGATTATACTTTAAATGTGCCCATCTTTTATGTTTAGAATTTTAGAGTGCATGAAATTTAAGATTTTTCAAAGCATACTCCATACATTGTTTAGTTTTAATATTAGTTTTACCTATATGCATGATTATGAGAGAAAGAAATCCCTATTACTTACTGTTGGTACAACAGATCAAAAAAAAATGAAGAATAATTTGAAGGGCAGGGCAAGTTAAAAAAAAAAAAAAGTGACAAAAATCAAAAGTAAATGTGCTTTCAAATACACCACAATGCTAATTTGGAGTGGAGGCAAGAGAAGTTATTCATAAATCAGTGACCATGAAAACAGAAGGTTAAGTCAACGAAAGCATGCCACACTTGGTCTGAAAAATGGTTCATAAACTAATTCTGTATGTTATCACATTCAGGGAAATCATTAACTTATATCAAAAGGAATAGGGTTGTTCCAGTTTCAGATTTAAACAAACTGTTTGCCCTTCTGGAATATTAATTTAAAAAAAAAGATAACAAGACTGTGCTACTTCATGAAACCATTGTAAAGATCAAATGAGAGAAAATAAGGAAGTTAAGCAGAGAGCACAATATATATGAAGTTGAAAACCACTACCCGTTTAAAAGGTGCTTTGGTTTGGATGTACCCCCTGATCCCCATTGCAGTGGTGTTGAGAGGTGGGACCTCTGGGAGGTATTTGGGTCATAAGGGTCCATTTCTAGATTAACAGGTTACTATGGTAACAGCTACACTGTAAAAAGCAAGCTCTCTCTGGCAGCTGGCTGTACCACCATACGAGGCACTCTGCCACGTGATAATACGACAGGAAGGCCCTCATCAGATGCTGGTGCCGTGGACTTCCCAGCAAACCACATCTAAATAAACCTCTTTTCTTTGTAAATTATCTTGTCTGTGATACTGAGTTAAAGCAAGAGAAAACAGACTATGACATAAGGTATTAAGACAGCACTTATGCATTAATAGTTCAACAAAATTAATAACAAAAACTTAATTTTTAGATGTTTTGCACAAGACACATGAAATGGTCTTTACTGTTTCTATCATATAAACACTATTTTTAAATATTTAGTTTTATCATACCTCACACAAAATAACATTTTCACTGATGACACACCCATTCTACCTCTGTCATTCTAAATTATTTCCTTGAGATATTAGTTTCAAGAAAGTTTCATATAAGTTGTGTGTGGTTAGAGTAAGATTTCTGATAATACAGCCAATCATCATTATTCATATACTGAAGGTCTTGTGTTAGGGAACAAAAAGGATACCTGAAATTAAATTTCTGAACTAAGCATATACTTTTTCCTTAATTGACCAAATCCTCATGCTCAATTAATATTAATGCTTATAAACCCTGCAGTAGCTAGTAAGCCAAGACATGGATATTCCAAACGGAAAGTTATTAAATGACTTATTATAGTCACATGAAAATGGCTCCATTAAAATGCTTTTGTGGTTAATGAACATTCCTAACTTAACTCTATTGAATTTCAAGTCACTAGTTAATATTTACATTTTAAAATCTTGTCTATGTTTCTGTTTAAGTCACAGACAAGTCACTGCTTTAAACTAATAGAAGTAAATTAAGCCTGAATCTGATTTCAGTTCTGCCTCCCAAGTCACCTATCAGAAAAGAGAGTTAGCAGTATGAAACACAGTGGAAGATCTGGGTGCAATGAAATACCATTTCCCAAGTCACTAAATTAGTCAATGCATTTATTAAACCTGAAAACATTATGTTTATATGCAAAAATATGTCAAAAGCAAGTCCTTTAAAAATATTTGGTATTCCATTGTTCATTAAAATACCAAGTAAGAGTTGGGGCTATAGCTTGGTGGTACAGTACAGGGCTTGCCTAGCCTTGCAAGACCCTGGGGTCAATCCTCAATGATGCAAAAACAAATAGAATTTTTTAAAAAAGAAGGAGGGCTGGGGCTGTAGCCCAATAGCAGAGCTCTTGCCCAGCATGTGTGAGGCACTGGGTTTGATCCTCAGCACCACAAAATAAATAAATGAATGAATGAATGAATGAATAAATAAATAATCAAACAAAATAAAGGCATTCTGTCCATCTACAACTACAAAAAAAAATTTTAAAGAAAGAGGTAAAGTTATAGTTTGAATTAGTATGGACATAAATAGCAAAATTTTAATAAAGGAACTTTTATCACAAATTTTAATTTATTACCTTGGTTTGTTTGGGGCAAGCTGTCGACTTGGCCGTCTGATAGACTGGTTTTGTTGGATCTTCATTGAAGTTCTAGGAGATGACCGTGCAAAAGGGTCTGGAGCGGGGGGCTTTTTAGGTATCTTTTTCACCAACCGACTAACCCACTTCTGCTGCTCTTCTGTAGAATTTGCTAATAACAATAGATTCTTTGCCGTTGATATATCATAATACACTATAAAGAAATATTTGGAATCAATTAATGTGCTTAAAATGACCTGAACATAAATAATACTAATACAGTAAGAAATTCTCATTTACCTTTGCAAGGTGCTATAATTTCCTCCTTTTTGTCCATGTGATCTTTATGACATTTAATATGGCAACGGCGACACTCTAAAGCAGGAGGGGGCTTAAACATGTGCCACAGTGGCTTCATACAAGCCTCACAGTTGGTTGGGAAATGATATAGAGTAGGAATAAATTCATGCCCTTTGTGACAAATATAATTAGATTTTTCTCCCACTGGCTCCACTGGAAATTCTTGTTCCTTTTTACTTTCTCCTTCATTGGCATACAGAATCTACCAAAAGAACAATCATTTCTAGATGTAAGTTTTGTTTTTTTTTTTTTAAATGTAGAAACAACTCTGGTAGTGTAAATAAAATCAATTTAGCCTAAATTACTCTGTAAAAAGAAAATGCATTTGAAGTTCAAATCTAAGCAGGTTCTGCCTAAAGAAAAGCTATGTGAAAACTCATCAGAGGGTCACTTTGCTTTGCATTTCAAAAGAAATAATTCTGTTCAAATGCTGTCTCATAGATTTTTCTGGAAATCTTATTATGCTTCAGCAACACTATCAGAATGGACCAGCAAAAGATAAATCTGAAATTCACAGGTCCAATCCTCAAACAGATTGTTCAAAATCATCACCTGGGAATTGGGAGTGTAATAGGTCATTGGTGGACCCAGGCATTCGGTTCAACCTCCAGGATACCCGCTCCCCCTCAAAAAACCACCAACAGATTCACAAAATAAACAAACCAAAAAAAAAAAAAAAAAAATCCCAATCACCTGATAAGAACTGGGTAGAGGTTCTCAGCTCACTAGTAGAGTGCTTGCCTTGCATGCAGGAGGTCCTGGGTTTGATCCCCAGCACATACACAAAGAACATATATGTTCTTCTTAAGAACAGAAAACAAAGTGATTCCCATATGTACAGCTTTTTAAAGAAAAAAATTTTTTTTGTAGTTGTAAATGGACAAAATGCCTTTTATATTATTTATTTATTTTTATGTGGTGCTAAGGATTGAACCCAGTGCCTCACAAAGGCTTGGCAAGTGCTCTGGTACTGAGCTACAGCCCCAGCCCTGTACACCTTTTTAAAAATGACATGTGCTTAGAGAGTTGAAGGAGGGAAAAAAGAGAAAAGGATGTACAATATACTCCACATAAACAATGTAAGCACCCAGAAAACAAGAGGGCAACTCCCACAAGACACCAGGTAGTGCCTATACAGAGGGAACTCAATACTAAATTGCTGGGAATCATTTGGCTTCATGTTAAATAGGAAATAAAAGGGCCTCTGGGTACAAAGTTTAACTTCATAAGTGCCTCCAAAGAGAGCTGATTATAAAACCCAAAACAGGAAAAAGTTCATGCTTTAAAAAAAGAAAAAAAAAAAAAAAAAAATCACAACCAACCTGGGGAGAAACATGGTGTAAACACACTACACAGCTTTTAATAAGTAAAATTATCGAGAGAGAAATGGAGATGTCCCAAACAGAATAAGCACAAAAGAAAATAATTTTTAAATGGGACTGAAACAGAAAGGTCATCTGAAGGTATCCAGAGAAGAAAGGAATTTAATGTTTTGTCATGTGGGAACCTCCAAGGGTGAAAAAACAAAACAGATTATGTTTACCTGGAATATCCTTGGAATTTCTTTAGCATCTGCTCTGTATACATCTGTCTGTGTAACTGGTCGGACATGAAATAACTTGCTGCAAAAGATTTTTCATAAAAGAATAAAATATTACCCAAGGATCAAATTCCAATAGTTACCCTAACTTATGTAAGAAATTAAACACTTTGACCCATGTTAGAAGCTCACAGAGTATCTTGTTCTATTAATCCTTAATATTTTCAGAAATTTCCAGAAACCAAATTTTCTAATTTAGTTTCAGAAAACTATACATTATAGACCCATGAAATACAGACGTTTCAGATAATCCTATCCTCCAGACTTTCCTGGGGAGAAGGAGACTGTAAGGAAAATAACATCAGGACAGGAGGAGCTAGCTGAGCTTTTCCATGACTAATAACAAAGAGTATTACCCTGTGAGAAAAGGTCAGGCTGACGTTCTTATCACACTTTAAAAATATATGAGGAGATAGTCTCTAACTATTCTAGTAAAAATACTTACTCTATATCTAAAACCATGTAAGGATTAGATTGTTCTTTATCTTGTTCGCTGTCATAGAAAAGAATCTTCTTACTGCTTACAATCACATACTGTTAGAAAGAGGGAGGGAAAGAAATCAATGAATAAAGTAGTTACACACCATATTTATTGATTTTTTGAAAATACATTCTGTTAGCAATAAGAATCACAAAATACCTAAGTACCTAAAAAGTGTTAATATATCCTCAGGAAAGTCTTAAAATAACAATAAATTTGTAGCTATTTTAAATAAGCAAACAGGGGGATAAAGTCAATTACTTTTTGGACATAGCTTTGGGATCCAACAGTGTTAGTAACCTCATAAAAAAATGAACATAATGGGCTGGGGCTACATAGCTCAGTTGGTAGAGGGGTTGCCTCGCCTGCACAAGGCCCTGGGTTCAATTCCCAGCACCATACACACACACACAAAAAAAAACCCAAAACAAAACAAAACAAAAAACCACACAATGACATCAAAATTACAGAAACAGAAGAAAAGAACTAAATGGATCTTTCTATCATATCCAGAATTGTTTTGGATATGAAACAGCAAAAACACCAAAGTCAACAGGCTTATATTTTCCTAATTCCATGACAAACAGAAGAAAAAAAGTTTTTTTAAAATATTTTTTTTTTAGTTATAGATGGACACAATATCTTTATTTGTTTATTTTTATGTGGTGCTGGGGATTGAACCCAGGGTCTCACACATGCAAGGCAAGTGCTCTACCACTGAGCTATAGCCCCAGCCAGAAAAAAGTTTTATAGTGAGAAATAAAATCACATCATTCTAAATTGGAAAGTATAAACAAGTGTTATGTGTCTAAAAGGTTTAGTCATGTACGTCTTACAACTATGAAAATGAAGTGGCTGGAGTTAAACCAGAAGGGGGGTGGGGGGGTGGGGGAGACGAACCATATTCAAGTACTAATTACCTTTTTAACCCATCCAAATTTCTTAGTGTTGTTTCGAACAGGCAAGGAGAGCCATCCTTCTAACCTCGATTCTATAAATAAGCACAAGATTGTAAGGATAAATATGATAATTTTCTTCATATAATGAAGAATTTAGCATAATTTTAATATGGAAGCACAAGACCAATCAAATAGTCGCTTCAGAATTTATCACTGTGCATTGTCTGGGACACAAATAATGCAGGATTGGTAGAAGCAAGTTATGCAATGCCAAACAAAATCCAGGCTATTCCACAGTGGTGCTGAGGCTTCAACTCAGGAGCTCACACTCGCTAGGCAAGCAAGTGCTTTACCACTAAGCCACATGCCCAGCCCCCAGGGTGTAGCACAATGGAAATAAATAGCCTGCAATTTTATGTAGTCAAATGTCCCACTGATTAAATTCATGCACTGGCAAAAATCTAAGAGACAAGACACAAAACAACAAACGAACAAACCCCCCCAAAAACAAAATCACCAAAACTTAACAGCTCTTTATTCTCAATGATAACATCTGCATTAGGATCTTTTATTTTTCTTTTGAAAGAAGACCTAACTAAAAATATAATATGCATCTCTGAGAAAACATTTTAAATGAGTAATGTTTTCAGAGAATATGGTCTTTCAAAATGGCTATAATAAAATGAAGTAAAATTGCAGCAGATGAAACTTGGTTAACAAACAACAATAAGGCGTGGTGGCGCACGCCTGCAATCCCAGTGGCTCAGTGGTTAAGCATCCCTGGGTTCAACGCCTTATACCAGAAACAAAAAAAAATATAATCAAAAGATTTCTAAACTCCAAAATAACAAAATGAGTAAAATTCTAGTTCCACAAAGCAAAGTGTCTAAGTCCTTGGAATTTGTTCTAGTACATTTGATCAATATCTCTTCTTTGGAGGGGGGTACTGGAGATTGACTCAGGGGCACTCAACTACTTGTCACATCCCCAACCCTATTTTGTATTTTATTTAGAGACAGGGTCTCACTGAGTTGCTTAGTGCCTTGCTGTTGCTGAGGCTGGCTTTGAACTCCTGATCCTACTGCCTTGGCCTCCCAAGCTGCTAGGATTACAGGTATGAGCCACCCACTCAGCTTGATCAGTATCTTTTATTGACTTAAGTGAAATACTATTTTGGGAGGTTATTCTAACAATAGAAGTAACTGTCAATTATTTAACATCCATTATGTGTCAACTGTGTTAGAGGCTTAACTACAAGCCCCTCTAGGGCAAGGCTCAGTCAGATTGTTTCATGTCCTTTAAAGGCCCAGTGGAGTGTCCAACAGGTTTTAAGTGCTCAATGACAAACCTAGACACATTCTCTCCAATAGCGTACAGGTATTTTTGCTCTGTCACTCCTGACATGAAACTTCAGGAAGAATTTCTTAGTTAAAAATGGATGAAATAGGCAATAAAACCATACACTCTTTTTTTGGGTACCAGAGATTGAATCCAGTGGTGCTTAACCAGTGAGCCACATCCCTAGCCCTTTAGAGACAAGGTCTCGCTGAGTTGCTTCAGGACCTTGCTAAGTTGCTGAGATTGGTTTTTGAACTTGAGATCTTCAGGCTTCAGCCTCCTGAGCCACAGGGATTTACAGGCATGAACCACTATCCCTGGTACCATACACTCTTATGTAATATAATGTTCTTATAATTATGTCAGCACAATAAACAATCTATTAAAATAGCAATTCATTATAAAAATGCCTTAAAATACTTTGTTCATGCAGCAGTTCATTATTAACTGAGTCTACAGTTAGTCAGAGTTAATGAATATCAGTTAATATTATAAAAAAATTTCAAAGGGACTAAAATTAACGGCAGCGGGGAAAACTCCAAAGACAAATGTTTTTAGGATATCACCTGTACCATTAGGTTCCGATGATATGGGTAAGTTAGGCAAAGAGTCTTCTTCTGAGTCAGAATCAGAGTCAAGGAGCATGTGAGAACTGGAAGGCTTAGTGGCAATATTGAGAGAAGTAGAGGAACGTTGGTAGGTGAATGACATGGATTCCATAGTATGTGACTGAGTGATATGAACTAAACACCCAACATATGAGAAGTAAGAATGCAGAAAGAAGAGAAAATAAAATGAAAGCTTTAAAAGAGAGCTACAATAATGTATAACGAATTAAATATCTAAACATGTAGAGGTTTCTTTTGCATGTTTGCTTCTTTATGAAAAATATTATTTAAAAAAAAATCAATAAAAGTCCAAAATGTTATTTGAACTACCACTCCAAGAAGTAGGTTTCCCTTAAAGACAGGATAAACATTTTTCCTCAAGAAGGAAGTTAGGCACAGGATTTAAAACAATCAACCAATTTATAATTAAGACAAACTTAAGGGCTGAAAGCAAATCTGTACCTGGAAATCCATCATCTGCCTCAGCCTCCCCTGGTCCACTGCCTATACTGGAACTATCCAGACCAATATGCAAGGCCTGCAGCTGTGATCGTAGCTGCTCAATGTCACTGTCTTTACTGTCCAGTGTCATCTGCAGTTCAATTCGAATTTGGCTCTCTTCAGCTATTTGCTGTAAGAAATTAAATTAAATTAACAAGGTAGAATACATCTCATATTTTCCATCTTGTTCAATAATAATTATTAATGATTTTTAAAGGTTATTTGTCCTTTTTAGTTACACATGACAGTAGAATGTATTTTCATACCATACATACATAAACTTCCCATTTTTGTGGTTATACATGATGTGGAGTTACACTTGTCATATATTCATATAAGAACACAGGAAAGTGATGTCTAATTCATTCTAATGTCTTTCTTATTCTTATCTTAATAACTATTAATAGAAATGTTCTATAAATAGTCAAACACACAGACATTAGAGTAATTCTATTTCTTAACAAGAAATCTTCAATTTAGAGTCCAAATAGTATTCTTACAGCCTGCATTTCATTTAGTTCTTTCTGATACTTGATCATCTGTTGGGTCAACTTTTCCCGTTCAGATTTAAGTTCCATATGTAGCTTTCTATTCTCCTTCTCTTTTCTTCGCACATCTGTGTCATTCCCACGCTTGACGGGTTCTTTTCGATTCATGATCTCAGCCAATTTATTCACAGCCTTAAAAATGTAAAAATAAGTATGCAAATGAAATAAATTACGTTGATCACTTCTTGGTAATTCACCAATTCCAGGTAATATAACCATTAATAATGTCCTTCTTTAAGCACAGGATTACAAAGAAACACTTCTTACACTATTTGAACACTACACTTTCTTTATTACTCATTGTCCTTCTTTATCCTAACTCATACTTGATTTTTACTCTCATGGTTTCTGAGAACTGTAATTTAAAATATTTGTAGGAGCCTGGAAGTGTGACTCAGAGGTAGAGCACTTGCCTAGATGCATTAGGCCCTAAATTTGACCCCCAGCATCATAAAAGTCAATAAATAATAATCGTTTTGATTTCATGTCATTGTCTACCATTTCAACTTTTGTTCCAAGGAAGACTTTAATAGTAAGATTTTTCTTCTTCTATCTGGAGGAACAGAATTCAGCATTGTCATCACATTAGTAAAATATACTTTGCTCAACAACAGAGAAAAGAACCTACTACCTACACTCATTTGAGCTGTATACACAACCGGAGGAACTGGCAGAGGGGTGGTTAATGATCATAGGTTTCTTTTAAAAATTTTGTCAGGCTGTTAGCAAACAGTCATGCCCTACAGTTTCCTAAAAGGCAGAACAACTTATTGGATTACAATAAAAGATTAGGAATAACTGTGATTCCATATTGGAAAATTAGGAAAAACTTTAACAGACATTGAATTGGACAATGTTAATGAAATCTAACTTCTCCCAATCTGAGAAAATTCAGGTCACTGTTCACAAATATTCATACATTCAATGACTGCTTCTAATCTGTAATGCTGGAAGTAAAAGATAAATGAAAATAAGATTCAAAATCATATTTAAAGTCCATACTTGAGTCTTGAGTGTTCTCTCTGTTAATAGCTGTTTCTCAAACTGTGCCTTGATGGCTGCTGCACTTATCTCTTCATCTTTCAACCTTGATAGTTCTGAAACATGGGAAAATGTGAAAATTACACTGGTGACTACAGCAAGTGGTAGACATCAGATATATTAAACTATATTCTTTGTAAGTACATACGCTCTTGAGCATCTTTCAGTTTGTTATTTAATTCTTCTTTTTCATTCGCAAGATTGGCAACATCACTAGTAAGTGTCCTATTAGTTTCTTCAAGCTAAGAAACAAAAGTGGGGGAAATAAAAAAAACACACCAATATACAAAATGTAAGTCATAAAACAGTAATTCAAATTCAAAACCCCAGAAAGTTGCTAAATCTCTTGCTTTTCTAAGCTTATCCATCTTTATATTCTTGCCCATGTGCTACTTTACTAAACTTTATTATTGATGAAAATTTTGTTAGCAAATTTTATATATACCACCCAAGGAAGCCAAAAATTTGCTCTTCTTTCACAAATCCTTAGTATTTTTTAAAATGAGAAAAACATTTAAAAAACTAAGAAAAGGAAATACAAACTCTGCATTCTCATCATGCAGAATAAATGAATATAAAAACTAATATTTTTTCAGAACATTACTTTGAAACAGAAGATGAAATAGTACTGAAGATGTTGATGGCCTTTTGTATTCCTTCCAAATTCTATTTCTATTCTTCCTTCCTGAAGAACATTTAGTGATTTTTAAGTCACGCTGTATTTATCTTTCTCCATTTTTTTTGGGTGAGGGGGGGTACTGGGGATTGAACTCAGGGACACTCAACCCCTGAGCTCCATCCCCAGTTCTATTTTGTATTTTATTTAAAGACAGGGTCTCACTGAGTTGTTTAGCAGCTTGCTTTTTGCTGAGGCTGGCTTTGAACTCATGATCCTCCTGTCTTCAACCACCTGAGTCACTGGGATTACAGGAGTGCGCCACCGGGCCCAGCTTTTGCAATTGTTTTTACTCGGCATCATATTAAAAAATTAAATGGCTAATAAAAAGATCTAATTCATTTTAACAGATACAGTAATTCCATCTACCACACTTAATATATCCATTCATTCATTTAATAAGAGATTTCAGTTTTGGCTATTTTCAAACATTTATGCTGCTATAAGCATTGTGCTAAGTTTCTTTAGCATACTTATCTTAATGTAGACTTTCTCTGAATTGCATTCTATGTATGGTTAAAATTTGCCGGACACTGCCATGCTATATACCTGTCTATACAATCACATACTGAATTTCAGATCCCAGAGCAGTGAAAGAATACTGTTTTCCAGACATCTTTCAAACAACTGCCATTGTGAGGTGCTGAATTTCTGTCATTTGATGGGTGTGAACTGGCATTTCAAAGCTGCTTTATCTAGCCTTCTGTAGGAGAGCAGGAGGCAAAGCATTTTCTTATATATGTAAGTTTTCCTTTTTGACCAAATTTTCTACTGCACTGTTTAACCTTTTCTTATTGAACTGCAGGAATTCTCTGTATATTCTAGATACTACTGGTTCCTTGTTTAATAAATACATTACATGTATCTTGTCCCTGTCATTTATTTATGTTGTCTTTTGTCATATTTGTTGAAATTTGGATTCATTTCTAATAGCTTAAAATTTTTATTTTTCATATTTAGATTATTAAGTTAGCTAGAATTTACTTTTGTGTGTGAAATGGTAAGGTTCTAATTTTATTCCTTTCCACATAAAAATATAGTTATTCTACAACCATTTATTAAATTTTTGTCCTTTCCTACTGGTTTGTATATTGCTATTTCCATCATATACAAGTTCCTTTATAGATTATAAAATTTCCTCTAGCATCACTATTCATTTCTAGCGGGACTGGACCTGTTCTAATGTCACACTTTGCAATTTACTGTATCATTTTGACATGTCTGCATAATTGATAGGGGAAACCCAACTACTTGATATTTTACTTTTCTTGGAAATTTTCTTTAGCTAGACTGTGTGAAACAAAGGGAGAAGTAAGCGATTAACTGAACTAAAAATCTTAACAGCTAGAACATAACAATTTTTCATGTACATCTGTAATACTGTACTAGTGCTACTAAGTAATTTATGACATTAGCAATTTACTTATTATAAAACCCCAAGAATTTTACTTACAGATGCAATTGTAGCATCTTTTTCAGTAAGCTCCTGTTTGTGTCTAGCCATCATCTCTTTGATCTCCAGTTCTTTCATGATTTTCTCTTTCTCCAAATCTGAATACTGTTCTTCAGCAATTGAACGAGCCAGCTGCTCAGAATCTGCTTTGGTCAAGGTGATCTCCAGCTGGGCAGCCAAGGAGTCCCTATAATTTAGGAATGTATCATTAAAAAATTCAGGGGGTAGTGCTGGGGATTGAACCCACAGTTTTTGTGCATGTTAAACATACCTCCACCCCTCTTAAAGATATGTCATTTTAGTGTTCAATTTTCACTTTAGAAGTCCATATTTTTGTCTCACTTCATCAACACATTTTTACTTGGTGAATACAGAGCACTGTTCTAGCAGCAATATATGTATCTATGAATAAGGGACAAAGGTCTTGTCCTTACCTTTCATCCTGTAATTCCTGTTTCTTCTGCTGTAATTCTTTACAAAGTTTGGTCTTTTCTTCACATTCTTCTTTAAGTTCCCTAACTTGTGTTTTATACAGGGTCTAAGAAGCAAAACACAAAGAAATGTGTATCATGATCATCAGAAATATTATGTCTACATCTAAAACCAACCCAGAGAAATCACTGATGACATACAAATATTTTCTTAATGCTGAGTAATGTTGTGCTCCTGAGAAAATAAATAGTTTAATACGTTTTCCTATTTTCTAGTTATCAACTGATATAATAAAGTTCACTTGGGGCTGGAAGCGTAGCTCTGGTAGAGCACATTTGACATGCATTAGACCCCAGGTTCAGTACCCATCACCTTCCCCCCAAAAGTCAGTTAATAATTTAAAAGCATCATTTCCAACTGAATAATATAGTGATATTTCTTACTGAAAGGTATAGATTGGTAGGATGAAAAAGCAAGGAAAAATATTACTAATTTGTAAACATAAATTTTGTTGATTCAAATCAATGGAGCAGGGGTGATAATTGTCATTTCATATTTTAAAACTGATCTCAAAAAAGTACAAATGTCTCAGAGGCTCGGGAGACTGAGGCAGGAGGATCAAAGCCTGCCTCAACAACTTATTGAGGCCCTAAGCAACTCAGCAAGACCTTGTCTCTAATTAAAATATAAAAAGAACCATGGATGTTGCTCAGTGATTAAACACCCCTGGGTTCAATACCCAGAATAATTTTTTTTAAAAAGTTCAAATGTTAAAATGACAATTTTACAATAAAAGTGTATTATTCAAAAAGCAATGCCTTTAATCAGTTTTATAGGTGTTGTATAGTATGTGCTTAGAATTAGTTTTCTAGCAATGACAACAGAGTTCTGTTAAATTATTTACATTTCTTTTTACTCAGTATTTTTAATGAGTTATGGGATATTACACATCCCATCTAAAAATCTAATTTAAATCTAGTTTATACAAAATCATTCTCCTGGTTCTAAAACAAGAAATAAAAAAGTTCTACAAATACAGCAACTTCAAATTAATGTGTCTGGAACTTACTGAGAAATACTGTTCAGCTTCAAGTTGATCTTGGAGCTCTTTCATCTGCCCATCAGCATCCTGACGTTCTCTGTGAAGACATCAAAACAAAGGCTTAAATAAGTAAAACACATTTTAAATCATTTACTCTGAAATTATGGTGTAGGAAACCCCTGAAGCCCTTTCAGAGAATCCATGAAATCAAATCATTTTCATGCTAATTCTAAGCTCATGGTTGCTATTCCTTTCCTTGAGAGGAGATGAAATTTGATGATGTCATCAATACACCAGCTAAATGAAATGTATGCTTGTATTTTAAACTGTCATTTGGGGGACGGGGTGTAATTTGGGATTGAACCCAGGGATGCTTAACCACTGAGCCACATACCAGGCATTTTTTTTTTTCATTTTTTGCTTTGAAACAGGGTCTTGTCTCGCCAAGTTGCTGAGGCTGGCTTTGAACTTGCAATCCTCCTGCCTCAGCCCCCAAAGCTGCTAAAATTACAGATGTGTACCACTGTGGCCAGCCAATTGTTATCAGTTTTAATGAACACATATGTGAGCTGTGATCTGCCATTTATGTCAAGCAACTAAGATTCATAGTATCTGAAAACTAGGTTTCTCAGGGTGAGTAAAGAATGCCCAGGAGGATGAAAATCCTGTTTTTAGATCTAAATAAGGAAAATGACACTTTTACAAATATACTGAGCTTTACCTTTATGAATTGTATACTTTCTCTACCACTGTACCTTGATTAGGTGGCAGTAGTATAAAAATTGGTGGGCAAACATATAATCTTCTCAAAAGACAACAGTAGCACTCAACATAATACTTGTACAAAAATAAAGAGAAAATGTGATCAAGAAAGTAGAATAGTCAAAAGAAAATCCCCAGATAAACTAAAATTAATATGATTTACATGTGCATAATTATGCATATTAAAACTTTGTCTCAATTAACTTACTTTCGAAGTTCCGCATTTTGTTTTTCCAAGCTCATTTTCATTTCCATGAGATGATTATTCTCTTGTTTTAACTGCTTTTCTGACATTTTTAGTGTGTTAACTTGCTGTGTTTGCATCTTCAGATCATTTTGTGTAAGACAGCGCTTCTGAGTTTCCTGCTCTATTTTTAATGTCAAGTTTCTAACCTAAAAAAAATAGATTGAATACTTGGTATATAAGTAAATTGTTTTGATTTTTCTTATCAATGAAGTTGGCAGCAAATATGGTGATGAAAAATAGATTTCTGCCCTCAGGTAGCCCATTCATTTCACAGTAAAATATTTCTAAGAAAGTTATACATATGTCTTTAATTCCAGTAATGTGGGAGGCTGAGGCAGGAGGATCACAAGTTTATGACTAGTCTCAGCAAGGCTCTAAGCAACTTAGTGAGACCCTGACTCAAAATAGAAAATTAAAAGGGCTGGGGATGTGTCTCTGTGATAAAACACCCTAAGGTTCAGCTGAACCTAGTATCAAAACAAACAAAAATCAAACCGAAACAAAAAACAAGACCCCCACAGTTTTGAAGTAAAAATAACTTAAAATTATTAAATTATGATTCATTTATTATGTTATCAAAATCTAATAAAAGCAATACAGAATATTTTATATATGTATCCTATAGATTGCATAAAACATTTAAAGAAAAATTTGTGGGTTTTTTTTTTTGTTGTTGTTGTTGTTATTGTTTGTTTTGGTACTAGGGATTGAACCCAGGGGTACTTTAATACTGAACTATATCTCCAGCTCTTACAGTTTGTTATTTTGAGACAGGGCTAAAACGCTGAGGCTGGCCTCATAACTTGCCATCCTTCTGCCTCAACCTCCCAATTTGCTGAGATTACAGGTATGAGCAACCATACCCAGCAATAGGGAAATTTTAAAATTATAATATATTAAGAACTCACCATTAGACCTTTACAAATAAACCTAGTTTATTATTGCTTCATTAACTAGCTTATTATTCATTAGTAAAATTCATACTTACATCCTCATTTAGCACATCTTTCTGTTTAAGGAGCTCATTTAGTTTCTGCTGTGATTGTTTGAGGTCACAATCCAATAAAGAGCATCTTTTCTCAGCCTCCAGCAATAGGTTCTCTACTTTCTGTTTTAAAGTCCTTTCTTCCAAAAGCTTCTTCTCCATTTCTATTACAGTGAGAATGGACATGATCATGAATTTACAAATAAAACAGCGTATCAAAGATATGATACAGTGCCAATAAAAATGAAAGTAAATGATGCTACTTCATTATTATATTTTTATTCATTTCTAGAATATTTTTATCACTCCTCCAAATACATTTGAAATAGCAAGAATTTTATGCTTGAAAATAAAGAGTTTTATTTGCAGGGTGTAAAATGTATCACAGTTCGCAATATTACACCAATTCTCACAGAAATGAAATATTTTCATTTTGTAATTCTATAAAATGCTTATGTCTTTAAATAAATACTTTTTTACTACTTGCTGCTAGTATGTCTCTCAGTGTTACTATTTTCACTTTGAAACACTCCAGGGTAGATTCTATTTATCATGCAAGTTAACCTCTCTGGGACTCAGGTTTCTTATCTCTAGGAGAACAGTATCTACTTTCCTAGTGAGTTAATACATGTGTAGCACTCGTTAATATTCATCTTTTTTTTTTTACAGTAAAAGTGTAGAAAATACACAAAATATTATCATGAAGAGTAGGATTATGGGTCATCTTTTGCATTTTTCTTTATACATTCTTTTATTTTTGTAAATGATTAGCTGTAAACTTCTAATTTGTTTCATAAATAAGAAAAAGCTTTTAAAGTTCTTTAATCTTCAAGTGAAAAGCAAAGTTTATACCTAAAAAAGTGATTTCAATATGAATTGCAAGTCATTAAAGGATCACCTTTTGATGTACTGATTAGAATTTTAGTTCAAATTCAGTTAAGGTTCCTCCACTCCTTCATACCTATAATTATCATCTAAAGTTTTATTAGTTTAAAATTAAACCTATGAATTTTCAGTTAATGAACAGTATTTGGAAGTGAGGAAAAATGAAAATTCTTCATGTATCACTAACAATACATGTAACTACACTTGATTTTCACAGTAACCTAACAACACCATTACTGTTCCTTTATAGAAAACAAAGCATACAAAGTTTAACTAGACAAGGTCGTGCTGCTAATAATTATTTGGTTAGTATGTTCTTAATCCAAGAAGGCAATGACATGCAGCAGAAAGACCAAATGCTTCAGACCCCGATTTGAATACCATCTATAATTTTTGTATACTCATGTGTAACATACAGAAGTCATCAAGTATCTTCTATTAGTGTTGGAACAGTTTGAAAAATGGTACTTATATTACACTGGATTGGTTCACTTTCATCAGTTCAGAGTGTAACCAATAAATCAATGTACTCATTTTAGAAAAACAATCACATAATGTGGGCACAGAATAGAAAGACAAAAAGGAATATACTGAGGTGACAAATATTTGTAAAAGTGTCATTTTCCTTATTTAGATCTAAAAACAGGATTTTCATCCTCCTGGGCATTCTTTACTCACCCTGAGAAACCTAGTTTTCAGATACTATGAATCTTAGTTGCTTGACATAAATGGCAGATCACAGCTCACATATGTGTTGGATGATAATTACATAAATATATATTTTATTGTGCATAAATTACACTGTAATAAAAAAATTCAATTCTCTTTACTAAGCCATGGACAAGGAAACATTGTTCATTAATTTCCTTCTAATTAGATACTTCTAAATAAAGCACTCATTTTATTTCTTATGATCCTGAATTAATGCTTTAAACAAAAACTTAATCTACAATTCAGTTACATGTAAAAATTAAAAGACTATTTTTTTGCTAAGTTGTTGAATATGAAATGCAATTTCTGTTGAGTTTTAAGCCTTTCACAAGAAAAAAGAACTTTTAAAAAAAAACCATTATAATTATAAATGGTCAGCTGGGAAACCTAAATTACCCTAAAAATTACCCTAATTCCAAGATAAAAATTGGTTTGCAGGAAAGTTAACTCTGTTATCTATTAGTATCAAATGGCTCAGAGCAATTTCAGCTAGCATCTTCATCATACCTGGGTCCAAAATACTCATTAACTTATATGCTAGTTAGACCAGTGTCATTTTCAAATCTTTTTTGGGGGAAAGATGTTGCAGGAAAACTTTTAAATGTGCATACCTTTCATGGCTTCTGATTTAGCTTCTTCGATGGATTCATAGATTTTATTTTTATCTGCTAGCCGTGCTTTTGTAGTCTTATGTTCAGCCTCTTCTTGTTCCAAGCTCTGTTGCATAACTTTTAGTTGGTATGTCATATCTATTTCCATGTTGCTCTTTTCCTATTAAAGATTTAAACGAACAGCTATAAACAACAACAACAAAAAGGCTCACAATTCTAAAAACTTTCAAAACTGAATCAGGCTTAACAAAAATGCTGAGCATCTTCCCTCCCCTCTTCATCAAAACTTTTGCTCCCTCTACTCCTTCACTCCCTCTGCCACACCTCCCCTATACTGCTTGGAGATCTGCATTAAGACTGTTGAATATCAAAGTGACCAGCACTATTCTCAATACCAAATTCAAGACACTTCTCTTATTTGAACTCATTGCAGCCCTGACGCTGTCCCTTGGCACTGGTGATGCTGTGTTCATCTGGCTCCCATCAGGCTCTTGTTTTTCCTGCAGTTCCTCCAGCTGCCCCAGCTGCCCTCAGCTGCTGGTGTTCTTCAGCCACAATGCTTCTTGTCCTACAGCATTATTTCTGCAACTTTTAAAAACATATCTAATGTTTCCCTCTTCTATATTAAAAGGAGAAAAAAGGGAAAAACCCTTAAGATCTTCTACCATACACTTATAATCCCCACAGAGAAGTCTATTTTAACTTGAGAATTTTGATAACAGCAGTCTATTTCCTATATATACACTGTCAATATTTTCTAATTCTTTGAGCTCTATTGTTCATATCACAAATATGATGCAGGTAGTTTTTTTTAAAATAAAATCTTTAATACTAAAATGACTTTTCCAACTACATAATCTACCAACAGAATAATCTACTCTGCTCTGAATAATCACAACTCTACCCAGTCTTTTCCCAGGTGTGCTCTTTCACTCATGTGGTTTCAGCTACTTACATATACCAATGGCTCAAATATTCCTAGCTTTTACCAGAGTTTACTGCCTTGTAGACATTCTAAGGTGGTATCTCCAAAGGACTTAAGAGAACTAAAATGGATTTATCATTATCTCCTCTGCATGTGATTTTCCTTTATTCTTTATTGATTAATGACATTACTAAATCACATGTCAATATACAAACCCAGGACTCATCCTTAACTACTATTCTCATACCACATCTAATCAATTACTAAGTGCTGTCAAATATTCCTTTCTCAAATTTTTGAGACATTTCTATTTTTTAAGCCATTGCCCTAATTAAGTCTCTATTATCGCTTATCTGAATTAGTGAAAAAGGCTTCTGACTAGCCTCCTGGCCTCTAGTCTTATCCTTCTCAAAAAAATCTATTCTCTGCATAGTACACTTAACTAATGATCTACTTTACCCGTACCTCTAGTAAGATCATACAATGTTAAGTCGTTGTGTGGCTAACCCTTAAGAGTTTCTATTCTAAGTTTCTTTTCTTTTTTTTTAAGTTGTAGTCAGACACAACACCTTTATTTTATTTATTTATTTTTATGTGCCAAGGATCTAACCCAGCGCCTCACACATGCTAGGTGAGCACTTTACTGCTTAGCCACAGCCCCAACCCCTTCTAAATTTCTTAATAGAGTTTTTAATATCTTACCTAATCTAGCTTATGCCTAGCCCTGTACCCTCACTCTGGCCTCTGAATTCCCCATAATCTTACATGAGGAGCATACTAGTGACCTTTAGACCAATTTTGGCTTGATGTTTATTTTCATTTTTAAATTTCACTGGCACACAGCTACATCCTTTACTCTAGAAACTGTAGCAGGGTTGACCAGTTGCAACAGAAAGTATATGGCCTACAAAACCCAAAATATTTACCATTTCCCCCCTTAAAATATTAAAATTTGCTGATCCCTACTTTGTTCTCCATAAATACTGAATAATCTGTACTTAAATAAACAAAGGATGCCTTGTTAATTTTCCTCCCTGCCTCTGTTCACAATATCTTCTCCCATCAGTGTACCTTTACCTTGCCAACCTGTCTGATCTTCTCAGACTGAAAACTCAGCCTATTCCCTCAATACACATCCCTGCCATATCGCTATCATTCCGCAGACCACCTTGTCTACAGAACCACATTGAAATGGAAGTAAGCATATGAAAATATTCCAGTTAGTGATTTCCGTTACTTTCAAATAACTTTTCTCAAACTCTACTGTGATTTTCTTACACAAAAAGATGCTTAGCATATCTTACCTTCTCCAAATCAGTAAATTTCTCCTGCAGTTGTCTCTTTTCCAGCTCTATTTTTGCTAGTAAGATTTTGCCACTCTTTAAATCTTCTTCTAGACCAGATATTCTACCTAAAAATTGCAACATTTTAAAAAACAACATACCTAGAAAGTTATACACATTCAATCAAGAGTAAAAAATTTGGAACCTGCTTCATTTTTTAAAAAATCTTTTTTAGTTGTAGATGGACACAATACCTTTATTTCATTTATTTTTATGTGATGCTGAGTATTGAACCCAGTGCCTCACACATGGAGGTGAGTGCTTTACCACTGAGCTACAACCCCAGCCCCACTGCTTCATATTTTGAAGCTGTTTTTGTGAGCAAAGTTTTATACTTGCTGGCATAGTGCTTTACAGTTTTCCTACAACCAGAATTTACCACCTAAGGAATTCAACACTTATAATATTTGAAAGTATATGAAAAAGTTCATAAATTAAATGAAATAATTTATAAATAAATTCAAAATTTATAAGTTTTTTATCAACATATTTCTACAACAAAGTGCTTCCTTCAGAAATGTGCTACTCTAGAACATTATCCATCATTTCAAGTTATTTCCAAAATACAAATCATTAAGAGTAATTCAAGTACAATCTATATACCTTGTAAATCATTAATTATCTCAGATCCATGGGTTCGGTCCCTTCTTTCAGATTCTAGAGCTGACTGAAGATTGATAAATTCTTTTTCAAGTTTTAACTTAGCAGTTTCCAGCAGGCAGTTTTTATCTTGTAGATCTCTATTGTTGGACTCTAGCTGCTGAATCTGTTTTGAACTTTCTGCCTGGGTTTTTCTTAATCGAGCTGCAGTATCAGATTCTGTTCGAAGCAAAGCATTGGTTTCATCCAGCTGTTATTTCATTCAAAAACAAACAAACAAAAAAAAACAGAGGTATTAGATGAAAATACATTCATTTACTAAAAATGTTAAAGGATTTCCTTCTAAAATCAGAGGCACAGGCCTTTTGAAACACTGCCAATTAAAATTAATATTAACAGTCAGTCATAAATAAAACTCAAATCTCTTTTTTACAAACGGAGATCAACTTACCTGTCTCTGAAGTTGATTCACTTTCTCGGTAGATATTTGAGAGTTCTGATTTCTTTTTTTCAAATCTTCAAGTTGATCTTTTAAGCTGTTAACTATATAACAAAAAGCCTTTCAGTAGCAAGCTACAATAACATTCTCTCTTTCTCTCTCTCTCACATACACACACATACACACACGTACGCACACACACAGTCCAATTATTTTCGTGATAAGTATTTAATGTTATATTCCACAAACCATCATTTTCCAAATTTCGTTTTTTGTCCGCTTCATGATCAGCTTTCCGCTGATATTCTGCATTTTTGTGCTGAAGAAGTGCCTTTTCTCTTTCTAATTGTCTTAATGCTGATTCCACATTTTTCCTTAAGGTAATCTGAAATAATAATTAACATTATTATCAAAAAGAAATATGTATAAAAACTAAAACAAAACAAAATACTTCAGCTATTTCACACAGGCAAGAGACCAAATAAATAAATAAATAAATAAACAAACAAACAAACTACCACTGTTTTTTAAAAACTATAAAATATATTCCTTGTTTGGAAAATATCACACTACTCTTAAACAATCAAGATCATAAATGTTTTCTTTACTATTGAATGTCAAACCTGTAACCTTCCATCACTACTTAGCCATCATTATTTTATACTAACTATGGGTCTAAAGTATTATAAATAGCAATTAAACAATAGTCCCTTTCTGTTTTTAAACCATGCCTTTAACCACAAATAGAAATGCTTTTTTTTTTTTACTTGAAATATCAAGCTTGCAAAAAATCAAGTTTGCAAAAACAATAGAATGAAGCCTAAAAAGAAGTTACCCTATAATTTCAGTCTTGTCCTCCAGTGGTACAAAGTAGATTTTACTATCTTGTATCAAGATATATATTACCATGGTATTAACAGAACTCTGTAAGCCAGACAGACATCAAGGATTTTTATCAACAAATATTAATAAAGGCTGGGAATGTGGCTTACTGGTAGAGAGCTTGCCTAGCATCCATGAGGCTCAGGGTACAATCTCTCGCACAGGGGGTGGAAAAAGTTAATAAAAAGTATAGGGCAACTTTACCTCTTCTTCTAGTTCCTTTGCTGTTTTCTCTAGACGAGTATTAATAGATCTAAATAATTTCAAGAAGAAACAATAAATAAAATAATTATAAAGTTAAAAATAATTACATAAATACTTTGTAGCTATTCTTTAGTAAATGCTTGAACATATACTAAACAGTGGCAGATGCCTGTAATCCCAGTGACTTGGGAGGCTAAGGTAGGAGGATCTTGAGTTCAAAGCTAGCCTCAGCAACTTAGGAAGGCCCTAAGCAGCTTATCAAGACCCTGTCATTAAATAAAAATATGAAAAGCATGGAGGATGTGGCTCAGTGATTGAGTGCCACTGGGTCCTAGTCCCAGTACAAACAATAAACAAACAAACAAATAAATAAATAAAATATTTAGCTACAAATCATACTTGCACTTCTGTTCTAACTCTTCTTTGGCTTGTATCTCAGTGTTGAGGTGTTCTTCTAACGTATATATTTTTTTCTGAATCTGTCAAAAACCAAGAAACTTTGTTTTGGTTATATTTAAAGACAACAGGCTAAAAGACAACAATGAGAAGCTTATTTTGTTTTTCTGCAATCTTCACTATAATGGTATAATTGTGCCTGCTTAGTATGACTCCTACTGATAAAGAAAAAAACTCTCCCCTATTCTTTTTTCTGTCATACTACACATCTGTCTGAACACACTTATGCAAATATGAATAAGAAACTCATTTTGGCAGAATTCTTCAATGAAATCAAATTTCAAATTAATTTCTGTAATCTTCCAATACACTTCTATAGATTATCATTTGAAAATATGGTTACTTTTTTGTGTTTATGAGATAAAGATAAAAGATCTGAAACAAATATTCAGAATATTTAACTGAATATATATACTAAAAAATACTATAAAATGAGAATATAAGCTCTTCTTTCATATCTTCCTCTTCCAAGTTTTCTCCTCAGTAGCTTTCCCTAGCTATGCTGGTCTTCAAGCAAACAAAACTACAATATTATTTCCTTTTCAAGGATTTAATTTTTAAGTTCCTGTGGTGTCTTGGATACAACGATAGGTATTTTACAAATGTTGTCTTGTTAATCCTAACAAAAACCCTAAGAAAATGGTAGCATTACATCCACTTGGTCAAGAAAATGAAATTCAAAACAGGTAAATACCCAGGTCAAGACAGCACAGTTAGTAAGTGGTAATGTAAAAATTAACCCAGAACTATTAGATTCCAATGCCACTATTCTTTTCATTATTCTTCCCAGTGATTATATTCTCCATGGTTTCTTAATCATTTATCTTAAAATCTCTATAAGAATAAACAGGCTAATGAACTAATCAAGTTTAAGTGTTTTGGGCTGCCACTGCATTTATTTGAGCACACTAGTTATCACATTTTACATGTTTTTTCTACCAGTTACATACCCTTAATAAGTAATCAGAAAATTACATGATGTATATTTTAAATAACAGATTCACAGTACGAATATTAAAAGAAATACTTGGTAGGGAAAAGGTTGGAAACGTCTCTCTTTGGTAGATGAAGTGCTCCAAACGGGAGCTGGACTGTGACTATATTAAAACACTGCTAGAGTGATGTTTTTTCCGCTCATTTTTCAATGTAGTTGACAACATACCTCTTGGCTTTCCTATTAAAAGAAAAAAGAATAAAATGTGTGTTATACTTTATAAAATTCCTAATAAAAGTCATACCCAAATTATCCAACCTGATTTTTTACTTTTCATAATTTGAAGAAAATGATTTTGATTTACATGTATGTGGATGTACATGTATGACTTAGTTTTGTATGCAGTTAGAAATTACAGCAGTCACAAAATACAATTTGATAGAAAATCTTTTATATAAACACAATCCTAAATAGGAATTCAGAATTTGAATCTCTCTCCTCCTTCTTCTGTACCTGATAGATTAATATTTGTACACTTTTAAGCACTAAGGTCATAAAATTATCTAACTGGCATCAGAGCTGTTTACAAACCTATTCTATCACTTGTTATTAAAACTAAGCCTAAACCAATGTATAATTCACCTTTTTACTAGCCATCCTGTGTGGAACAATGATACTCTTCATTTAATTAACCACTGTAATGTTAAGGTGAACTGTATTATATAAGGAATACCATCTCATGATTTAAAAAGTAGCATCAAATGAACTTTTAAAAAGCCATGGGAGTGCTGGGCGTGGTGGCATATATCTGTAATGCCAGCTACTCTGGAGGCCATGGCAGAAGGATTCAAGTTCAAGGCTAGGCTCAGTAACTCAGCAAGACTGTCTCAAAATAAAAGGGCAGAATGAAATGTAGCACAGTGGTAGGGTATCTGCCTAGCTTATGTGAGGTTCTGAGTTCAAGCCCTAGTACCGCCCACCCCCCAAAATCAAATTAAAAAGGGCTGGGAGTGTAGCTTAGTGGTAAAACCTCCCTTGCATCAATTCCCAGGACCAAAAAAATAAGAGAAAAAAATATGTATATTTGAACATGTGACTTAACTAGAGTAGTAAAAATGAATACGTACTTCATTTTTCCTTGATTGCACCAAATCATTTTCTCTACAAGATGGAGAGTCATTTAATAACCTAGAAGGGAGGAGAAAAATAAAATCTTTTGCATTTCATTTTAATCCATTTTGTCTTATTCAACCAAGTTATTCTCAGAATTAAATATTAACCACAAAGATTTCTCTTTCTTTTCACTTTATTTTAGATAAAGCAATATTTTTGCCTCTGAACACTTTTCCCAGTAATTTAAAATGCAAACTTTCCTGCCGCTCCTTCTTATCAGGTGACCAAGTCTTTAATTTTATAGGGACTTGGAGTCATTACATGGAACCCATTTTCCTCTTAATCAACTCATTTTAATTTCTTTAACTATTATATTTTTCTTCTATTCCATCTTCTAGAAAGAAACAACTTCAGTCAAAAGTCTCTTTGCAGAGCACACAACAATCATCTGCTCCACTGCTCATCCCAAGTGCCAATTTTATTTTCTAATCTTACATCCAATACTCACTGCAGTCAACAATTATTGATTTTTGTTTTGGCCAGGATTTGTGCAGAGATTATAGGCAAGAAAATCTTAGTCTCAACAAGTCCTCCAGTCACAATACAGCTCACACGCCCTCTGTATGAGGTGCACTGGACCACACTACTCTGCTCAAGATATGCTTACATTCTCAACCTTTCTTTAGCTACCTGGCTTGGCACAATCCTCTCCTAAGTTTCCCATATCTTGGCCACTCAAATCCCTTTCCTACCAGCTTTTAAAATGCTACCTTTTCCCTGAGTTCTCACGTGACCTTCCCCCTTAACCCACTCAAAAGAAATGTGATTAAGCTGCTTAGGGACTCTCTAAAATTGCTGAGGATGGCTTTGAATTTGGGATCCTTCTGCCTCAGCCTCCCCAGTCAACAGGATTACTGGAGTGTGTCACCACAACCAGTCCATCTCAGATTCTCTTGGCATCCTTTCCTTAAGGCAACATCACATTCTACCCTCCATTATGACTATACAATTCTCTTGTATCCTTCATGAAATGACAAACTTCTTTCAAAAAACTGGTATTTGTTCTTACTTCATATACAACAGTGCCTTGCAATAATGTGTAAGTGAGTATAACATTAAAAAATCATATAGTAAAATTAAAAATAATTGAGAGTTTAGGAAAATCTCGAAAGTTTAAAACAAATTAACATTTAATCTCCTATAGTTCTCAAAATGTCACTTTATAGCTAGATTAGGAAAATAATAACATTTAATAATCCACATACAGATTTTCCCTATAGTAGGTAAATCCTATGAAAGGCAGCTGATTTCCCACAAAAGCTTTAGGAATTGGGAAGGTTTCTACATCTCCTTTATCATCTTCGATGTCATCAAAATTGCTGCTGTCTATGTCACTGCTGAGTTCAGGTACTACAGGAGCTGCCGCTATTAAAAGAAAAGAATTATTCATAAGCAAAATGTAAGAAACAAGCCACCTCTATGTTTATGACATATTAATATGATTAAATCATGTTTTACACAAAATCTTAGCAACACATCTTCCATTTTATCATTTCACAAAATTAAGATTTTGTCAATAATTTGTTACTACAGACCATTAATAGATTAATTAGTTATACAAGTTAATACAATTAATCAGTTATATAAGGAAAGGTATACAATATTATTCTAAGTGTCAAAAATTATAAGTAGTAAGTAATAACCTGCACATATATTCCTTAAGGTCCTTAGTTTTCTACATTCTTTAAATAGAAATATTTCTTACCCTTAAAATGAATCAATGCCATAGGTAGACAAAGTAAAAATAAATTATTATTCTATGCTTTACCAGAGTATAGTCTCCATAAATAATTATTTGCTGATTTGTTAGTGCAAATAAAATCATATAAGAATTTTCCTTGGCAAGTTAAGAAACATATAATACTTATTATAAAAGAATTGGGAAATACTAATAAGTACACATTAGTTTGCTAAGATATTGAGGAAATTGTAATTTATTTATAAATGCTGCCACAGGAAAAATTTGGAATGTAATCTCAATTTAAAAATGAGTTAGCATAAAGTGTATCAAACATGCCTGTTATTCAAAAAGTGGAATTAATTTATGAGATTTTTAAATGGAATGGAAATATTAGATTTATTGACTTACTCTCTCTTATGTTATCCCAATTCCATTGATCATTCTTAAAGAAAGGATGCTGTTTGATTTCTTCTACCCCATTTCTCCCAAGTCGTACCTCCCTAAACAATGCAGTTAAAGACTGTATTATAATAAAATAATGAAAAAAATATTAACTCATCTCAACAGTTTAACCAAAATAAGGATAAAAAATGAATAAGATTTTTAAAAAACAGCTTCAGCCTAAGTGTTTCTCTAAAATAATCTCAATATTATAGGAATTGATTGCTCTAGATATATTAAAAAGACTTGACATAAAGCAAACAATATGGAAGTAAAATATACTTCCCTCTATTGTTTATGTCACCTGCATGTTTCAAACTTAAAAAAATTCACATATTAAGTTTAGAGCTATACATATTTATTCTGATAAATTATCTCTTCATTTATATTAAAATTATCACTCTATAAGAAAAATATGATTAAGGATTTCATTCTTTTGACTGTTCAATGAAGACTGTATAGGATGGGAATGTAGCTCAGTAGAAGAGAGCTTTTCTAGCTCACACAAGGCCCTGTATTTGAGCCCAAGCACAGTAAGGAAAAAAAGACAAAAAAATAAAAAATAAAAAGACTGTATGGAAATAAAAAGCATTTGCTTTAAGTGTATTCCTGGAGCTAAGTTTAACATGAACAAGAAAAATTGTGCATTTTAAAGGACATGCTCCTAGCCAAACTTATGACATTATATTATTTTCAAAATAGTTCAAAATATTCACATATAATCATCCTTAGAATGTTTCCTGTCCCAACAAGTTGCTAAAGCAAATCTACAAATCCTAATCCATTCGTTAATATATGCTGTACTTACTTTACAATGCAATCCCCACCCACCCTATTGAATCCCCAAATCTAACATTATACAAGTTTATTTGAGTTTATCAGCATTGATTCTTCATTATACATATAATCAAGTTTTAAAGTTTTATTATACAAATGACTAACTCATAAAAATTATTTGCCTATAAAAGATAAAATAACTTATAATTGTATTTGATGAAAAAAATTATATACTAGCTGGATGTGATAATGCATGCTTGTAATCACAACTACTTGTTGAAGCAGGAGGATCTCAAGTTTGAGGCCATCCTGGGCGACTTATCAAGACTCTGTCCCAAAATTAAAAAGGGAATGGAGACCAGTGGTAGAAAGTTTGTCTAGCATGTACGAGGCCCTGGGTTCAATCCTCAGTACTGCAATACAATAACAACAACATTAAATTTGATGAGAAAAAACAGTTATTGTTTTAAAAAAAATGTGCCAATAAAGCTTCACGTGGGGGCAGGTGGTGGTGTCAATTTTATAAAAGCATTCAATTTGAAAATGTATATCCCAGGATTCTGCCTTCAAGATTTTATCCCACAAAAAGTGTGTAATGATGAATGTATAAGCATCATCATTGCAGAACTAACAGCAACTAGCTTATAAACAATAAGGTGTGCATGTTGTATATTAGAGCTAGAAAAGCTAGATAATATTAGTTACCTAATCTAAGCCCATCATTTTACTGATGAGCAAAATTATTTCCCAAGGAGAAAACATAATTTCCCCATGATCACAAAGCTGATGAATGAGTTTGGACTGGACTGTGAGCTCCTTTGCTAGGATGACCTCTATCACAAGTATAAAATATAGAAGAGGACATCAGAAGAGAAATGAAGGAATAAAATAGCTTTCTAGTTTTTTTGTTTGTTTGTTTTTGTTTTTGGTACTTAGGACTTAACTCAAGGGCACTTAACCACCGAGCCACATCTCCAACTCTTTTTATTTTTGAGACAGGATCTCACTCGGCTGGTTAGGACCTCATTAAGTTGCTGAGGCTGGCCTTGAACTTGCAATCTTCCTGCCTGAGTATCTCGAGTCACTGGGATTTCAGGCGCATCACTGCTGCTGGGCTAGCTTTTCTTTTTGAAGCAGGTTTTCACCTTTGTTCATCTATTTGTTTTAAAAAATATAAAATTTTCAGAACAGACTTGTTCATATTCAAATGTGAATAAGAGAGTTGGGAAGGAGGTACTCTCATATCAAATGCAAACAGTTTTTAAGATTATAAATTGTTAAATGCTCTTGTCTAGTATGTATGAGGCACTGGGTTTGATCCCCGACACCACATAAAAATAAAAACAAATAAAATAAAGGCATTGTTTCTAACTATAACTAAAAAAAAAAAAAAGAAGAAGGTAAAATGGGAAGAAGACAAAGGTTTTATTTCTTTCAAATGTGTTTAAAGCTTACTAGGGTTTTTTGTTGTTGTTGTTGTTTTTGTTTTTTTAATGGTTTTAGGCATGAGGATTGAGGTTAAATTACAACTGGGCCGCCCAACCAAAATGCTAAAGGTAACCTAACACAAGGCTCAGCAGTAGGAAAAGGCTAACCCAGAATTAAATGCAATTTGGTTAATGAGAGAGATGTTTTTCATATGTAACTAAATTAGACATGCTTTCATTTCTACAAATTTAAAAGCAATGGGGCTTCTCTACAGAGAAATCCAATGTACATTACCTATCTGTCAAGAAGGCACAGATGAGACTCTTCGCATGTTTAGAAATTTCTGCATCTTCAGGGAAACATAGTGAATTTTTATGATCCATAATTTTGCTATAAGTTCCTACAAGTGAATCTGCATAAAATGGAGTGTCCCCTAAAATTCCAAGAAAGAAGATGCTGAATGTAATAGTGGATGCAAATTAAACACTTTTCACCTAATTTTTAAATGTTAACTTTAAATTTGCCGCATGCATGGAAAACAAAGACAGGAGTCCCAATTAAAACAGAAATGTACAAAAAAACATTTAAATTTTAACTAGAGTCATGATGATCCTTCTACCATTAAAAACAAAATAAAATCAATGTTAACTCTAAAACTTGGTGTTTTTCTGTGTTTTTCAATTTACTTGTTCAAAGTTACCTATTTTCTAAAGCCCTAGAAGAAGAGGCAAAGCAAGTAAGAGAATATATTCTACTTTCAAAAGATTGCAAGATACATCTTCATGTATCATTGAACTCAGGGACACTCCCCAGTCCTATTTTGTATTTTATTTAGAGACAGGCTCTCACTGAGTTGCTTAGCACCTTGCCTTTGCTGAGGCTGGCTTTGAACCTGCAATCCCTCCTGCCTCGACCACCCAGGCTGATGGGATTACAGGTGTCCGCCATTGTGTCCGCCTAGAATTTGTTCTTAACTTAAGAAAAGAAAGGGTCTTGAAGTGGGATGAGACCAGAGTATTTTGATGCCGGAGCTGGATCGGCATCTTGAGATGGGTCTCTAGAGCTGTTATACAATATAGCAGCCACTATATGTGGCAATTTAAAGTTAAACTAAAATTGAAAAATGCAGCCCCCTAGTTACATATATATCAGCCACAGTTCAGTGGCAACCACACTGCCTGGTGTAGATGTAAATTGTCTTTATCATGACAAACTGGACAGTGCTGCTCTGAGAGTCAGAGCATGTCTATTCTTCCACATAAGAGGGAGCAGGGCCCAGAGTGACTGCATGTGACCTGCCTAAAATGACAAATAGCTAGAGCCAGAAAGGGACAGAAATTATCTCCCAACATAGTGTTGTGGCCAACTACTGATTATGATAAAGAGCCCCTGAAGCAAGTGTAAAGACAGAAAATCCTAAAGGAACAGTTCTGGTCACTACCCATCAAAAGCCACAGCAGGTAAAGGCCCTGCCCAGTATATGTCTATAGGCCAAGTAACTTGAGTGCTGGCCAACTTCTCTAAGTCAGCCAATGCAAAACTTCAAAAGGTATATTCAGATTGTTGTTTGAATTCAAAGGTGGGTTTGGGGTGGAGAGCACTGAATTCAAGAATTTTCTAGTATAATTTTTTTCTAGTGTGGTAGAATCTTCTAAATGAAGATCACTGCCAACTAACATAAGCAAGCACTGCAGTAGGCTCAGAATACTGTAAATCACTGCCATTAAACTCTAATTTAGTTCTCAGACTTGAAAATAGTAGTGGAAATCTAAATGGCCTATTCAAATGAGCCAATTTACTTGTTCAAAGGTACCTATTTTCTAAAGCCCTGGAAGAGGCAAAGCAAGTAAGAGAATATATTCTACTTTCAAAAGATTGCAAGATATATCTTCATGCTTCATCAGGTGGGAGAACAGACAGCTACTGGTACCAGATGGTATGTAAAAAGAGACTTATTACAACAACAAAGGCTCAAAACAAAGTAGGTCATACTACAATATGAAACCAAGTATAAGAAGATCAATGACACATATATTGGATCATTACTAAAACAAGGCAATTTATACCACAAAAAAGCTCCGTAGTATTCATTTAAATTCGGGATTTACTAAACATTTCTAATTTTTTTAAGCAATAATCATACTCTTATAGATTTTATACTATCAATTTCTTATACTATCAATTTCTTTTAGGGTCCTCATCTAGAAAATAAATTCTGTAATTCCAAAAACATATTTCTATCAGCCTTATGTTTAAAATATTTATAACAAATAAGATTTATCCAAAAAACTCCATGTAATGTTATTAGCCTTATCGTACTTACAAAAGTACTAAATGTAATTAAATCTTAGTTATATTTTCCCTCATCCCAAGACAAGTAAAGCAATCATAATTGTCCTCATCCAGAAGATATTTTTGTGACCCCAGTGCTTAGGAATAGAAAATGTTAGAAATGAAGTCTATGACACATAAAAAAAAGTTTTGAAACACTTAAGCTTTTCATATTTTGAATTGGTCAAAGTAAAAGAAATGACTGAATTCGCTTCTGAGTTTTCTAAAACTGAAATATCAAAAAAAAAAATTCATTCCACTGAATTACAAATCAAAAAATACTAGTAGTAAATAAAAGGCATACATTTTACAAAATCAATACAAAACTACATAAACCAATAAATACTGTTAGTGCTGGGGTTGTAGCTCAGTGGTAGACTGGCTTAGTATGCACAAGGCCCTGGGTTCAATTCCCAGCACCACAGGAAAAAAGTTACTTCTAGTTCTCTGTTATTGTTTGTTATAACAAACAGTAAAATCTTATATTTAAAACACTGAAAACAAATACAATTATCCCCCAAAAATCTTAGAATTGAGTAGCTGTAAACTTGTTCTTGCTCTACCATTTTCTTAACTCAAAAGGGTCTACTGAAGAAATATTTTCTAACAACATACTTTTAATTCCTTTCATGTTCTACTTATTCCACTTAATCACTGTGCCAGGTTCATGTTATTTACTACTAAATCAAAATTTCCAGAAATTTCAATCTTCCCTAGGACACATGCCATTTCCTTATATTTCCAAATCCTTGACTGAACTAAAGTGTTATGAAAGGGTTTTGAAAAAACAACAACTTAAAATATTTACTCACCTACTAGCATCTCAAAAAGGAAAACACCAACAGACCACCAATCACATTCTCGCCCATAATAACCATCACCCCCTTGTGATTTCAGAACCTCGGGTGATATATAATCAGGTGTTCCAACTGCTGTATCACAATGTACCATGCCTGTCTACAAACAGCAGAGAAAGAGACCATCGTGAATATACAGAAATATCAATGAAACTTATTTGTTTACTCTTAGGTAGAGAGTGACTACACACTGCCACTAATAGAGCTTCACTGCCAACATGGCTTTGGGTACAGGGAATTGAAATGTATTATGAAATGCATAAAAATGTCTGGATTATGGGAGCCAATACAATTCATTTTTACAAAGGACTATCCTATAGTTTATACTTTGCAGAAAAATTTAATAGGGACTTATTAGGTTAAAGAAAACCTCTGAACTTGCACGGCTTCATAGAAATTAGAATTTAAAATATGAATATTATGAGACTTCAGAGCTAAACTCTTACTAAATATATACACACATGCGCGCGCGCGCACACACACACAAGCCTATTTAGCCTAAAAGGTTCAAAGGCAGGAGAGAAAGGGCAAGATATAAGAAAGAAATGATATAAAGTTAGACTGCGACAGATGGACAATTTAGGTTTCAAAGGAATGGAGATATATAATGGCTTGAACAGAAAAAAAAAACATTTTAAAAAAGAACAAGAATGACCTTATATAAAGCATGTTCATAAAGTGCAATAAAGTTCAAATCAGTTAAATGGAAAATTCCATGTGATGACGGTCAGAAGGGAAAGTTGAATATCAGTTTCAATAACTACCTGCCTGCAGAATAAATACTTTTGAGTAAACTATGCAAATAGCACTCTCCTTTTAGAAAATTAATGTTCTACCCCCAGAATATTTGGCTAACACATTAAAGTTTTTTAAATAAATATTTGAAAAAGATATTTAAGATATTTAGGAACTATCACATGGGAAAAGTTCTCAAATTATATGGATATGGAATGTACATTTATGACAAGTCTCAGATTCTGCTTAAAAGAAATATGGGAAGGATAAATCAGAAACTAAAGAGATTGATTTATACCTGCAGGGAGTATGTGGGAAAGGGGTAGAAAGAAGGAGTAATAGGAATAAGGTAATAAGGATAAAGAGCAAGAGACCCTACTCTGATCATACATCTTATACAGCTTTAATTCTTAAAATCAGGGAAAAATTCACACACAAAAATGTAAAAACTGAACCTGTTTTATAAATGAATCACATAACTTCACTGTATGGGAACTGGAAGAGCAGCCCCAAGTAACTCTGGAAAACATCATTGGGGAGGGGTAGTAGTACTGGGGATTGAACTCAGGGGCACTCAACCACTGAGCCAAATCCCTAGCCCATTTTATTTTATTTAGAGACAGGTCTCACTGAATTGCTTAGCACCTCGCTTTTGCTGAGGCTGTCTTTGAACTCATGATCCTCCTGTCTCAGCCTCCCAAGGAAAACATCATTTTAATAGGATACTCTAAGGCTAAAAACAAAAGAAATACATAACAATGTTAGCAAATCTGTTAGCTACAACAGTTGGGTTTAGCAGTTATGAAATAATTTTAGGTTTATACGAGGGTTGAAGAAGAAAATACACCACAGATAATGCGAACCAAGTGTTTTTGTATTTTGGTATCGAGGATTGAACTCGGGCACTTAACCAATGAGGCACATCCCCAGACCTTTTTTGTATTTTATTTAGAGACAGGGTCTCACTGAGTTTCCTGGGGCTTCACTAAGCTGCTGAGACGGCTCTAGATTCAAACCCCACCTGCCTCAGCCTCCTGAGCTATTGGGATTATAAATGTGAGCCACTGGGGATTGAATTCAGGGGTACTCAACCACTGAGCCACATCCACATCCCCAAAAAACCCAGCAGAGTTTTTTTTTTTTTAAATATTTTTTCTTTAGTTGTAGATGAACACAGAACATTTACTTTATTTATTTTTATGTGGTGCCAAGGATCAAACCCAGTGCCTCATGTATGCCAGTCGAGCGCTCTACCACTGAGCCATGACCCCCAGCTCAGCAGTTTTTTGATATCTAAGAAATTACAAAAAAGAAAGAAGACTAGAATGAACCCTGTGGTATTGGACATGAGTCAAAGGTGTCTATATGAACCACAATGAATATATTATGCACAAACAGAGCTGCAAAATTAAGTATAAACACACGTGGGAATGTGATTTAGCACATCAAGTGTATGTAACACCTATGTACCAGTTTTGTGTACTGACAGCCTAGAAGTGATGATACTCCAGGAGCAATGAGCATGTGGGCCCCTAAACACTGACTTAAAACTCTCTTCCTCTAATAAAAGAAATGAGAATATAAAGAAGTGGCTGATTCCAGGGCTGAGGCAGAGAAAGTGTAAGTCAAGTCTTATATATTTTGTAGTGTCAAAAACAAAAAGAACAGAAAGAAAAGGATAATGCTCTAAAAAGAAACCAACATGTGGAACCAACCTAACAAACTTTACAAGGTAGCAAACTCTGGACCAAGTTTCAATGTATGAGCAGGAATTTTCCAGGCAGACTATTAAACCGCATATATGAAGACTAGGAATCATGAAATAATGCTACAGTAAAAAATAACTGTATGGTAACTCTTGAACTCTGTGCCATGAGGTGCTGTCAGCTGATACAGAAAGAAGGTAAAAGTAGGCAGGGCCATGTCATCATAAGAGGTTTCAGAGACAAGCTATGGAGTGGAGACTTTATCCAGCACGTGTCAGAAATCTACTGAAGGGTTTTAAGCTAGAGAGCAAGATTTTCAAGAAGATTCCTCAAAATTATTTTAAATGCATCTGACTAAATGTTTATTTGCTAAGTATATCTGGTGTTTATAACTGACAAAATTTCATAAAACAAGAGTTTATGAAAACATAAATTGGCCAATCAGAGATATTAAAGAGCTGGTCTCAGAAACCATTCAAAATGCTTCCCATGAAGGTGGAAAAGAAACATTGTATGTGGAGTTCTTCATCAGAAGCATTAAAAGCCTTAGGTGAATTGTTGAATAGGCAGGGGCTTTTCAGTCTGTTTTAATTTTTTTTTTTTAATTTTAAAATTTTAAAAATGAGCACTTGCATTCTTTTCAGAGAAATACACCTGTTATGCCTTGCACAGTAGTCCAAATGGTTTAGAATCCACTTCCACTTCCACTGCTGTAGTACCCACAGCCACACAAAGCTGCCCGCCTGGATTATCCCAGTCTCCCTGCTGGGTATCACCTATTGTTTTCATCAGAGCTCTGGTTACAAAGAGGAATGGCTTCTGAATAATCTACCTGCACTGCTCCAATAATTCAGCAATTACTCCAATTTCTGTTCTTTTTTAATATACATTTTTCAGAAAAAAGAGGTTTTTTTTTCCAGAAACATGAGTAGCCACACCTATATTTTAAAAATTGATGTCACTTGTAGAAGAGTTAAGACATGAACAATTTATTAATTAGCTTTTTAAAACATACAGTAATTTATATCAAGAAGATAGTGCACCACGATCAAGTGGGATTCATTCCAGGGATGCAAGGTTGTTTCAATATATGGAGATCAATAAACACAATTCATCATATTAATAGACTTAAAAAAAGAAAAACTACAGCAACTTAATCAAATGGTACACATTAGAACATGTCATAAAAGGTGGTAAAGGTTTTGAAAGAGAGGACAGACAATGAATGAGGCCAACACATCCAATTAATGTAAGTCATTTAAAACAATTGTTCTCAGCTGTTAGAAACCTCCACATGCAATATACAATATGACTCTCACATCCAGGTAGAGGGGTGTGTGTGTGTGTGGTGGTGTGTTTTGCAGTGTTGTGGGGGTGCTAAACTCAGGAGCTTATGCATTCTAGGCAAGGTTTTACCACTGAGCTACACCCCAAGCGCTAAGTAAGTTTTTTTCTTTTTTTTTCTCTGAGAGAGAGAATATCAGAATGGTATCCAGAAAATGGTGATTAACTCTTTATTTATTTATCTATGTCAGAAATCAGAGAAACACCAACTCTTAATTGTGATAGAACCAACTTACTTTAGTTCTTCTAAATTATAATCTCACAGTTGTGTTTTATTTTTGCCTTTATTCATGGCATAATGTTTTATAGAAAGCCAACATAACTGAAGAATGATCTGAGCATCTGGTCTTCTTATAGATAAGGGGATGACAAATTTATTCTCCAAAAGGCTAGATTATAAATTATCTCAAGTTTTCTGGATCACAACAGGTTCTGTCAGCAAGAAGTCAGTTTTAAAAGAGTCAAAAGATGCACAGGTGATTCACAAAAGAGAAGTCAATGACAAGTATATAAAGAGAGGTTTCTCATCATAAGTTGTTAAGAAACACAATTTAGGGGCCTGGGGCTGTGGCTGAGGGGTAGAGCACTTGCCTAGCATGTGAGGCACTGGGTTCGATCCTCAACACCACATAAAAATAAATAAATAAATTTTTAAAAAGAAACAAACACAATTTTTAAAAGATACTACCTTTATACCAATAGAAATGGTAACCTTAGCTGAATAATGGGAAAAGTTCCTGAGGATATGAAGAGACAAGATCTGTCATGCACTACTAGGAACAGGTTATGAACATTTATAGCTTTAAGGAGATCAGGCAATATTTCATTAATGAGCCCTCTGGTATGGTAATATCACTTCTAAGTTTATACTCAGAGAAACACTTGTTTTGTTGATGGGAGGGAGCTGGGGATGACCTAGGGAACAATGCCAGGGGAATAAGGCAAACTGATAAGATACCATGGAATGCTAAGCAGCAGTAGGAGGCAATGAACTAGCCAGGTGTGGTGGTGCATGCCTGTAATCCCAGTGGCTCAGGAGGCTAAATCAGGAGGATCATGAGTTCAAAGATGGCTCAGCAACATCAAGATGCTTAGCAACTCAGTGAGACCCTGTCTCTCAATAAAATACAAAATAGGGCTCAGTGGTTGAGTGTCCCTAAATTCAATCCCTGATACCAAAGGGAAAAAAAAGAAGCAATGAACTCACCTATATTAATCAGGGATAGTTATAAAAACAAGGCTAAGTGACAGAAGTAAACAAAATGATACCAATTCTAATACTACTTATACAAACTAAGTATATTTATATCGTACTAATACTCAAAAAGCAAATGGTAAACACATTACATTGGTTGTTTATAGGGAGAGTAAAGGCAAACTAGAAACTGAAAGAAGAAAAGTGTAATAAAAATAAAATGGGAACATGTGTAGACTTCTCATGACAATAAACTATAAGCCAAGGGGTATAATTAACATGACTTTCTTTATGTGAATTAAAAAAATACATAAACAAAATTAAGCCACATTTTGTTTTTAAACAATTTAAGATATTTAAATAGCTTATTTCAGTATTTGCTTGCATGCTTGTATAATTATTTTATAAATACCATATTTCTCCTGTTCCCCATACTCTAGTACTCTATACCACTTTTTTCTTTTGTATACTAGGGACTGAACTCAGGGACTTGCACGTCATGCTCACTACCACTTAGCTACATCACAGCCCTTTTTATTTTATTTTGAGACAACATCTTGCTAAATAGCTCTGGCTGCCCCAAACTTGCAAACCTCCTATTTCTGCCTCCCCAGGTGCTGGAATTCCAGCTGTGCACCACTGCGCCTGGTAACATCTTTCTATTTTGCAAAGTACCTTTAACCTTCCTCTATAAACATGGTATGATTTATTTTCCTGCATCCCACCCCATCCACAAAAGATTTTGATTTAATTAAAATCAGAATACACTCATGGAAGTGCAGTACATAAATATCATAGATTACATATCCCAGACACAGAAAGGTTTAGCATTCTATCAGAAAACTATTTCGTATTTGATTTTCATTATAGATTAATTTTCACTATTAATCATTTCATACTATTTTATGGTAAATGCCACAAAAGGGAGCTTTGGGAGCAATCAAAAACTCCCCCATTAAACATTAATAAATGGTTATAGGACACAGTAACAGATTCTGTAAAGCACAACAAAATGTTAAGTTGGATGTTAAGTTTTAGCTTAAACTAAAACAGAAATGGCCTAGAAAGTATAGCATAAATTTTGAATATAACATTAAAAGAATAATCAGTTAGATTAGGATTATCAAGGAGAACTTTCTAGATGAACTAAAATCTGGGCTGATTTTGAGAAAAGACGATTAATTATAAAGGTAAGATAATCAATAAAAATATCACCTGGTTAGCATAAATAACTAAAGAGGTAAAGAAGAAATTTACTTCCAAATATATGTCTTTGCTAGATAAATAACAGGAAAAAAATTAGCTATATGAGCATATTGAAAGGTTATGAAAACCATACTAAAGATGATATACACACATGCTATCAATATGTACTAATACTTAGAAGTCATCTTTTATATCCAGCAAAGAAATGCAAAATAAATAAAATATAATACTGTTCCATCAGGAATTAAACACACTCAAAAAGAAAACGACAAAACATAGGTTTTGGAACCCAAATAAATCAATACCATAATTAGCTAAGAGGATAATGTCACTGAATCTATTTTTATAATATGGATTGTTCAATAGGTAAAGTATCACAATGGTTGATGTCCCAAAATTTATTCTATATGGTTAATGTAGAGGGGTAGGTAGAAGAAGGTGGTAAGATAAAATTTCTTTCCTTATCTCCTTTCCTAAAACAAAAACATAGAAATAACAATGGTTGGAGAAATACTCAAATGCCTTAATTTAGATTATGTGTCCTAAGCCTACATCTAGGTCACTATACACATGAACCAGTTTTGATTGGTAACAAATGCTTGTTGATATTCTATGGGGAAGATAACTGAGTTTTCATTTTTCTTATATTCTAAAAAATCTAGATGAATTATTAGTAAAGGAAGTATTTTAATTTGGTTTTATTTTGTTTTGTTTGTTACACAATAAGCAAAACTAAATTTATCTTTATTTAAAACTACAAAGACCTGCTGGGTGTGGTGGCATCCTGATGAGGTATTACAATACCTTCTGTTTCCCAAAAAACTTGCTTTTTTAAAAAACTTGCTTACTTACTTCATCCATCTTCATACATGTGCCAAAATCTGCTAATTTTAGATGTCCATGTTTATCCAAAAGCATGTTGTCAGGCTTCACATCTCTGTGTATTAAACCCATGGAGTGTATTGCGTCCAGAGCAAGAACAACTTCAGCAGTGTAAAATTTGGCCCACTTTTCAGGCACATCATAATTACTCATAAGGTTTACAAGGTCTCCACCAGGCATGTATTCCATTACCATGTACAGATATCTATCATCTTGAAAGGCACAAAAGAGCTGGAAAACAAAAGAAAAGGAAAAAAAAAAAAGTTTTTAAGCCTAAAAACTAAAACCATGAATAGAAAAAAAAAAAATCCAAAAACTATTAAATATAAAATAGAGTTAAAATTTATTAACTCTCTTATTTTAGACTTGGACATGTCCAATGGAAAAACAGTAGCCAACAAAATTTTTATATGGATACTATATAAAGCATACTATAAAATATGCACAAAATAATGCACAATTTCTCTCTTGGAAAATATAATACAAGAAACTAAGTAGAAACGTTTAAAAACAGACACAGAATAGGAATGAGGAATATAAAAGGCAAAGGAATGATAAAATAATTCACTACAGTTTAAAAACAGCTTTCTGAAAATTAAACAAACTACTGCACACACTTCACATAGAAGAGAGCTGAGAAAATAGAAGCAGTTTAGAAACATCTAAAAGGTACCAGATTCAACAGATATGAGAAGGAGTAAGCCTCATTCCCACGGACAGAATGAGTAAATAAATGAGTAATGAGTAATAAATGAGTAATGAGTAAATAAATAGTGGCCATACTTGGAACAGGACTAGCTAGCTCCTCTCTTCCCTTCCCCATTCTCTTGTTCATGATAAGCAGCAAGTAGCACTGTTATCTAAGGAGTGATACAAGGTTACTGCTGGTCCCCAGAAGGGACAGAAAAACCACAAATTCAAAAGTTATCTATATATCCCACCAAATAACATGTCCAACCCCTTCAGGAAACAAGCAATGCTGACAGAAAAGATTTCTACATACAAAAAGAGAAGAGAGAAAAAATAGCATCATGAAAAAGAGGCAAAGTAATTAAAAAAAAAAACAAAATTAATCTTCAAGAAAATACTTGGTGAGACAAACTAAGGACAGCTTTAAGAATGCAAGATCAATAATCACAAAAGTGTAACAGATGTTGCATCAGTTAAATAGTGGGCTGATATGGAAGAAAAAATCCTGAAGCCAAAGAATTAAGAACAAATTACAGACCCAGAAAACTGAGCAAAGAAGCTTTCTGTGAACACACTGAAAGATTAAGAGGTAAAATATAGACCAAGGTTAGCAACAGTTCAACACATATCTAAAAGTTCTAAAAATAGAAAACAGAAGAAAAAGAAAGTAAAAATTTTCTAGATATGTATTAATTTAAAAACTAAACTGATAGTTTTGACTTTTAAATTAAATAAAGACCTTAGACAGCTAGTGTGGAATTTTCAAATAACCAAAAAGAAATATCCAAAGTTACCAAAAAGATGCCTTATATGTAGAAATACAAAATAAATACCATCAACAACAAATCTCTCATTCAACATACTAAATACAAAAGACAGCACAGCTATAACAAATGAGATGGCAAAATAAAATTTCATGTGACAAATCATTTCTAAAAGAACTGTCTAAGGATAGTTTGACAAAATGAAGAATAAATCCAAGAAAATGATTATGTGAGGCATAGGAAAGGGCAACATAAAGAGTATAGAAAATCTTACTAAGTCACAGTAATTTTTAAATGGAAGGCAGTGGGATGTAGGGAAAGAAGAGATGAAAAAGCATTATAATGCTGCTTACTGAATTGAGAAAAAGAATGTGTGTGTGTGTGTGTCTGTCTGTCTGTAGCTGTGTATAATGTGTTTTACTCCAAATGGTTGAAGGAAAGATGTAAATAAATGGAGAGATATCCCATGTTCATGGATTAGAAGTCTCAATATTATCAAAATAACAATTATCCCCAAATTGATCAATGTATTCGCTATCTAAATCCCAGGGTTCCCCCCAATCCAAGAAAGCTAATCCTAAAATTTATCTGGAAATACACAGAACCCAGAAAAGCCAAAACAATCCTGAGTCAGAACTAAATAGGAGGACTTACAGTTTCCAATTTCAAAACTCACTACAAACCTACAGTAATAAAGACAGTATTAGTACTGATGTAAGAATCAACATATAGACCAATGAAACAAAACAGTCCAGAAGTAAATCCCTATAATTTATGGTTAATAAAGATTTTCTGACAAAGGTGACAGAGGCAGTTTAGTGGTAAAAGAGTGTTATGGTTTGGATATGAGGTGTCCCCCAAAAGCTCCTGTTAATGTAGCAATGTTTGGAGGTGAAATGATTGGATTTTGAGAGCTGTAACCCAGTTAACCCATCCTAGTTTGAGTGAACGGGGTGGTGATTGCAAGAAGGCAAGGTGCAGCTAGAGAAGGTGGATCACTGGGGGTATGCCCTGGAAAACTGCTTCTTCCATGGGATCCCTTCCTCATCCTCTCTCTCCAACCTTGCCTGACCTTGCCTTGAGCTCAGCAGCTTACCCACAGGGTCCTTACCCCATCATGTGTTGCCTCACCTTGGGCCCAAAGCAATGAAATCAGCCCTCTATGGGCTGAGACCTCTAAAACCATGAGCCCCAAATAAAAATTCCCTCCTGTAAGTTGTTCTTGTTAGATGTTCTGGTCACAGAAACACAAAAAATGACAACAGAAATTGGTACTCAGAACTAGGGTCACTGATGTGACTAACCTGACCGTGTGGGTTAAAAAATCTTTGGAGGACTGGAGTTGTGGCTCAGTGGTAACAGTACTTGCCTAGCATGTGTGAGGGTTTGATTCTCAGCACTGCATATAAATGAAAGGATAAAATAAAGGTTCATCAACATCTAAAAAATATTTTTAAAAAATCTTTGGAGCTGGTTTGTGGGAGGAATTTTCACAAGTTTAGAGATACAGACTGGAAAAGCTTTAGAATGTTGTAAAAGGAGCTTTATGGCGATTCTGGTGGGAGCTCAGAAGACCAGAATGCCCACAGGAATGCAGACTGTGCTCATGAGATTTTCAAGGGAAATGAGGACTCTCCTGGGAATTGGCCAAGAAGTCACTCATATTATATTCTGCAAAGACTTTACACATGTACTAAGACTTTATGTGAGGCTAAATTTAAAAATGATGGACTAGGTGGGCACAGTGGTGCATGCCTATAATCCCAGCTACTCTGTAGGCTGAGGCAGGAGAAACGCAAGTTCAAGGCCAGCCTCAGCAACTTAACAAGGGCCTCAGCAACTTACTGAGACTCCATCTCAAAATAAAAAGTGCTGGGAATGTAGCTCAGTGGCAAAGCACCTCTAGATTCAATCCTAGAACAATAACAACAAAAGAACAACAATAACAATGAAAAGTATACTAAAGATATCAGTTGCAAAAGGTAGCATATTTACAATTCTATTCATTTAAAACATCTAGATGGTATATGTCTAGAAAAGGTTGCCTGGGATGAGCGGGTAATAGGGTAAATGGGCATGAAATCATTTGAGAAGGTAGAAATGTTCTATAACCAGATTGTAGTGATAGTTGCACCACTCTAAAATTTTTTTTAAAAAACTGAATAGTTTACTTAGGTGAATTTTATGGTATCAAGTTGTGCCTCAATAAGTTTAATAAAATTATTCTAAAAAACTTAAATATACATGTTAAGATGGCAAACATGGCCACTAGAACAACAGAAAAGAATCACATATTTTCCATCAGAGTAAATCTAAATCTTCCCTAATACAGCTTAAAAACAATCCTTCAAAAAGTCAGGCTGACCCACAAGTAAGTTAACAATATTGCTTTATATATAAGGGAACAAAACTGGAGTCAACTAAATGTCCATCAACAACTACAGAAATAAACAAATTGTCATTTAGCCTTACAATGAAGTACTATTCGGTAATTATCAGGAATGAGCCATTGATATTACATTACATTATGTTACATATTACATTACATATTACGTTACATTACAAAATCTCAAAACAATTTGTGAGTAAAAGAAAAAAGATGAGAAGAAGCGATCAGTGACCTGAGAGACAAAACTATTCAAAATGAAGCATGGAAGGAAAAAGAATTAGTTATCGTGGAACAACATCAAGCAGATCATATATGTGTAACCAGTCTCAAAAGGGGGCCATAGGGCAGAAGTTTCAGGAAGAGAAAAAAATATTTGAAGAAATGGTGGCCCAAATGTTCCCAAATTTAATGAAATCTATAAACCCATAATTTAAAGAAGCTCAACCATGGGCTGGAAATGTAACTAAGTGGTAGAATGTTTGCCTGGCACAAAGGAGTCCGTGAGTATGATCCCTAGCACCATTAAAAAAAGAAAAATTCTATCAATACTAAGTAAGTTAAACAAGTTAATTAAAACACTATGGTACTGGTGGTGGCAGGACTAGACAAAACAACTGAATGAAAAAGAAAACCCCAAAATAGACCCATACACATCTGGACAATTGAATTGCAACACAAGGAGGCAATGCATACCAGTGAGAGGGAGGGTGGTTCAATATTTGATGTTGGAACAACTGGATAGCCACATGAAAACAAATTAAATTTAACCAAGTAACAACATCTTCTTAAAAAATTGGTTCCAGGTGCTACAGTCTGAAAGTCTGTATTGCTCCCAAATCATATGCAATCCTAACACTAAGGTAAGGTAATACCTTAACAATAGTTTAATAATTACTGATATCATAAGACCAGCATCTTAAAAGTTATGGTTTTAGGAGGAGGGCCCTCTGGGTGGTGATTAGGCCCTGAGAATTCAGCTCTAAGGAAGGAGATTAGTTCCCCTTCCCCTATAAAATACCCCCAGGGAGCTCATTGACCCCTTTCAGGCTTCTTTTGTGAGAACAGCAGGAACATGCCATCTATGAGAAAATGGGCCCTGATCCAAGATCAACTCTGCCAATTCCTTGATTGTGGGCCTCCAGTCTCTAGAATTTTGAGAAATAAATTTATGTTGTTTGTAAACTACCTACTTTACAATATTCTATTTAGTAGTCTTAAAGGACTCAGACATGACAGACCAGTAGGCAAAAAATAAAAAGCCAAAAAATGTATCAGAATATCTTCATGATGTCATGGTAGGAAAATAATTTCTTAAATGAATATAAAATACCTTTAATTATGAAAGTTTTATTAAATTGCACTGTACTGCATTAAAAATTATATTTCTA